GGAATTTTAGTTTTTTGAGACAAGTATTTATTTATTTATTCGTCTACATTAATGTTGTCGCCTTCAAAATAGTCCCCATGTGCCAGCTCTTCTTTCAATACTCGAAACACTTCTAAAACTCGATCTTTGGGATAGCCTTTAGTTCTTTCAGCGATGCGCTTTTAATGTTATCTATGCTTGCAAAACGAGGGCCCTTTAAGGTTCTCTTTATTTTTGGGAATAGGAAAAAGTCAGACAGAGGCATGTCTGGCGAATATGGAGGCTGGGGCATCATTACAGTATTGTTTTTGGCCAAAAATTTTGTTCAAAATTTAACAATTTTAGAACAAATTTTGCTGTCACGCGTTTCATACCCAAAGCATTCGAAAAAATTTCATGGGATGAGCCAATCGATATAACAACATCATCACACGGAGAGAAAAATTTTGCTAAAATAACTATCCAAAGTATTGTTAAATGACGTATCGTGAATTTAGTCAACTGTTTTATTAAACTGAGGATTTGTATGGCTAAATTAGCTATACAGATCCTCAGTTTAATAAAACAGTTGACTAAATTCACGATACGTCATTTAACAATACTTTGGATAGTTATTTTGGCAAAATTTTTCTCTCCGTGCAGCGACTTCTCTGATGGTTTATAACCATTTCTTCCACTTTTTCCATGTTTTTATCGGTTGTTAATGTGCTTGTGCGTTCGGGGCGTTATAATGAGCAGCAATGTTGAGCTTCTATAAAAAAATGTTCATCCAACAAAGTAATAGTTGTTATCATATTGTCATGGCAATAAGAAATACTTAATGTTTATGTTAAATCTTTGTCGAACTTAAAATGTTTTTGTTAAATCTATAGTTGTGTGTGAATTGCGCTAACATAAAGTAATGCGCAGTTGTTATAGTAAAATTTGTTCATTTTACTATGGCATATTTGTCTTCTTTAAATTACTATCGTTGTAATTCAAATTAATTTTATTTCAGTTAAAATCTTTGTTATTCTACGTTAAGAACAATAACAAAAATATTTTATTGCTATAAAAAGACTTTTTTAATATTTACTATTGTTTTGCAATGGTAACAAATTTTTTCTTATTCCCCTTAAAAAGAGGGGGAAAGGGCCAGCGCTCTCCTTGGTGAACATAACTTTGTAATCCACAGTCTGTTATAATCTTATTGATTTCACTTGTGCGAGTGAAGTTTGGTAAAATCTAGCATGATAAAAATATCAAAAAGATTACTAAGAAAATTAAAATTTCGACGTTTTCTAAAAGAAATATTTAATGTATATTCTATAAACGAAGCAGACTTGTTGTTTAAAAAGTGAGTTCATATTTTTTTTATTTTGTACATCATATAATATGAGTTAATAGTTTATTGAATTAACAATTAATTTGTTGCTAAATCTACTTTATTTTAAACGAAAAGGGATTCGTAAAATTTACAAAATTTCTATGAATAATACCATTAGGGTTTCATTAATACTACGTTTTTGTAAACGGTATAGAACTTAATACTATAGTTAATAGAAAATGAAGGTTATTTATGTAATGAAAAATATCGTACATTACGTCTCTAAACGCTTTTCACATGCTTGCACGATTATCGTGTTACAATCTGACAATTTTCCGGCCCCCTAATGAAATAAACTCAGTGGCGTAACTAATTGACAGGCGGGACACACAAGTACTGTAAAATGGGGTATTTTTTTACAAATTTCTCAACACGATATGTAATTGTTTGTGACGTTATTAAAAAAATATATATTTATCCAAAAATTTTAAAAAATTCTTTGCCGAATTTAATAAAACTTCTCGGGTTCCTTTTGGACCACCCTGTATACTAAATATAAAAGATCCTATTGTACATTTCATAAATACTCAAAATTATTGTTTTCATTCATACCTTAATTAAGGCCAGATATTTATGTCAATTGAACGTGGGAACTTAAACAATTAAAGATCTGTACAAGTTGTATAGTAAGTACAACATTGTTGAAAAATATTTTACTTTTATACCATAGTAATACAACGAATAGGATTTACCCCGTTTCCTTCAGAGTAATATCGATTCGAACAGTTAATAAAATTCAAGGTCATTTCACTCATGACCTCAACAAGTTGACTACTCCACTCTTTATTGCTCATTCCTTTTAAAAGGTCTCGAAAAAAATCATGCATAATAAAATGTTTAAATACTTGTCCCAGTAACTAATTTTTTTTACAGATGGATGGTCTTACTAATACGAGGTGTGTTCAGAAAATATCGGAAATTGTTAAATTTCGTGGGTTCGGAGGGTCCGGTTGTCATAAAATTTTCTTTATTATGTTGGTATACATGCCCCTGAAGTATCATAAAAACTTTAGATGTTTTCATTGTTTACTTTGTCTGTGGAAGCCGCTAAGGTTAGACGTGTTTTATGAGCTCGGCGATTTTTCGTTCGCTAAAAGAAAGTATTTGTATCCAATTGCTTAAAAAATGAAATTAATTCTGTGAAATGTTAACAAAGGCCTATAGTGAGTCTGCTATAAGTAAAACAAGAGTTTACAAGTGGTATAAGAGTTTCCAAGATGGCCGTGAAGACGTTGAAGATGACGAACGCCCCAAACCCACAAGCACATTAACAACCGATAAAAACATGGAAAAAGTGGAAGAAATGGTTATAAACCATCAGAGAAGTCGCTGATGATGTTGGTATATCGATTGGCTCATCCCATGAAATTTTTTCGAATGTTTTGGGTATGAAACGCGTGGCAGCAAAATTTGTTCTAAAATTGTTAAATTTTTTGCCCAAAAACAATACTGTAATGATGCCCCAGCCTCCATATTCGCCAGACATGCCTCTGTCTGACTTTTTCCTATTCCCAAAAATAAAGAGAACCTTAAAGGGCCGTCGTTTTGCAAGCATAGATGACATTAAAAGCGCATCGCTGAAAGAACTAAAGGCTATCCCAAAGACCGAGTTTTAGAAGTGTTTCGAGTATTGGAAGAAGAGCTGGCACATGTGCATAATATCCAATGGGGACTATTTTGAAGGCGACAACATTAATTTAGACGAATAAATAAATATTTGTTTCAAAAAACGAAAATTCCTGATATTTTCTGAACGCACCTCGTATGTTCTTTTTTTAAACAAATCCTAGTGTAAATAAAACCTTAAAAAGATTATTAACAATCAAAAAAATATATTTTTAAAATGATTAAGCATTTTTGTATAAGTTTTTTTAATATGTTAGTAAATTTGTGACCCAGGGGACCATTTTTTTTCTTTTTTAAGGGCTTTTTTAAAAAAATCCAACTGCCCACTTTTAGGTGGTAAATTAAACCCCTAAATAAACAAAATTTCTTTAAATGTACAAGAATTTTGAAAATGACCCCAATTTTAAATTAATAATCATAAACAACAAAGCGGTCATCATCATCAACGTTTCGTTTATAAGTTACAACATCGTTAATGTTTTTTATTTCTAGTATTACGTATAAATAGAAGATAGCAGGGCAGGTCCGGACCAGACGTTATTTAATCGAGGTAAGGCCCGTGTTAGTGTGTGCTTTACAATCAGACAAGTACAAAAAAGTATTTCAATTATATTGTCTTAGCGAGTTTAACATAGAATATCGTTTTTAAATGAACTGAGTTGGAGCTTTTTTCGGAATTTTATTAACAAAAATTTAGGCCAGGACTTCCCTGCTTTAGGCTATAAAACTTCGTATGCTTTAGTTGTAAATTGTTTTTGCTATTCTACGGGGTGTATCACTTTAAGGGGATGATAGTACAAGCCAAAATTAGAAAGTTTTATAAGGTTACACCCTGTACATAATATTATAAAAATTCTAAGTGAACAATAATTAATTAAAAAACAAGTTTTTTAATTACATATATTTAACTGATCAATTATTGTGTACTCATTTCTCAGTTTATGTAAAAACCAATTAGATATTTTAGTACTAAACATGTTTTTTATTTATAAAAATTACATATTATGTAGGTATGCAAGTTTTTTTTGTTAAGTGCACACGTCACCGGTCGTATCGTATGTGGTGTTACAGACATTTTTTTAATAAATATAACAAAAAAAGCAGTTTGTCTTAATAAAGTAAAGATCCCTATCGTCCAAAAATTGCTTTTGTTACGGCAAAAAGATCATTTTTATAAAAATTATTTATCTACAAACGCTGCTTTCAGTAATACCATTTGCATTAATTATAAAGTAAATGTACGTTATGTTTATAAAAATAATAACATAATATAACATAATAACATAATATAACACTCTTCCAGATGCAGAAACGCATTGATAAATATAGTTATTATTATTTGTCCAAAAAAACAGTTCTATACCGTTTACAAAAACGTTTTGTAGTATTAATGAAACCCTAATGGTATTATTCATAAAAATTTTGCAAATTTTACAAATCCCTTTTCTTTTAAAATATTTATTAATATTAATAAATGTAAATTTAATAAACTATTTTCATTGTAACAATGCTCACATTTTCAACCTACTGTTGGTTGTTTTACTGGGGTAGTTTTTTTTAAATAATTGCAAGGCATTTATTATAAAAAAAATTAACTCATATTATATGATTTACAAAATAATAAATATGAACTCACTTTTTAAACAAGTCTGCTTCGTTTATAGAATATACCTTAAATATTTCTTTTAGAAAACTTTAGTAATTGTTGTAAAAAACTCTACAAAGTTTTGTCATCTTGTACCATGAAATATAATATTTATGTACACACAATTATAACATTTTCTGGGCCCAGATTATAGTGACAAACGCAACAAGTACATGACTAAAATGAGCATATAAAAATATTGCTGTTCTAGGTGTGATAGTAATAAATTTGTTTCCATTTTGTTTGAATGTGTATTACAATTTATATTTGGAATTACTAAAAGATGTAGTTTATCCCTTACAGGTCGATATTGTTATGGTCAGAAATTGAAACGTCAAAAACAAATATTTCCGATAAACTTCTTTATTTACGAGAATATTTCAGGTACAGCTCCAAAAATCATTTAACCGTAAAATGCATTGATCAGAAATATATGAAATTGGTAATAATAGCTAGGTATATATATGTATATATAGTGTGCTGTTGAAGTTTAAAACAAAACCTCCCACGTTACTCAATCCATCAGCCAAAATCACATTTCCAGCTGAAAACGCCCGATTTGATTCACGTTAAGTTTTAAAATTAAACATTGTTTGAATACGCAGGAAAATAACTATTTTAGGTGCTACTTAATTTTATTAGCGTACATAATTGAAAAACAATTACGTGCTGAAGTAGCGCAAGCTACCAAACAAGGCATGCATAATATTATATTTACGGTACCGTAACTATTTTCTACATTCATTCATTTATTGTATTGTTTTACATATGTAAAAATATAGGATGTTTAGTTAAAAGAAAATTACATTTAGTTTTATAAAATGAACATGTTAACTTTTAAATTAACATATTTTAAAAAACTCTGTATAATATATCAAGAATGTAATATATTAATATTAATATTAAATCGCTATAGCTGTGTGTGAATTGCGCTTACATAAAGTAATGCGCAGTTGTTATAGTAAAATTTGTTCATTTTACTGTGCCATATTTGTATTTTTTAAATTACCATCGTTGTAATTCAAATTAATTTTATTTCAGTTTGAACATCTTTGTTAATAGCTTACGTTAAGGACAATAACAAAAATATTTTATTGCTATAAAAAGACTTTTTTAATATTTACTATTGTTTTGCAATGTTAACAACATTTTTGTTATTTCCCTTAAAAAGAGGGGAAAGGGCCAGCGCTCTCCTTGGTGAACATAACTTTATAATCCACAGTCTGTGTTATAATCTTATTGATTTCACTTGTGCGAGTGAAGTGTGCTAAAATCTAGCATGATAAAAATATCAAAAAGATCGCTAAGAAAATTAAAATTTCGACGTTTTCTAAAAGAAATATTTAAGGTCTATTCTATAAACGAAGCAGACTTGTTGTTTAAAAGTGAGTTCATATTTTTTTATTTTGTACATCATATAATATGAGTTAATTTTTTTGTTATAATAAATAATTTGTTTTAATGGCTTGCAATTATTAAAAAAAAACTACCCAACACCCAACAGTAGGTTGAACATGTGACCATTGTTACAATGAAAATAGTTTATTGAATTAACAATTAATTTGTTGTTAAATTTACATAAATTTTATTAATATTATAAAAAAAGTTTTATTTTAAACGAAAAGGGATTTGTAAAATTTGCAAAATTTCTATGAATAATACCACAAAACGTTTTTGTAAACGGTATAGAACTGTTTTTTTGGACAAATAATAATAACTATATTTATCAATGCATTTCTGCATCTGGAAGAGTGTTATTTTTATAAACATAACGTAAATTTACTTTATAATTAATGCAAATGCTATTACTGAAAGCAGCGTTTGTAGATAAATAATTTTGATAAAAATGATCTTTTTGCCGTAACAAAAGCAATTGTTGGACGAATACTTTCTTAAGACAAACTACTTTTTTTGTTATATTTATTGTGTTTCCTTTCTCCTGGAAAAATGGTAACCACACCCAAACTTCTTTTTAATTGAAGAAATTGAAGATAGTATTAAGTATACTACCAAGTTGGTAGTACCAACTTTTACATTGAAAATTTTCATTTGCTTCAATGTTAAAATTCTACCAATTAATTGATACAAGCGGTATTCCGAATGAGGGAATGTTGAGAGATGATTAATAGCATGTAAACTGTCATAACCCAAGTTATAGTTGGGTGTATAGTGAGCAAAAGCGGGACATCAAAGTGGCTAATGACCTGGCTTTTAATTAAATAAATACCATGCGGGCTTACTAGTTGACTTGCGTCCCTTCTACAATTAAATGTTGTTTTTTTATGAACGGAACAAACAAAATACATAATTTTAGTGATTTAATACATAAATTAAATGTAGAGGTACCACGTTTTTTTTTAATATTTAAAAATTCTCAGTATCCTGGTCTTAGGCCTTGTCAATTTAAAATTAAAATTATTTTGTTTAACTAGATTCATTCTATTCTTGATTTTCACTGCTCTGGAATATTCCCAAATCTCTAGATAATTCTCGTGTGCTTGCATGAGGATTAGCGGCCGTTGCTGCTAATACATTAATTTCATTATTTCCACCTGTGACTCTTTTTTTCGGTTGAACACTCCCGTTTGTGGTAAACTGCTTGACTGTACGGTGAAATGAAGTACGCGATCGAATTTTATCCGGAAAACGCTGAGCGTAGATATTAACAGCATCATCAAGATTCCTGCCTGCTTCTCCATAAATCAAAATCATTTCTATTTTTTCTTCCACTGTTAAAAATCCATTATGAATTAACGAAATGAGGTCTTTTTGTTTGCAAATTAATCTTCGAACTAAATTGATTAAATAATGCCAAACTATAAATAGTTTCTTTATACTTAAATAATAATTATTATTTATAACTAAATACCATTTTTTATACCTCAATTAGGATTAAATCAATTATTTGACAAAATAATGTTTTTTTTTACCTTAAATGAGGTATTTTTATTAAAAATAGTACAATAATCCTTTAAATTAAAGGATTTAATGCTGGCAGGTAAAAAGTGACCATGGTGCGCAATTGATAATTATCACCGAATGAAATAATGTATAAAACTTAAACCAAAGGAAACTTAAATATTAGTTAAAAAATCTGGGTACTTAAAAAAATCAGATTTAATTTAATAAGATAAATATTACCAAAAAGAGTGATATTTTTATATAAAAATTATAAAAAGTTATTTCAAGTTAAATGACACACCCTGTATTATTCTTTAATTTTTATAATATAATATGAAAATATAATATTACAAACGATAAATGTATTTTGTATATACAATTTTAAACGGGAATCTTTGCAAAACGCTTGACGGAGAGAAAGAAGCAAACACCTTGTGTTATATTTAGAATGGGCAGGATAAACATCAAAAGTATGCATATTCATAACAAATAAGTTTCTAGATACTGAGCAGAACATAACATTTTCGAAATTAACACACCAGTGGAGAAATTTACTTACTCTAAATTACGTTTATCTATTTTGAGTTCATAATGACTTCATTATAACACCGCTTTGGTGCTGTAATGAGATACTTCATCCCACCCAAAATTTTAATTTTATAGGTTGGCTATACTTTAAACAGCATAATATTTTGCATATTGGTTATAATATTTTTATGATTTTTCTAGTACTTACGAGACTTTTCTGGCAATAAACTTTTTTTTTCTTTAACATTAACAGCCGCTTATTGTAAAGAAGTAAATTAAGGACGGCATGACGAATCGATTTTGACATTAACTGTCAAACCAATGACAGTGATACCAACTATCTAAAGTAAAATTCGACCAAATTAAATTTATGGTATAAAATTAATTTTTTTTATAGAATTTTTGCAAAATAGCATAAAGAACTCATGTCATAAGACCTTTTGTCGCACTGGTCCATTACAAAACTCGCTCCTTCGTCGCTCGTTTTATAAATTGTCCGCGTGCGACAAAATGACGTCTTATGACATTAGTTCTTTAATATACTATTATTTGCAAGCGTTCTATAAATATTCTCATTAAAGTGATTGATTATCGCTTTGGCTGTAAAATAATTTAGACCATTCGGGTAAAGTTTTTTTACCTCCTAGTATGTAAAAAACCCGTTTGGACCAATCAAAAAAATTCGATAACTGTCAGATCTACCTAACCTTACTTTCTACTTTTAATACTAATTATTATAACAGTTCTACGTTTCATGTATTGTTTGACAATTAAAATTGTGCATTTAAGATAAAATGTTAATCCGCAGTGAAGCTATTTAAAGAATATCCTGTATATAAATGCCTTTAAATATGCTTTGTTGAATGTTTAGTTTCGGTTTAAATTTAGAACATGTGTATTGCTCCTGCACACCTAAACAATAAGTCAGTTTTTATTTTGGAATTTAAAACAATAAATGCCTAAATAACTTTCTTCATCAGTCTCTTTGTATTTCTGTTAATTTATTGATAATTCTACGAAAGTTAATTAATAAATATTGGGTTCCTTAATTGGTTGAAAGAAATTTGAAGGTTAATTGACAAAATTAAAACTCGTTTACTATTTTATTAGAATGATTTTAATTAAATAGGGCGATAGAATATTTCTTAAAGTCGTGCTTCTCGGTCAAATGTGTTAAGCTACGGTCAAAGAGTAATTACGAAATTCTTCCTTTCCTGTAAACAGATTCATTTTGTCACGAAGGAGATTTCTATATGTTCGCATATTTATATTGTACGTTTTAATATTTTCAAATAGGTATATATAAAGAATGACATTAGTCAATACATTATTTTATTAAAATATATAACAATATTAATTTAAAACAGAAATGGACCATTTATTTGGTTGATGTACTACAACATTTGACTAGAGGCGAATTTACACGAAAAAAAAAAATGTTGTGGAAAGTACTACAATTGTAGAATTTTCTGGTATAAATTGTTTAAAAAATACGACCAAGAACAATTTGTTAGAAATAATTTAACAATTTTGTAATAAAAATAAACAACAATTTATTGAAGATATAATTATATATTGTAGTTAAATTACTACCATTTGAAATCAATTTTAAAAAAGTTCTTAGTGTAGGGAAATATAATGATAATAAATAGAAAAAATCAATCTAAATAACATTATGGGTTGGTATTTATCAATTTCTTACGTTTTCAGTTATAAAAATGGCTGTAAATTCATTAAATATTGGTTGGATAACTTTTTTTATAATTCAGCCCTTTTTTCTCCCTACTTTTGCGGTTTGTTAGAAAAAAATAAAAAAAAACGATTTTTTTCAAAAACTGTCCTTTGACGACTTCTACTGGTGAACCAATGCGAGTTACAAAAAAAAACTCAAAAGCAATTTTATGAGCGTGAAATTCCCCATAAGGTGTATTAAACCGATTTGCAATATTGTCAAAGGTGGGTAAGCATTAGAAATTTGAAAAAAAAAATATTTTTTACATGCATTTTAAACGGTAAAACTTTAAATTTAAATAGTAAGTGCTTAAAATTAATATTAAGAGCTCAAACTTGGTGAGAATATTTTGCTTGAGCACCGAAAAAAAACAAAAACTTTGCGGAAATGAATCACCCTACTGTGCTATCAGGGCAACATTGCTGCTTCATTATAGTAAATGAGAATTTTATTAACGATTTCGTGGCATTAAATCAATATTTTTCGTTGCAGCCTCCGGAAAATGAGCTTCAAAAGGGCGAAGGCAGGGTGATGTCGGAGCACCAGCTTCGCTTTCAGCGCTCCCTGCAAAAGCTCACCGTCCCGGAATGGTGCAAGCAGTCGCAGCTGCCGCGCGAAGGTTTCCTCCTCAACAAGCACGCGCGACACCGCGAATCTCGCTGGACCGGAACCGGAAGCCACACCAACTCCCTCACAAACCTGGGCCACCAGCACCAACCCAACCCAGCCGCCCCGCAAAGCCCAGCTTCGCACTTTGTGCGATGGAGCACTTCAAGGCTTAACTCGACAGCTTCGAGCCCTTGCGCTAGCACGAGAAGCAGCTTCAACTCCCGGCAGCCCAACGGTTCAATCTCACCGTCGTCCGTGAGGAGCAGCTTCAGCTACAGACAACCCTACATGGGGTGGAGGTCCCAAGAAAGAATTGCCCACCCGAAAACCCCTCATGAGAGGCTGGCGAACAGTTTTATCGTGCAAACTTCCCAGCAGGAAAGTCCAGAACTCCAAAACTCCATAAAGGAAGTAACCTCCGCAATCGTGCACTACATGAGCCACCTGGAGGGTCAAGAGTTCCACTCTCAGCGTAGCTCTTCTGTTAGCCCGCGGGGGAGTCAGAAAATGTGCTGGTTGGAGAGCTCTTTCGTGGGGGTCAAACCCGTGGACTCCCCCCAAACGCCGCTCACTTTATCCGAGTCCCAATCCACGACGCCGGTTCCGCAATCTAACCTTCAACTGGACTTGCAGTCTCAAAACGGTAAGTCCATCAGGGTTTAGACCATTATTATGTAGATTTAGTTTGGATTTTTTTAAATTAACTTGTCGGTGGCCTTAAATTTTATCACCATTTACAGACACAGGGTGTTTCATTGAAAATATTAAGAGAATTTTTCTTTCTCTCAAATTATTTGAAAAACTAAAATCCTGTCAAAACCAAAAACCGTTATAGAGTCAATCCATATGAAAACGCCGAAACTCGTTGCTCGACCATCTTGAATTTTGCTTATATTAAAAAAAAAATGTAATTTTAAAGCTAAAATATAGTAGTTTTTATAAAAAAATATAAATTCACTCAATCAATATTCGTAAATAATTACACTGTGCTGAAAAAACGTGTATTTTACTAATTTTTCGTGTTTTTTAAATGCGTCCCATGTAGGGTTGCAACTTTTCATGAAAAGTTGAAATTTTTGAAAAGTTGGGTTTTATTTTTCGGAAAAGTTGGAAAAGATGGAAAAGTTGAGTTTTTTGTAATGTAAACGTATAAAACATAAATAATGCTTGTCAATGTATTAAAATAATTTATTTCTTATGTATTTATACATACGTAACCAAATAACAAAAAAAATATCAAACAAAATAAAATGAACAGACAACATAATAACAAAAATAAACTAGCTTTGAATTAAAAAAATCATATTTTTTAAGTAAAAAAGAATAGAAATTTATACACACCATAAGAAACACATACGAAATAAAAAATAATTACAAAAAAATATGAAGCAAAAATTATTAAATTTATTGTTGTTAAAAATTATGGAAATTTACAAGTAAAAATTTCAAAAGAAAAAATAAAGAAAACTTTCTTCTTTTCCACTTTTATATTTTCACTTGCAAATTTCCATAATTTAAAAAAAAAATATTTTTTTCATAATGTGTATAAATTTAAAATACGTTATAATAAAAAAATCTTTATATAATAGAAAATGCTGTTAGCAGACACCATTTTTGATAAAGTTTGACAGAATGTTATTCCAAAAAACAATGCTTTTAGCATGTTTTACTAAAAACACTTCAAATCTAGCGATTTATATCGAATTTTGACCAAATTATCTACCAAAAAAAATTTATGGTAGTGGAAACACTGGTTAGAAGTCAACTCATTGTTCATTGGCTCCCACCTAATAACTTTTCCAACTTTTCATAGGGGGTGCCGAACTTTTCCAACTTTTCCAACAATTTTTCCAACTTTTCGACCGAACTTTTCCTTGTTTGCAACACTAGTCCCATGTCTCGGCTGTTTAATATAAACAGCTAATTTTTTTCATATATAAAGTTTACATACCAAAGACAAAATAAAACTTACAATTGGCCCGTTTGGCGTACGGTTTCCAAACAAAAAAATTGCTTGAAATTTTGGAATTCTAGAAAGTCGCATTATTTAGGCCGATACATGAAGATGTTGACTTCCAAATAGAATTATGAAATTTACAGGATAATTAGCCCCTACCTTAATGTTCAAATGCCTGGTAGTTTGGTTTTGTTATTTTCATCTTTGAAGCTTATACAGTAGCTTTAAAAGGAAAAAAATATTGAAATATTAAAAAGTGGCATTATTTCATCCATTTTATAAGTATGTTGACTTAAATATAGAAATATGAAATTAACAGGATATTTAGTCCTTACCTTGAAGTTTAAATGCTGCATTTTGCTTTTACATGGGCTTTAAAAAGATCAAACATATTGAAATTTAAAAAACGATTATTGTTTAATTTTCTATTCTAAGAATGTGTTAACTTCAAGATAGAAACATGAAACTTAAGGGATATTTAGTCCTTACTATGATGTTTGGCTTATGCATGCCTATGCATATTTATGTAGGTACTTTATGCATATAACTTATGCGATTTTTTTAAATTTTAATATTTTTTTGCTGCTTTTAATGCATCTGTACAATCACAAAAAAAAATAAAAAAAAGCAAAATGAGCTATACAAGCTTTTAAACTTTGTGGTAAGGACTAAATTTCCTAAAGTTTTATATTTCTATTTAGAAGTTAACATTTATATGATTTAAGGATAAAATGAATCGTTTTTTAATTTTCCATGTGTTAGCCTTTTTTAAAGCCCATGTATAAGCAAAGTGGATGAAAATATCAAAACAAGTCAAACAGGCATTTCATTTTCAAGGTAAGGACTAAACATCCTGTTAATGTCATATTTCTATATTAAAGTCAACATACTTATATAATGGATGAAATAATGCCACTTTTTATTATTTCAATATTTTTCTCCATTTAAAGCTATTGTGTAACCTTCAAAGATGAAAATACCAAAACCAAACTACTTAAGGTAGGGGCTAATTATCCTGTAAATTTCATAATTCTATTTGGAAGTCAACATCTTTATATAATGGCCTAAATAATGAGATTTTCTAGAATTTCAAAATTTCAAGCAATTTTTTTGTTTGGAAATCGTATGCCAAACGGGTCAATTGTAAGTTTTATTTTGTCTTTGGTATGTAAACTTTATATATAAAAAAATTAGCTGTTTATAATAAACAACCGAGACGCATTTAAAAAACACAAAAAATTAGTAAAATATACGTTTTTTCAGCACAGTGTAATTATTTAGAAATATTGATTGAGTGAATTTATATTTTTTTTTATAAAAACTACTATTTTTTAGCTCTAAAATGACATCTTAAAATTTAAAATATCTTAATTAGAAAAAAAATTACAGCTTAAATTATTAATTTTTAAAAAGTGTTAATTCGAATAGGCCGGATTTGGCACATGCGAAAAATTAAATAAGGGTGGATTTTGTCCTTTGGGACCATAATGAATATTTCTATAAAGTATAAGCAAAATTCAAGATGGTCGGCGTTGTCATATGGATTCACTCAAATATCATTTTAATAGGCTAGTAATTATGCAACTTTTTTTGATATACTTGTGAAGCACCCTGTATACTATAGACTCTAAAAAATCGACAATTTTTTTGTAAATACATGACGAAAAAAACATTAAAATTTGCTATAAATTTAACTTTGTTCTTGAATGACTTTTGAAGGAGTAGATTTATCATAAAAAGATAAAAGACCTTTTTTATAGAGTGTTAATGAGTCGAAAATTCCAAAGTTAACTCACCAAGAGATTACTTTATCGGTATTTTATTTTTTCATTTCAAATATGGTTTTTAAAAAATATTCGATTTTTTTGACAGTCAAAATTCAACCAAACCTTATAAAAATTTGACAACGATTTATAGATCTGTCTACTTTAATTAAAATGACTGACTTAATAAAATGCAATATTTTACAACAGTTGGCCACCAATTAACACCAAATTTCTTTAATTTTCTTATTTTAGAATTTGCCTTATTTTTATTTTTCGTATGATTTGGTAGTAAGTAACAATTCAAAGCAAATTATTAAATCGTAGATATTATATTGTATACCAATGATATGTTGATGCTCTCTTTATAAAAACCAATGGGTACTATTTTGTTTTAGATTGTTTTTAAGAATATGTTTTATTTTAGTTTTAGTTATAAAATTTATCAATTTTTTACCTGTGGTACAAATTTTCGAGTTTTGTTTAAATTTCGCGTGTACATAATTTGTCACCTCATATTTTATAAGACTGGTAAATTATGATGGTTTTGATGATTACTTTAAATTTTTAAAATGGCATTGCATAATGTTAAAATTCACAAATTTTTTTAGTTTCTTTTGCTGAAAAAGCAAACATTTTTGTTTTAATATTATTATGACAACGTTTTTTAATGTTATTGGTGCTTTTTTAATAATATATTCTTGTTATTGAAATCTTGAAATTGCTTTATCTAAGTTGTACCTAAGTCGTAAGTTTTATATACCTACATATAATTGTATTCTATATGAAATATTTAATTGATTAATACTTAGTTTGTATATAACATTTTTGAAAGTATTTTATTAAGGTTTTAGTTCGTTCTAATTGTATTTTTATCATTTTTTCATATTGTGCAACTATTTCTGCTTTATTATTTATTTTTTGTATATGTATGTCATTTATGTCAGAATATGCATGTTATACACAAATTCATCAATAAATGTTTTATTTTTTACAATCTTGTTTTTATGTTTATGCACCTTTTTAGTCATACACTCACAGGCAAAATACACAAATTTTCGATGAATTTCAATCGCAAATAACTTTTTTATTTAATTTCGGATTTAAACAAATATTAAAGAATATTGTAGATACATTAATGGAGAATCGCTCACATTTTAAAAATTACTAAAAAATACACGTACCTTTATAATATACAGGTTTAAACAAAAAGATGTTTTTTAGCATAAGTTTAAAACACTCTGTAGAGTGGCAAAACCGTATATTGTTCTAAATTAAGTTTTAATTATCAAGTCACATCTATTTTTAACAGGTTTTGTTTTTGGTTCACCTTGATATATTTATTTTTGTGGAAAATATGATTTTTTTTTTAAAACATTGCAATTTTCAATATTTTTTCTGTATGAAGAACTAAGGTTGCTATGGTCCATACATAGCCTATGGAGGATGACAGTGACAGTTTTGTTGAATCTTCCCATACTTGGACATGTCATATACAGCTTTCAAAAGGTATCAAATTGTATTTTGTAAATTAAAGTGTTAATTTTGAGGTGTCTTCTTACTTTTAAAAATGTCTCCGACTGATGTTGCCCTTTGTACTTTACTTCTTGTGACGTTCAAAACACTTGCCACGTAATACTGTGACCGTCCATCCTGGATTAAATTAATTGCTCTGGCAACATCAGTCGGAGACATATCCATTTTTTAAAGTAAGAAGACACCTCAAAATTTGAACATTAATTTGCAAAAAACAATTTGACAGCTTTTGAAAGCCGTGTATGACATGTCCAAATATGGGATGATTCAACAAAACTGTCACTGTCATTCTCCATAGCCTATGGATGGACCATAGCAACCTTAGTTCTTCATACAGAAAAATATTGGAAATTGCAATGTTTTTTTAAAAAATTCATATTTTCCACAAAAATAAATATATCGACGTGAACCAAAAACAAAACTATTAAGAATAGATGTGACTTGATAAATAAAACTTAATTTAGAACAATATTCGGTTTTGCCACTCTACAGAGTGTCTTCAACTTATGGTAAAAAATATCTTTTTGTTTAAACCTGTATATTATAAACGTACGTGTATTTTTTAGTAATTTTTTAAAATGTGAGCGATTCTCCATTAATGTATCTACAATATTCTTTAATATTCGTTTAAATCCGACATCAAAAAAAAAATTATTTGCGATTGAATTTCATCGAAAATTTGTGTGGATCGATTATTTTGCCTGTGAGTATATAACGTCCAATAAATTTATTAGTGTAAATGTTTTTCAGGAAAAGTTAGTTGCATGAAAGTTTTTATGTTGGTAGGTATTTGGTTTGCTGTAGGTACGTTGTTTTATTTGCTTTAGTCCAGTCTAATTGCGCGAAAAAGGGGCGGAAATTTTAAAGTGTAGTGGGTGCTACTGAAACATTTTACCTTACATTTTTTTACATTTTTATTGAGCGTTTAGGAGTAAATGCTGAAATTTAACATTTGAATGCCACACTGGAACAACCTTGTAAGTGACAGAAATGAGTTTTGTGGACAGTTAAAAAAACTGTTTGTAGTCTGGTGCTTTTAAATAAAAGTACAATGATATAAAGTATGTCACACATAATAGCATTATTATAGCACACAATGTCACAATCTAACCCCCTCCCCTAAACGTGTGACATACTTTATGAACAAATACAGGGTACCACAAAATAATCATTTTTGCATTAGAGATACTGTTTTTTAATAAAAAAAATCATTAAGATTTTTATAAGTAAAGTAGAAATTATGGGCCGCCACTGACATATGACAACTGCCGCAAAATATGCTTGCACAGTGGGCAATAATCCACATTCATTAAAAATTTACATTTGTGTTATCATTGATTACTTTGTATATAATCATAATATATATAATATTTAGGCCGAAACAGGATGATTTATATACATCTAAAATTTTTTCTGGTGGTATTCTCCGAATTTATTAATTTTTTTGCCTTTAGTTTTTTATGTTCTCTATCATGCACTGTATTTAAATCACTGTTATTCTGCAAGATGTCCTGTGACGAAGAAATCACTATATTATTTACTCTCTAAAAATGAATTAGTCAAAAATGTCATAGCGAAAAAGCAGCCAATAATAATTCTCGTCAAAAGCAATTTGTATCCAGGACATTTAGCAGTTAATTTCTATGAAATATTATTCGCTGAGTCTGAAAATGTCAAAAGTTATAAAAGTAGAACAGTTTTAGAAATATAATTTTACATATAATATGGAATTGACTATATCTCAAAAAATGCTTAACTTTTATAGTTTTTGACGGTCTTTTCGGATTCAGACAATTTTACATGAAAATTGGCTGGTAAATGTCCGGGATACAAATAAAGTATGATATTGGACATTTGTCCAATAATAGAAATTTACATTTTTTACCAACCAGTAATTGGACCCTGGCCATTTTACAGTTTGTTTTCAGAATTAAAGTTTAAATGCATTAAAGTGACAATGTTTAAACCAATTATACCACACACTGATCTGTACACTTTTTAGATATATATATATATATTTTTTATTGTAATTTAAACACAGCCCTGCTCTTAACAAAAAAACAAAAACTATTAAAAAACAGTAGCTCCATTAGACTGGACCCTTGTTTAATCGATCAGAAATCATTTTTAGACGATGGTACTGAAGTAAACAAATTTTTCCAAAATAATATTTACATTCCTCTGACCAGCTAATCCTTTTGTAACTTTTCCCAGACCTCACTCGAAACAGCGGACGCCTATCGCCTTCATCCACAACTTTGGAGGATGTCTTGGACTCTCTTTTGGGTCTCCCTAGCGCGGGAGGTAGCGGAAGGGCTCCCAGCCCCAGTCTCCAAGGTAGGAGACATGTGTAAGTGTCATTCCAGGTTACTACTACTCAACCACTTCTTCACCACTTCACTACTTTAAAGCACTTTAAAGGGCTTTAATATCCCTGATAGCAAAATTTGATTCTAAGAATCTTCTAAGAAGATATTACCCGGAATAATGGAATATTCTTAGAACCTTCCCTTATTGCTAAGAATGTTCTTAGGGACTTTTAAAACATTCAATAGATACCCTTTTAATGATGCAATTAGATTCTTAAAAGCTTCTTAAAACCTTCCTAAAAAGCATTCTAAGAACATTTTAAGAATACGTTTTTGGAATGTTCTTAGAAGGTGTCTTATGGAGCTTCTAGGAAGCTTTTGAGAATATTTCCAAATATGTCAGATACCCACGTTCTAATATGTTGGATTCTACTTTCGTAAAATTCTTCAGGAGGCGACAAATACGCCTCACTGTCATAATATGACAGTGAAACGTATTTGTCATCCCCTTAAAAAATTTTGCGACATATTAATACCTATATATTTATTTAAAAATATTAAATAAACAATTTAACCTCTAAACCATAAGTTGTATGACATTATTTCATAAAAAGTAAAATTAGAAAACTTTGTGGGATAAGTCAGATTAGATTGAAGTTGAAGATAGTTAGGATTATTATACATAAAAATGTTAATTCCGAAATAGAAAATCGGTATACAAATTAATAAATATTTATTTTTAACATAAAATAAAATATAAAAAAACAAAATATTTCCTTATAAAATAATTCTTCATAAAAGAAAAAAACCAAATAGTTCTTCATAAAAAAACATTTTTCAATGTATTTAAGTTGGATAGAAGGTTTTATGTAAAATCCGGATAATTTAGATACCTATAGTAAAAGTATTTTTGTTATCGAATATTGTTTTAATTTGACAAATAACTATAAAAAATATTTTGGGTTGTGTTTTTTACTTAGTATTTAATACTAAGTATAGGTACCTTTATACGTAGATTATGATATATTTTACTATTATATAGGTACCTAACTGAACTGAATGTGCTTAACAGAATGTTCCAGGAATATTCCTAAATGAACTTTCTATAGCAATTACTTTCTCAACATTCTAAGCAAATGTTTAGAGTGGATACATTTTTACCACTAAACTTTGCACCTTCTAAGAACCTGCCTATAGGCCTTAGGATTATACTATATTTCTTTTAAGCATGTTCTTTAGAAGAAATATAGCATGATCCTAAGAATATTCTCACTGGAAGGTTTAAAAAATTCTTAAAATATGACTAGAAGAAATATAGCATGATCCTTAGAATATTCTCAGTGAAAGGTTTAAAAAACATTCTTAGAACATGACTAGAAGAAATATAGCTTGATCCTAAGAATATTCCCACTGGAAGGTTTAAAAAACCTTCTTAGAATAAACTGTGCTATCAGGGATTGCAGTCTAATGTTGCATAATCAGGTTTAAACTGGTACTAAAGCCCTGTGGTTACTCACGCCATTAACCTTGAATGAATAATGGCATAAAACAACACTATAATCGTAGAATACTCAGTGACATGGAAAATATAACTTTTTACGAGGTGTGTTCAGAAAATAACGGGAATTCTTAAATTTCGCGAGTTCGGAGGGTCCGGTTGTCATAAAATTTTCTTTATTATGTTGGTATACATGCCCCCGAAGTATCATATAAACTTTAGCTGTTATCATTGTTTACTTTGTCTGTGGCAGCCGCTAAGGTTAGACGTGTTTTATCAGCTCGGCGATTTTCGTTCGTTCAAAAGAAATGGATCAAAGAATTTGTATCCAATTTTGCTTAAAAAATTAAATAAATTCTGTGAAATGTTAACAAAGGCCTATAGTGAGTTTGTTATAAGTAAAACAAGAGTTTACAAGTGGTATAAGAGTTTCCAAGACGTTGAAGATGACGAACGCCCCGAACGCACAAGCACATTAACAACCGATAAAAACATGGAAAAGTGGAAGAAATGGTTATAAACCATCAGAGAAGTCGCTGATGATGTTGACATATCGATGGGCTCATCCCATGAAATTTTTTCGAATATTTTGGGTATGAAACGCGTGGCAGCAAAATTTGTTAAATTTTGAACAAAATTTTTGGCCAAAAACAATACTGTAATGATGCCCCAGCCTCCATATTCGCCAGACATGCCTCTGTCTGACTTTTTCCTATTCCCAAAAATAAAGAGAACCTTAAAGGGCCGTCGTTTTGCAAGCATAGTTGACATTAAAAGCGCATCGCTAAAAGAACTAAAGGCTATCCCAAAGATCGAGTTTTAGAAGTGTTTCGAGTATTGGAAGAAGAGCTGGCACATGTGCATAATATCCAATGGGGACTATTTTGAAGGCGACAACATAAATGTAGACGAATAAATAAATATTTGTTTCAAAAAACGAAAATTCCCGATATTTTCTGAACACACCTCGTATATCAAAGTCTATGACTAGCAGAAAAAATTTCTATATTCTTTGCCACTAAGTGTATTAAAGCTTTTCAATTTTTAATGTTAATTTATTATTCAACAACAGCATTATTGGTCATTATTATCAACCATTTCTAGATTAGTTTATTATTTATTTAAAAGCTTTATTAGTTAGTAGTTAAAGGCTGTTTGGAAGTAGCAGTGCATATACATAGCTTAAGCTAAAAATATTTTTGTTTATTTTTTTTAGAGGCTATAAAGCCGTTAGGACATAATTGTTTTTGAAGAAAAATGAATTAAAACCGAAATAAAAGGTAAATTTTCAGTTGAAAAATGTAACGGTTACAATAATTATTGTTACTTGAAAAAGGACAACTTTGGTGATATGTTTAACAAATATTGGAAATATTCACCAACACCAAAACAAAACACAAGTGCATTCGGATGATTTACGTCTCTCGCCTGATGGCTCGAGAAGTAAATCTTCATAGTAAATATTGCGCATTATTTCTAGTGTAATACTATCCCAAGCAGCATTTTTGGTTCCAAAAACCATCGCAAAGTGGTGCTAACTTTAAATTAGTTAAGTATACTAAACAGCTACTTTAATTTTTACTTAAAAGTAATTCTAACTTTTAAATAGCAATACCCATTATGGGAAGTCCCGGAGCATTCGCCATTTTTGACAATTTGGTGGATGCGCAGCAATTAAAAGATATCCTAAATAACATCCCTTAACAAACGATAGTTTAACTATGATTTTGTTTGGATTAAGTTAGGTTACTGTTTGTTTAATTTTGGGAATTTTGGGCATGGAAAAACGATGACAAATGTATATTTGGGCAAATATTGGGCTTCTGAAAAATTGACAAAAGAAATACAATATTTACAAATATTATAATAATTATTATATTTGAAAGATTATTACTAAAAAACTTGATCTCGTTTACATTAAAATCTATTAATTTTTTGGAAAGTATTTGAAAATTGTGGAAATAAAACGCTTTATATATATTATAAATATATTACAAATACATGCACAGAAAACAATTAAAAAATTTTGTATTTAAATTTTATAATTATAATAAAAATATATTTAAAAAAATAAAAATTTGTTAAAGAAAAAAAACAAAAAATTATGATTAAATAATATAATTGGAAAAAAATATTGTTTTTTATGAAGAATCCTAAGAAAATTTTTCAATCAAATATTTTAAGTCACGGTAAGTAAGCTACAGATTTTTAGTCACGGGCTGAAGTTGTCAAATGTCATACAATCGTTAAAAAAAGTGCCTTTTTTGTAAAATAATACTAAATATGAAAATTATTTTATCATCCCAATACAAAAATACAAAAGTATTACATAGTTTCTCAACGCCAATATTTGAAAAGTTTATATGAACATTGTACTGACCTTTTAATTTCGCCGGCAATAAACTATAACTTAAATTCGGGCACGGACTCCACTGTAAAGTGCTCATAAAACATTTTCTTTACTTTCACTGTGAAAAACTGTCAATTTTCAAGAAATACATTTCGATTTATAACCTTTATAATTGTGTTTATAAAATGTAAAAATGTGACATTTGACGGTGACACACAGATTCCCCTATTGTTTCATAGATGGCGCTCTATACAAATTTTTGAAAAATAAAATTAAAGTAGGTTATAATTTCTAGCTTGCTGACACTGTCTATAATTATATTTTGGTTTATTCGTTTTAATAAATTAACGTTTTGAAAGGAAACTTTGGGTTTTGTTTTGGTGTTGTTGAAAATATATTTGTTTAATAATGGAAAATAATATTCCCTTGGTGTTTTACAGAAAGTATTATTTTCCAGGAACAGTATCAGCTAATACGAGCCCGTGTCGTCTTAGCACCCTCACCGACCACACAGACCAGTTTCGTAGAAGATCAGAGGGTAGTGAACCAGGAAGTTCCCTGTCTACAGGTGGCGCCACCAACCGGAAGGTGTCCCTAAACACCTCACCAGTGTTGAAGTGCCGTTTCTCCCACTGCGGTAGAACCGCTTTGGCGAATAGCGAAGAGGCCGCTTTCTTTAAGAGCTGCCACAATTGTAGTTTCATGTACTGCTCTAGAACATGCAGGAGAGCCCATTGGGAGAAACACAGAAGGAATTGTTTGTTTTCGCGTATAGGTTCGCTGTGTCGGCAAGTTATAGCGGCATGTAAGGAGCAAAAAGACACGCTACTGCATCTGTCCACCATAGCGCGCAGAGGTTATCTCTCCCACGGTTTGGGAGCTGTGAAGTGCTTCTTCGCCTGCCCAGAATTGGCGGAGAAGTTTTTATTCCGAGGTTACCAGAACTTGGGTGAGTTAACGTACGTTAGATGGCAAGACTTACTACCTTCAGAAATGGGTGGTAGTCTCTATGCGGAACTGGTGCAGATGTGCCGTAACTACAACCCGGACACAAGGCTGGTTTTATACGTAAGTGTATGCGCAATCAGCGAAACTCCCGCAACAGGCGCCGTTAAGTGGGAACGTCAACTAGTATCGCGTTGCGGAAGGCTGAAACTCAGCAAAAACATCCCCATACCGGAGAAAGAGCAGGAAACCCTGGAAACCCTCATCCTGACATCGCCAAAAATTCGGGGAAACCCCGAAACCATCAGAATCACCCGCGATACCTGCGTCAACAACCTACAACTCCATCTATTGGAGCGCGGGGTAAACCTAAAACAGCAACATCCGGACATTTACCGTCAGCTGAAAGTCTATTCGGAAGGTGCGGTAAAATTCATCCCGGTTAACGTTTATCCCGTGGATTTGCTTACGGGAAAAAGTTTCATGTGCATCATAATGCTGGAAGCCGACTCTGATAGTTTGAATAAAATCAAGACAGCCGGTGTGCAGGTTAAAACAATTGACGTTCTGAGCACTCCCCTCCCCGGGTGATTGCAAGGCAAAGTTGGCGCTTTAAATACACAAAAACCGGTGTGCTGATATCCCAATAAACATTTTTGTTTTTATAGTGGTTGCCATAAATGTTATAATACCCTTATATACCCCTTAAAGAGCTTATTTGAGGGGTTTATAAAGGTAATTGTTACTTGTGTTTAATAACACTATGAAGTTTTATAACTGAGAGTAACAGAAATATTTTGGAGACCACTATATAACTTCTTAAATAACTGCGTTAAACACCTTAAGTTATATAACGTGTGACGTCATGTACCAAATAACAAAATCAAATAAATCGTCCTGGAAAGGTTTAAATCAAACAGATAACTCCAGTTTGATATTTTTTGTGAAGTTGACATTTTTACAAAAAAACAAGCTAATGTTGATAAAATTACATAAAACAATAGCGAAGTTATGAATTTTTTAGTTTTTAGTTTTTTTTTAATATGTTTATTAGGGTGGCCAAAAAAAAAAGAATATTTTTTTTCTCGTCTCTTGTAAAAATATGTTAATTTATCATGCTGTAAGAGCCCTGTCAAAATATCAGCTCGATTAAAAAAACTTTAGGGGTCGCTCAAGATTTTTAAAAATTTTCAAAATTTTTTTTTTCGTCTCGATATTATTTTTTTGGTTGAAAATAATAAAAATTCTGTAATTTTCAAATCAATATTTTCAATAAAAGTTCGTTGATATTTATATTCAGAGGTCGCTCGAAAACATTAAAAAAATCTTGAGCGACCTTTAGAAATCAAAATATCGATTTGAAATTTTCAGAATCATTATTTTTAAATTAAAAAATAATATCGGAACGAAAAAAAAATAAAAACTAAAAAAAATCCAATTTTTGACGATTTTGGAAATTTTTAAAAATCTTAGCGACCCATAAAAAAAATTTTAATGGTGCTGATCTTTTGACAGGGCTCTTGAAACATGACAAACCAACATATTTTCACAAGAGACGAGAAAAAAAATATTCTTTTTTTTTGGGCCACCCTAATGTTTATTCTTTAATGAAAACCTAAATAAAGTGCATGATTGAAATTTTTTGAGTTGACTGACTCCGCAAACGTAATTTCTTTTATTTTTCGTCTTGGCATAGTGACATTTTACTGGTATTTTTTGATATTTCAACAAGGTTTTATTTAGTTAATAAAAAGTGTAAAATGAGTAAAAGAAGTAGAAAGTTCGAGTGCGTAAATAACCCGCGCAATCTGGGCGACGTAAGTGATGAGCACGGTGAACGTTTTCACCAGCAAATGAAGGCTATAGCCTTTGATATATATCCCTGATAGCAAAATTTGATTCTGAGAATCTTCTAAGAAGATATGACCCGGAATAATGGAATATTCTTAGAACCTTCCCTTATTGCTAAGAATGTTCTTAGGGACTTTTAAAACATTCAATAGATACCCTTTTAATGATGCAATTAGATTCTTAGAAGCTTCTTAAAACCTTCCTAAAAAGCATTCTAAGAACATTTTAAGAATACGTTTTTGGAATGTTCTTAGAAGGTTTCTTATGGAGCTTCTAGGAAGCTTTTGAGAATATTTCCAAATATGTCAGATACCCACGTTCTAATATGTTGGATTCTACATTCGTAAAATTCTTCAAGAGGCGACAAATACGCCTCACTGTCATAATATGACAGTGAAATGTATTTGTCGCCCCCTTAAAAAAATTTGCGACATATTAATATATATTTATTTAAAAATATTAAATAAACAATTTGACCTTTAAACCATAAGTTGTATGAAATTATTTCATAAAAAGTAAAATTGGAAAATTTTGTGGGATAAGTCAGATTAGATTGAAGTTGAAGATAGTTAGGATTATTATACATAAAAATGTTAATTCAGATATAAAAAATCGGTATACAAATTAATAAATATTTATTTTTAACATAAAATAAAATATAAAAAACAAAATATTTCCTTATAAAACAATTCTTCATAAAAAAAAAACCAAATGGTTCTTCATAAAAAAAAACATTTTTCATTGTATTTAAGTTGGATAGAAGATTTTATGTAAAAGCCGGGGATAATTTAGATACCTATAGTAAAAGTATTTTTGTTATCGAATATTGTTTTAATTTGACAAATAACTATAAAAAAATATTTTGGGTTGTGTTTTTTACTTAGTATTTAATACTAAGTATAGGTACCTTTATACGTAGATTATGGTATATTTTACTATTATATAGGTACCTAACTGAACTGAATATGCTTAACAGAATATTCCAGGAATATTCCTAAATGAACTTTCTATAGCAATTACTTTCTCAACATTCTAAGCATATGTTTAGAGTGGATTAATTTTTACCACAAAACTTTGCACCTTCTAAGAACCTGCCTATAGGCCAGGGAGAATATTCTTAGGATTATGCTATATTTCTTTTAAGCATGTTCTTTAGAAGAAATATAGCATGATCCTAAGAATATTCTCACTGGAAGGTTTAAAAAACATTCTTAGAATAAACTGTGCTATCAGGGAGCTTATTTTTTTCTTTAAGTATAATCTATACGTAAAATAAATGAAACTGAAATTATCTCTTCGATTTCTATCTTTCCCAGAATATGTACGCCTATGCAAAACTGTTTGTAACATTTGAATCTGGTTCGCACATGACGTCACTTGCGAGTTTTCGTTTCATAACCAGCGTACCGTTTTTTGTGTATTTTGCTTTTGTTGTTTATAAATAGAGCTTTCCCGGTCGTAATATTGTACCTTGAGGGTAATTTTTATAGTGACAATAACGTTTAAGAAATACTGTAAAGTCGCAAATAATTGCTGTTTTAATATAAATCAAGTTATTGTAAATAAACATTTGTTATTAAATGAAATATTAAGTACCTAAACGTTTTCAAAATAAGCACTTTTTTCAAAAAAAATAAGCATTTTAAATGAATAAACATTTGCTACATAATAATTTTAAGTTTCAAAGTATATTTATTATAATGTAAAACATTGTAAATAAATCCTTAGTGTAATAGGTAATAATGCATTTTTATGAGAAATTAAAAAAAATATGTTTAAAGTATAAATATTTATTTTATAACATATATAGGGTCGTCCATATATTCATGCAATAAAGTATAGTAATTGGACACATGGACTATAGTTATTGGACATACAATTTTTATATAAACACAACAACTTTACATCAAATAACATAAATTGCTAAATATTTTTTAAAGATAAATGGCTGTTTTCGGTAATTTTTTTTTATTTCGTTTTTGTAAATATATAATTCATATATTTTTTTCTCGGATTCCTCATCCCTTTTCTGGATTCTAAAGGTAACTACTAATTCCTTGATCTGACTTCTAAAATAGTTTGTTGCAAATATCGTTAAGTGTGGTATCTCTATTTTGTGACGCATTTATAATGTTTAGGCCGGAACAGGATGATTTATATATATCTAATATCTTTCGGGTGGTATGTTAAAAAGTTTTTTTCCGAATTTATTAATTTTGTTGTCATTACTTTATTATGTTCTTTATCATGCTCTGTTATTCTGCAAGATGTCGTGTGACGAAGAAATCACTATATTACTTACTCTCTAAAAATGAATTAGTCAAAAATGTCATAGCGAAAAAGCAGCCACTAATAATTCTCGTCAACAGCAATTTGTATCCAGGACTTTTAGCAGTCAATTCCTATAAAATATTATTCGCTGAATCCGAAAATGTCGTCAAAAGTTATAAAAGTAGAACAGTTTTTGAAATATAATCAATTTTACATATAATATACTACTTTTATAGTTTTTCAATTTTTTACAAAAGAAAAAATAATGATGTAGGTAATCCTTTTTTTTTCTTATCTGTCCCCCCTGTCATCATTTGATGACGTAATATACATATGGACAACCCCTAAGTAATGGAGTGGCATTTTCTTGTAGTAACCAAAATATGGATATTTATGGGACAATGTTCAATTCAACTTTTCAAATATTGACGTTGAGAAACTATTTAAAGCTTTTGTATTGAGATAATAAAATAATTTTGACATTTGGCAACTGTCAACTAACTCAAAGATAACTTCAGCCCGTGACTAAAAACCTGTTGCTAACTTCAGCCCGTGACTAAAACGCCACAAAGCCACCACCTATCAATGTGTTTTATGTTTTCATTTTTACTATTATGTAGGTAGGTATATCTATATTTTGGATACTTGCCCCTGCATTATTGTTAATAAAAATTTAAAATTTGCCAAATGTAAAAAAATAAGTATATAGAATTAATTTCGATTCTATAGCCTAAAATGACTACGTATTTAGAAAATATGCTTTAAATACTAAACTAACACCCTTTTCTGTGATTTACCTTTAAAAATAAATACTTATAAAAATATACCTAATTAGTATAAAGCATTTATATGTCTATAGCTAGAGCTTGTTGTTAATTAATTCGCAGATTTTAAAAACATAATGTTATATATTTTCATTGTTGCTAAAGACCAGAAAATAATTACATGCTTCATCTTAACTAAGAGAGTAAAAAATAATAATTTAGGTACTTATGAAAGGCAATCAGTTATGCCAATAACATATACATACTCATCATAAATTGTTTCTTGTGGTAAATTTGTGCCAAAGAAATACTCTTGTACCAAATGATGCACATATCTTTCCATTTTAGTAAAAATGATAACACAAAAGAGAATAAAAATTGACTTGTAAATATAGGTATTCATTTATATTTATTTTGCAAAGTTTGTACCCACTTCACCTGTAAATATTTTAAAATAATAATATAATAATTAAAATAATGTTTAATTGGTGTGTATGTATATTGTTAAAGTACTATTAACTATTATCTTACTTTAATTGCTCATAAAGAGTTTGTTGACTGAATATTTTAAAATCGTTGTTATTATGCCTATTCTTAAAAAATACATTGTTGGTGTTTCAATTTCCGTTTACCTATTTGATAAAAATCATTGATTTTATGTAGCAATTATTGTTGAAAGCAATAAAAAACACAAAATTGAAATTGTGTCTTATTTTTACAGTTTTACCCTTTGATTATTTCCCTCATTATAATATGAACCAATCAAAAGCCTTGAATTTTCGAATAAATTTCGTTTAAATAAGCGATTAAATCACTAGAACTATTTAACAGCGATTAAATTTTAGCGTCCATATTGGATTTTTGTTTACGATTTTATGGTGTTATTTACAAGTTTTAACAAACATTTTTTAAAAAACAATAAAAAATAAGTTATCTAGTTTACGAAATATCAATTATTACTTACCTATTACATACCTTAAATTAATGGAATTTTCTTAAAAAAAATATTTATAAATTTTGACACATACCTACGTCAGATTTTATGAATTGTCAAATAGTTTCCTTTAATTCGAGAAATAATCTAGACGTATATATACGTGATATATCACTCAACCTATAAATTTAATCTGTCAAACTATGCTCAGTAAGTTTTTTATTTGATTTTTCTTTTTGGAAAATAGTTTCATGCAAAATAATTAAAAATAAAACCCCTCGACCGCTACGCGGTCTCGTGATTTTATTAAATTATTTTGCATTCAACATTTTTCAACAAAAACCAAACAAAAAACTACTGAGCCTAATTTAACCGATTAAATTCATAGTTCTCGTGATATAATATAATATATTATCATATTATGATTAATGATTAATCACAGACCACTGTGTGATTAATCAATTCTTAAAATTGGCAAAAGCGTTACAAGCGCCATCTATTAATCAGTAGAGGATTCAATCTGTGTAATGTTGGTTGCCGAGTCCGAGGAAAAACATACAGAGATGGCGCTGTGAAAGTTGGGTTCGTTTCTCGACTGCATACTGCAGCGCTACCTGACATCATAAAAATAAAAAAGATCAGCATCTTGAGTAACAAGGTCAACAACCATAAATGTTGAAGAAGAACGAAATTTTGTTGTATCGTCGAATAAGTTTCGGACAGTGATGTGATTCCAGTTAAATAAAATATAATGCAGTCAAGTAACCAATGGTAAGTCTTTGCACTTCACTTGTTTCTTTGTAACAAAAGCAACTTCCCCCTATATCGATAACGATTTTTGTTAAATTCAATACGAAATTCCGTAAAACGACGGGGTTTTAATAAAAAATAATGTTTTTGTGCTGGTTGATGGTCATTTTGGCAAAGTAAATTAATTGGGGCAGAAAAAAACGCCGAATTCCAATGTATTTCCCTCCTGTCAGTTGTGATTGTTTACGAGTTTATACATATGAAAAATACCGCTCAATTCAAATTTTTATTTACGTTTTGCATTTTGTTTTTTAAAGATATTTTATTTATTTTAATGATACTTTATATTTTATTTATTTTACAAAATATATGTTGCCACTAAAATTACTACTTTTTCATAGCATATTGAATATTTATTAATTGATTCTTTTTCAGGTCCATTTCAATGTTTTTACCGACATAAACGTCCATTTATCAGCCACTTATTTTCAACTTAAATAACAAATTGGAAGATGTAAAATCAAAAAAAATCAAAATGTCAGGATCAACAAACTGTTTCAATGAAACCCCACCTAACTTATCAAACACCAATCATCTCATAGCGGAGTCCCAAAACTTTAAGAGTGTTCCAAACGATGTGAATGGTGAATCCAAGCATGAAAATAACTTTCTTCCGAATAACAATGTTTGTGACAATATCGTGTCCTCTGCGTGCGTTAAAGAAGATGTTTGTGCTAGTGGCAGTGATGTAAAGAACGATTTTTATGCTGAGATGGATATTGGGAAGGAAAGTGATAATTATTCCATTAATCCATCAGGTGAGTAACAATTTATTATGTTTAATTTGGTCTTATTTTACTTAGATAGTTGGTATCACAGTCATTGGTTTGACAGTTAATGTCAAAATCGATTCGCCATGCCGTCCTTAATTTACTTATGTACAATAAGCGGCTGTTAATGTTAAAGAAGAAAAAAGGATTTTCTTTGGTGTTAAACAAAATTTATTGCTAGAAAAGTCTCGTATTACTTAAAGTACTAGAAAAATCATAAAAATATTATAACCAATATGCAAAATATTATGCTGTTTAAAGTATAGCCAACCTATAAAATCAAAATTTTGGGTGGAATAAAGTATCTCATTACAGCACCGAAAGCGGTGTTATAATGAAGTCATTATGACCGCAAAATAGGTAAAGTATAGTATTACACTTGAGATTATGCGCATTATTTCTTGTATAATAATATACCAATATTTATATATTTACTAAATTCAAGCTTTATTTTAATAAACAATGTTTTGTCTTAAACAATACATATCATGTATTTATAGATTTTTTCTATTTATATCTTACATTTTAATAACAATGCTGTTTGTGGCAGTGACATTTTACAGTTGTATTATTAGTTTGATAATGAGTTTTATATTTTTATCTATTTTGCGTTCATAATGACTTCATTATAAAACCACTTTCGATGCAGTAATTAGATGCTTTATCCCACCCAAAATTTTGATTTTATAGGTTGGCTATACTTTAAACAGCATAATAGTTTATAATATTTTTATGATTTTTCTAGTACTTACAAGACTTTTCTGGCAATAAATTTTCTTTGACACCAAAGAAAATCCTTTTTTTCTTCTTTAACATTAACAGCCTCTTATTGTAAATAAGTAAATTAAGGACGGCATGGCGAATCGATTTTGACATTAACTGTCAAACCAATGACTGTGATACCAACTATCTAAAGTAAAATTCGACTAAATTAAATTTAAGGTATAAAATTTTTATAGAATTTTTGCAAAATAAATAAAATAGCATAAAGAACTCATGTCATTAGACCTTTTGTTGACAAAATATACTATTAAATAAAAACAATGAATAATAAGAAACTGAAAAATAACCTATAAAGATCCTATAAAGATATAGGTATGTATTTTTATAAAATTTTATATACTTACCCCACAGGAGAAAATCCAATCGATTCTACCGGTAATTTTTTTCTGTAGTAAAGGATATTTTTTTTTTAAATTAATGTTAAGTTTTTCATTGCTACTTTTAAAAATGTGTTTATTTTTTTTTTTAATTTTAAAATTAAAAATTTCTTTACAATTCTGTAAATTGTCGTTTTTGGAAATAAATGTTATTAATGTATACCTAACTGAATAAAAAACAAACACTGTTTTTGAGTTTTTGAGTCACGAATTTATTTAAGTTTTATTTGACATTTGTTTTGCTAACACTGCTCTGGGATATTCCCAAATCTCGTGTGCTTGCATGAGGATTAGCGGCCGTTGCTGCTAATAAATTAATTTCATTATTTCCACCTGTGACTGTTGCTCGACGAACTCTTTTTTTCGGTTGAACACTCCCGTTTGTAGTAAACTGCTTGACTGTGCGGTGAAATGAAGTACGTGATCGAATTTTATCCGGAAAACGCTGAGCGTAGATATTAACAGCATCATCAAGATTCCTGCCTGCTTCTCCATAAATCAAAATCATTTCCATTTTTTCTTCAACTGTTAAAAAATCCATTATGAATAACTGCTTAGCAAAAGGAGGTCTTTTTGTTTGCAAATTAATCTTCGAACTAAATTGATTAAATAATGCTAAACTAAGTATAAATAGTTTCTTTATACCTCAATTAGGATTAAATTAATTAATTGACAAAATAATGATTTTTTTAACCTTAAATGAGGTATTTTTATTAAAAAAGTAAAATAGTCCTTTAAATTAAAGGATTTAATGCTGGCATTGTGCGGCATTGATAATTATCACCGAATGAAATAATGTATAAAACTTAATCCAAAGGAAACTTAAATATTAGTTAAAAAATCGTTAGATTTAATTTAATAAGATGATTATTACCAAAAAAGTGATAATTTTATAGAAAAATTATTGCAGAATCGTATACAGAAGAAAAATTGAACAAAATTAATTTTTTTCATTACAGCGCTATCTATTGCAAATATGAAAAAATGTTTTAGACAAAATCTACCTATTTTTAGTCGAATGATCCGAATCTGCAATAAAAAATAGGGTGTTCCATTGGAAATTTTAAAGTTACCCCCTGTTCCCCCTATAAGGAGGAGAGTATGAGGACCACTTTTAGTACTGATTGATTTCCCCTTTCAAATCATTTAATTTCTATTTTTAACATTTTTTCGTAAAATGCACACTAACTGAGGTATTCAAAGTTTCAAGTTAAATAACTAATTTATTATGGTAAACATTCAATTTTCTTAGTTTCTTTAAGAAACTTTCTCGACCCATCACTGGTAATATTCATAAGAAAAAATTGAACCTACACCTCGCCAAAGTTTTTTGTTTTGAATGCGTTCCACCAACCTCAAATACCGACAGACAGCTGTTTCGACTACATCTCGCCTCTGTCGACTTAACGACCGAGCATATAAGCTCAGGCAGTAATTTGTTTTGATTGTGTTCCACTACACCAAGTTGCCCGACACCGATGAGACCCAATAAAGGTCGAAACAGCTGTCTGTCGGTATTTGAAGTTGGGTTCAATTTTTTCTAATTTGTTAAAATGCACACTAACTGAGATATTTCAAAGTTTCAAGTTAAATAACTAATTTATTATGGTAAACATTCAATTTTCTTAGTTTCTTTAAGAAACTTTCTCGACCCATCACTGGTTATATTAATAAGAAAAAATTGAACCTACACCTCGCCAAAGTTTTTTGTTTTGAATGCGTTCCACCAACCTCAAATACCGACAGACAGCTGTTTCGACTACATCTCGCCTCTGTCGACTTAACGACCGAGCATATAAGCTCAGGCAGTAATTTGTTTTGATTGTGTTCCACTACACCAAGTTGCCCGACACCGATGAGACCCAATAAAGGTCGAAACAGCTGTCTGTCGGTATTTGAAGTTGGGTTCAATTTTTTCTAATTTGTTAAAATGCACACTAACTGAGATATTTCAAAGTTTCAAGTTAAATAACTAATTTATTATGGTAAACATTCAATTTTCTTAGTTTCTTTAAGAAACTTTCTCGACCCATCACTGGTTATATTAATAAGAAAAAATTGAACCTACACCTCGCCAAAGTTTTTTGTTTTGAATGCGTTCCACCAACCTCAAATACCGACAGACAGCTGTTTCGACTACATCTCGCCTCTGTCGACTTAACGACCGAGCATATAAGCTCAGGCAGTAATTTGTTTTGATTGTGTTCCACTACACCAAGTTGCCCGACACCGATGAGACCCAATAAAGGTCGAAACAGCTGTCTGTCGGTATTTGAAGTTGGGTTCAATTTTTTCTAATTTGTTAAAATGCACACTAACTGAGATATTTCAAAGTTTCAAGTTAAATAACTAATTTATTATGGTAAACATTCAATTTTCTTAGTTTCTTTAAGAAACTTTCTCGACCCATCACTGGTTATATTAATAAGAAAAAATTGAACCTACACCTCGCCAAAGTTTTTTGTTTTGAATGCGTTCCACCAACCTCAAATACCGACAGACAGCTGTTTCGACTACATCTCGCCTCTGTCGACTTAACGACCGAGCATATAAGCTCAGGCAGTAATTTGTTTTGATTGTGTTCCACTACACCAAGTTGCCCGACACCGATGAGACCCAATAAAGGTCGAAACAGCTGTCTGTCGGTATTTGAAGTTGGGTTCAATTTTTTCTAATTTGTTAAAATGCATACTAACTGAGGTATTTCAAAGTTTCAAGTTAAATAACTAATTTATTATGGTAAACATTCAATTTTCTTAGTTTCTTTAAGAAACTTTCTCGACCCATCACTGGTAATATTAATAAGAAAAAATTGAACCTACACCTCGCCAAAGTTTTTTGTTTTGAATGCGTTCCACCAACCTCAAATACCGACAGACAGCTGTTTCGACTACATCTCGCCTCTGTCGACTTAACGACCGAGCATATAAGCTCAGGCAGTAATTTGTTTTGATTGTGTTCCACTACACCAAGTTGCCCGACACCGATGAGACCCAATAAAGGTCGAAACAGCTGTCTGTCGGTATTTGAAGTTGGGTTCAATTTTTTCTAATTTGTTAAAATGCACACTAACTGAGATATTTCAAAGTTTCAAGTTAAATAACTAATTTATTATGGTAAACATTCAATTTTCTTAGTTTCTTTAAGAAACTTTCTCGACCCATCACTGGTTATATTAATAAGAAAAAATTGAACCTACACCTCGCCAAAGTTTTTTGTTTTGAATGCGTTCCACCAACCTCAAATACCGACAGACAGCTGTTTCGACTACATCTCGCCTCTGTCGACTTAACGACCGAGCATATAAGCTCAGGCAGTAATTTGTTTTGATTGTGTTCCACTACACCAAGTTGCCCGACACCGATGAGACCCAATAAAGGTCGAAACAGCTGTCTGTCGGTATTTGAAGTTGGGTTCAATTTTTTCTAATTTGTTAAAATGCATACTAACTGAGGTATTTCAAAGTTTCAAGTTAAATAACTAATTTATTATGGTAAACATTCAATTTTCTTAGTTTCTTTAAGAAACTTTCTCGACCCATCACTGGTAATATTAATAAGAAAAAATTGAACCTACACCTCGCCAAAGTTTTTTGTTTTGAATGCGTTCCACCAACCTCAAATACCGACAGACAGCTGTTTCGACTACATCTCGCCTCTGTCGACTTAACGACCGAGCATATAAGCTCAGGCAGTAATTTGTTTTGATTGTGTTCCACTACACCAAGTTGCCCGACACTGATGAGGCCCAATAAAGGTCGAAACAGCTGTCTGTCGGTATTTGAAGTTGGGTTCAATTTTTTCTAATTTGTTAAAATGCATACTAACTGAGGTATTTCAAAGTTTCAAGTTAAATAACTAATTTATTATGGTAAACATTCAATTTTCTTAGTTTCTTTAAGAAACTTTCTCGACCCATCACTGGTAATATTAATAAGAAAAAATTGAACCTACACCTCGCCAAAGTTTTTTGTTTTGAATGCGTTCCACCAACCTCAAATACCGACAGACAGCTGTTTCGACTACATCTCGCCTCTGTCGACTTAACGACCGAGCATATAAGCTCAGGCAGTAATTTGTTTTGATTGTGTTCCACTACACCAAGTTGCCCGACACTGATGAGACCCAATAAAGGTCGAAACAGCTGTCTGGCGGTATTTGAATTTTTTCTAATTTATTATGGCCGTAGAAGACACGAGCTCGCCGAACGATGCCGCGGACGGCGGCAGCAGCACCACGGACTCGCAGAGCGGCAACGCCGAGTTCGAGCAGCAGCAGCTCCCTCTGCCGGCCGCCGCCGCCGCCTTCGATCCGTACCGCATGGAGGACGACGAGGAGCTCGGCGGCGCGTCGGCCAGCAACGGCGCGGTGCGGCGCGGCTCCGGCAAGAAGGGCAGGAAGGTGGGGGGCGGGACGGGCGCGGGCCGCGGCAGGCCCAAGAAGGAGCACGTCGCCATGTACCAGAGCCAGATAAGCGGCGACAAGAACGCCATCAAGATCAGGATCAAGAAGAGCGGCTTCACCACCCAAGCACAGGTATGAACAGTGGCTTCTAAATATATCTCAAAAACTTTCATAAATTTATTATAATTATCAGCTACATTGCCTTCAAATTTCAAAATATCTGGTATTCTACCCTCCATATTTTGAAGTCTTGTCCAATTATTAAACTTTACTTCGTACTTCTTACGTTTTATCCTTTATTTCGTAGTTATTACGTTTTTTCTCTTTAATTCGCAGTTCTTACGGCTTTTTCCTAATTGTTGGTTTGTTTTCCACGTGCACAATTTTCTAAGGTTCTTTTTTACTATTCTTCTTTCTTCTTCTAGTACCTCAACTACGCCATGTCGTAATATAGTTGTTATATTACTTTAATTAATACACTGTACATGTTAAACATAGTTTATTAAACAACAATATTAGATAACACGTTGACATCTGTCTGACAAGTATTTGTTAAATCATGGCTATTATGACAGTTGGTGGCTTATGCCAGTTTGACTTGGTTTTTTAAGTATTTATAAATGGTACTTCTGCTAAAGAATTTAATTAAATACTTTGACACTGTCAAATTGACAATAATATTTATTATTGACTATTTCCCTCGTCTTAATTTCCACCAATCACAAACGCGCAATTTTGAATTACAAATGGTTTCTAGGTGAAAAAACTGTGTGACAGCAGCTGTCAGTAGTTTATTCGAGTTTACCCGCGGCCACGGTCTTATATAAGACCGTGCCCACGGCAAAACTTGACAGCTGTTGTTACTAAAAATTGCAATTTATATTTTAATTGTTAACTGTTACTCATGAAATAATCTTGTCAAATACCATTCGGGCATCTAATTTTTCCTGTGAAAAAAATCGAAAAAACACAATGCTAAGTAATATTTTTTAACAAAATGCATTCGTGCAGGTGCAAAAATCCTCCTCTTCGACTCGGATTTTTGTTGCCACCAGCACTCATGCTTCTTGTTAAAATATTACTTAGCAACGTGTTTTTTCGATTCTTTTCGGAAAAATTAGATGCCCTTATGATATTACTTACGATAATTTATAATATATTATATCAATATTTTTTTTTCTAAAACTCTATTCATCAGTAAGTATAAATGGTATGGAAAACTAGTATTTTTCATTTTTAAAATGTTTTATTAATTATACACATAAATACATTTATAACTGACTAAACCTTTGTTATTGACAAAAACTTGGTTTTGAAGAGTATTGCGGCAATATAAAACACACAATTGGGTTATGTTCGCAGTTTTCAATGTGTTTTGTTACAAGTACCTAAATTTGCATTAGAAGGTATGAAAAACGAAAATTACGTCTTGAAGTTGGTGTAAATTTTGATCAAGTATAATTATAATAAGTATATTATAGTTATAGGAATACTAGACCTATTTTTAAAAGGCAATTAACAAAGGCATTTAAAATTTGTGACAAGAATATAAAAAAAATAAAAAACAACGTATGTTAATTAATGCTTGATATACATAAATTATGGGTTCAGAATAAACTTTTTTAATCAAAAGGAAGGCGTTATACTCAAAAATTGCATGTCCAGCAAAATTGTGCTAGAAAGTTTGTGGGAGGTGGAGTCTCAAAACGTTTTGTAGCATGCATATAGTTTACCCTTGCCTGCCCCCTGAACAAAATCCTGGCTACAGCCTTGCTGGAAATGGGGCAAGAATCCCTGCTTTTCTAAAAGGTTAAATTAAATTCAATGAAAAAAATTCAACACTTTGTTTTTTAAATAATTTATATTGAAAAATATAGGTACACAAATTTTACAACTTGTTACTTTTATAAAGCAAATTTTAAAATTTAATTGTTGCAGATTTTTTACCCTGTGTATTTTATTTTAAAAATAAAAATATTGTTTCAGAGCCTATAAAAATTTTTAATTTGTTAAATAAATATTACAAATGATAAAAACAATTTGAACCAAAAATATAAATACATAGTTTCATACACATAAAATGCCTTTTAAACTTGTATTATTGGCAAAAATTGTTAATAATATTATAATATGCAAACTCAATTTGAAATACCCACGTTGCCCTTTTGTCCCTCCATTTTATTTTCTTCTATGTTTAATAGTATATTTCTGGGCCCCAAAATAAATGGATTGTAAATTTCCTCTCAGAAAAAAAGCTTCCTTTACCTTGTTGAGCCCTTTACCCAAAACCTACTGTTTCTATTTCTAAGAGCAAGCACATAATTTAAAAATTTAAAGGCAGAAAATAAGTTGAACGCGGTCTAAAATTTAAAATTCTTCAAAAGTATTTAAAAAATAATGCAAATATTTTTTAAACACAATTTTGGTTTTATTTTATAATCTTTATTATTTATGAAATAGTATTTTTTTTTAATTATCTATGTTAAAAAGTAAACATTTATGTTTTTTAATTTAAAAAAATAAATCAATAAATATTTTCACCCAAGTTCAATGTTAGGGGTAATTATTTTACAATGAAACTAAAGAAAGTTATAAATCAATTGATTTCAAGTGTTCAGCTTTTCAATCAGACAAAAAAACAGCAAAGATATTTGGTATAATTAACGTGGTAGTAATTTTATCTTTTTATTTTTTTTTATTTTTTAATTATATCTTTGTTATAGGTATGTTTACCTTCTGAATTTATTTTTTCATATAGGTATATTTACAAACAAAAATACTGTCTATTTTTATTCATATTTTAAATCAGTCGTTAATGACTGATATAAATTATATCAAACGATTTACATTTTAGATGATTTTATTGGCCAAAAAACAAATCTAGTAAACCATGACTTATATTAGCAAAATTATTTTCTATGGTTAAAAGCTAATAATAAATCTTGATGAAATTTTAACTTTTTTATGTCAAATTTAAAATGTCAATGTATAGAAATCGACTTTTTTATGGAAAATATAAACGTTGAAAGATTAATTAATTTGTTAATTAAAATACAAGTATTTATTTTTTATACATTGGCACAACTGAATTTGCTGTCACAGCTTACTGTTATTTATTTATCAAACTTTTCAAATGGAGACTACTACCTTAAATCATTTAACTTTTGTTGTAATGTTAATTTGTTTTTTTATAAAGAAACACACTATTCCAAAAAAATCTTTATTAAAAAACAGTTATTTAGATCAACATTTTTTTAATAAATACATTAACGAATATATTAAATTTAAAAATTAATTGATTACAAAATTTTTTAGAGAAAAAAAACACTATTTCATATTACTTTCTTCTAAAAATACAACCTTCTACAAGCCTAGCTTTTCCTCCGGTGGAGGTACACAAAATTTTAGAGCACCCCTTGCATAGCACCGTTGATTGAGCGTGCGAGAAAATTGTTGAGATTTCACAGCAAACGGGACATTTTACGTCCATAAAAAAACTTTTCAACCTTTTAATTTTGAGACAACGCCTCTGTTTTTCTGCTGTGAGGTGGAGTAAATCAATAGCCCAGGGCATCTAAACTTTTAACAATTAGAGTTAATTAATTAAGTCCTTTAAAAATTAATATTTACTCACTCCTTTTTCTTAAAACACCAACTATATACCACCATATACTTTGGAGTATATTTTCACTTCAAAAACTGTGCTGAAATGATATTATATGGGTATTGCACAACATTTTATAACCATTTATAAACATTCAATGTGGTGCAATAATGTTTAACTTATAAATCGCCTTAATATTAGGCCCGAATTAATAAATAATTAATTTAAAAAAACGTATAACACAACCCATACAGAATGGCATAAATTTAACAGTACTTAAAAATGTAATAATATTTAGATTAGTAGAGGGAAAAGTTATTAATCGATTTTTTATTATTTATTTTTATTATTTATTATCAATCTTTTTCACACACTATTTTTTTCTTAAAAATAATAGCATGTAAAATTCCTAAAAATAGGTAGATTTTGTCTTCAAATTTGTAAAAAAACAATTTTTTTCGATTTTTCCTCTGTAATAATGTTTCAATAAAAATATAAAAGTGATATATCACTTTTTCATTAAAAATAATTAACTTAATTAAATTAAATCTGTTTTTTTTGTTTGACTATTACAGTCCCGTCCGTTACGCTTTAAATTATTAATTTTTAAGGAATTAAACAGTCAACCACGATACCTAATTTTGCCAAATAAAAACCTTGTTAAACAGCTTTAGTTTAGAACTATTTATAAAAATTTGACATTGGTAATATAATAGAACAATATTATTTTGTAAATAAAAACACGGCAACTGTCCTATCCGTTAAGCGTGGAATGGCCCATAACACCGTTCAATTATTCAAATAAGTTACAAACAAATATTTTTTTCTAGACGACACCAAACAAAAAGAAAAGCGGCCGCCGGAAAAAGTTGAAGGTGAATTCGGACACCGACACTTCAGATTATGAGCGAAAAGCTAAAAAAAGCCGATCCAGCGCATCTTCGACACCCAGTGGCGGAGGGGACAATGACGTATCCAGTACTCAGCAAGAGAACTTCGAGCCCTCGAAACAGAGCCCTTGGGGCGACCAGGTCCCGATTCCGGTCCTGGAAAATATATTTCGGTTCGCCTGCGGCACTGAAGGTTGCCTACCTACGCTAGTTCGGTAAGTTATTTGCTTGTTGTTGCCTTGAAATTAGAAAAATTAATTATCACAAAACCTGCGTTTTATCGAAATAGTTTTTTTTTAGAAACTAAACCTTGCTTAAAAATAATATTATTTTTTATACGCAGCAAAATTGGACCTTTCCATCTTTTAAATTGTAGGTACCTATGTATATATAGGGTGAGTTTTAAGTTAACGCGTTTCTTTTAACAGTGTATAGAAATCAGCTAGACAAATAAATATTTTAAGTAACTTTTTTATCAAAACTCAAAAATAAAAAAGTTATAGCCCATCAAAGTTTAATTAAATTTTAAGCCGGTCCTGGCTATTGTTAACGAAAAACATAACCATAAAATATCAAAATAAACAATGCACAATGTCATATTTGACAACAAACATAACCATTTAAATCAAATTTACATTTTACAATAAAAAATGTCATTATTTACTTAAGTTGCAGCATTTGCATTTTGACGACACCCTCCATAAATTAGTAACATTTCCACTAATTCATTATTGCTATAATTATGAACCATTTTTAACAATAATTGAGGCACAAAAAACTGACATTTTTCATTGCTAAATGTCATTTTGATTTAAATGGTTATGTTTGTTGTCATAGATGACATTTTGCATTGTTTATTTTGTTATTTTTATTTTTATGGTTATGTTTTTTGTTAACAATAGCCAGGACCGGCTCAAAATTTAATTAAACTTGGAAGGCCTATAACTCTCTTATTTTTGAGTTTTGATAAAAAAGTTACTTAAAATATTTATTTGTTTATCTGATTTCTACATGCTGTTAAAAGGAACGCGTCAACTTAAAACTCACCCTGTATTTACTACATAAGTACCAAAAAATATAAAAAATTAAATTCACTGAATTTTTGGTGTTGTTTTTTATAGAAAGACAAAAAAATTGGCATTATAAAGTGGAGGGAATGGTCCGAGGTAAAACGACGCGTTTCAATATTCCATTTGTTAATTATTAATATATCATATTTCTTACAAACAACATAGGTTTAATGTGTCTTATTTATAATAATCATTATTTAAGAAATGAAAATTTGGTAACTATTAATAAGCAATATTTATTATTAATAAACTGTGAAATACGAATATAATGTATATTTACATTAAATTAATAAATGATTTTATTTGGCACAAATTTAGTATGTTAATAACAAATAAATTCGACCCAAATAGATAATTTTTTTATAAAAAATAAATTAAATTTCAGAATATATTGTTAGTAAATAAAATTGATTTACAACAAATTTTCTGTATTTATTATAAATAAAAACGTCTTAAATAAATATTTATTGATTATAATTATTATTAACACTAGTATTTCCTTCAGTGCACTATATATGCAAAACTGTTTGTAACATTTAAATCTGTTCATTTTCGTTTCATAACCAGCGTAATATCGGTTTTTGTGTATCGATGCTGGCTTATAAAATAGTAGAACATTAAAATATGCACTCACGTGCAAAATAATCGATCCACACAAATTTTCGATGAATTTCAATCGCAAATATCTTTTATATTTGATGTCGGATTTAAACGAATATTAAAGAATATTGTAGATAAATTAATGGACAATCGCTCACATTTTAAAAATTACTAAAAATACAAGTACATTTATAATATACAGGTTTAAACAAAAAGATGTTTTTACCATAAGTTCATACAGAAAAATATTGGAAATTGCAATGTTTTCTAAAAAAATCCATATTTTCCACAAAAACAAATATATCGAGGTGAACCAAAAACAAAACTGTTAAGAATAGATGTGACTTGATAAATAAAAGTTAATTGAGAACAATATACGGTTTTGTCACTCTACAGAGTGTTTTAAAGTTATGGTAAAAACATATTTTTGTTTAAACCTGTATATTATTAACTTACGTGTATTTTTTAGTATTTTTTAAAATGTGAGCGATTGTCCATTAATTTATCTACAATATTCTTTAATATTCGTTTAAATCCGACATCAAATAAAAAAGTTATTTGCGATTGAAATTGAGTGTAGTAGAACATTAAAATTTTTTAGACTGAGCAAAGTGAGCAGGTTGTGGAAAGACGTGGCTCAGAGGCCCATACTGTGGCGGAAAGCCGATCTGAACTACGTGAGGGAAAAAGATCGGACGGATTTGCGGCTGCATTGGTTGATAATGAACCGACTGTCGCTGTGCCAAGATCTGAATCTCGGTAAGGCGTTGTATTGGGTGAGCTTGACCGATTCGAAAGTAAGACATTTGTTTGCTGTAGGCGAGTGGAAGGTGCGCGATATACAGGCCGTGCTCGAAGCCCTGTCCGAACATTGCCCGCATTTGAAAGGCTTGAATTTGACCGGCTGGAACTGCCTGAATTCGGATAATTTGAAGTTTCTCAGCACGGAGTGCAAGCAGTTGGAGAGGCTGGATCTTTCTTCAATAAATGTGAGTAGTGCTTTAAATCAAATAAAATTTGGTGTCGAAACTAAAACCGACAATTTTTGCGACAAAGATTTCCGAACATGTTGGCAAATGTCCCATTTTTGGAAAAACCAAAGTTGTTTGTGTTTAATTTTATATTATTTTCAGATTTTAAGTTGTACATTATATTTTTTTAATTTTTGCAAGAAGTGTAACTACTTTTTCACTTTAATGCATTCTTCATGAAAAATGTATCTGTAGAAAGTTTTTCTTTACAAATAGAAAATGCGTTTAAAAAATCGAAAATCGTCGAAACTAAAACCGACAATTTTTGTAACAAAGATTTCCAATCATGTTGGCAAATGTCCCATTTTTGGAAAACTAGAGTTGTTTGTGTTTAATTTTATATTATTTTCAGATTTTAAGTTGGAAATTATATTTTTTTAATTTTTTCAAGAAGTGTAAATACTTTTTCACTTTAATGCATTCTTCATGAAAAATGTATCTGTAGAAAGTTTTTCTTTACAAATAGAAAATGCGTTTAAAAATATATCCAAAATCTAGCCTTAAAACTAAAACGGACAGTTTTTGTAACAAAGATTTCCAAACATGTTGGCAAATGTCCCATTTTTGGAAAAACTAAAGTTGGTTGTGTTTAATTTTATATTATTTTGAGATTTTTAGTTGGACATTATATTTTTTTAATTTTTGCAATAAGTGTGACTACTTTTTTACTTTAATGCATTCTTCAAGAAAAATGTATTTGTAGAGTTTTCTTTACAAATTGAAAATGTGTTTAAAAATATATCCAAAATGTAGCGTCGAAACTAAAACTGACAGTTTTTGTAACAAAGATTTCCAAACATGTTGGCAAATGTCCCATTTTTGGAAAAACTAGAGTTGTTTGTGTTTAATTTTATATTATTTTTAGATTTTTAGTTGGACATTATATTTTTTTAATTTTTGCAATAAGTGTGACTACTTTTTTACTTTAATGCATTCTTCAAGAAAAATGTATTTGTAGAGTTTTCTTTACAAATTGAAAATGTGTTTAAAAATATATCCAAAATGTAGCGTCGAAACTAAAACTGACAGTTTTTGTAACAAAGATTTCCAAACATGTTGGCAAATGTCCCATTTTTTGAAAAACTAGAGTTGTTTGTGTTTAATTTTATATTATTTTTAGATTTTAAGTTGGACATTTATTTTTTAAATTTTTGCAAGAAGTATAACTTCTTTTTCACTTTAATGCATTCTTCATGAAAAATGTATCTGTAGAGAGGTTTTCTTTACAAATACAAATTCGTTTAAAAATCTAGCGTCAAAACTAAAACTGACAGTTTTTGTAACAAAGTTTTCCAAACATGTTGGCAAATGTCCCATTTTTTGAAAAAACTAGAGTTGTTTGTGTTTAATTTTATATTACTTTCAGATTTTAAGTTGAACATTATATTTTTTAAATTTTTGCAAGAAGTGTAACCACTTTTTCACTTTAATGCATTCTTCATGAAAAATGTATTTGTAGAGAGAAAGATATCCAAAATCTAGCGTTGAAACTAAAACCGACAATTTTTGTAACAAAAACATGTTGGCAAATGTTTTTGATATCTCTCGAAAAAACAATCCAATTTGAATTGGATTTTCTTTTACAGTCGACGTCTGCTATAAACGCGGTTCCACTGGTGGCCTTAAGTCAAGCAATGAACACACGCTTGACTCACTTGGTTCTTGCTCACAACAAAATGGCAGGGTTTACGCAGATAGTATCCGCAATAGCTGTAAGTATTTCGAGTCGTGCAAAAAATCTCACGCATTGCAATAAAATATTTTTCTCTTTCAGACCCACTGTCCGAACTTGCAGCTCTTAGATATATCGAACATACGCACATTCGCTCACAACACGGCCCTTTTGCACGTGGAAAAATTGCAGATCGGATGTCCCAAGTTGCGTGTGCTACGCATTACTAATAGTCAAATATGGCTGGCGCCAACAACCTTGTCTGAACAAGTAAGTTTTTTCCTCCTTTAATATTATTATTACACTCACAGGCAAAATAATCGATCCACACAAATTTCCGATGAATTTCAATCGCAAATAACTTTTTTATTTGATGTCGGATTTAAACGAATATTAAAGATTATTGTAGATAAATTAATGGACAATCGCTCACATTTTAAAAAAATACTAAAAAATACACGTACGTTTATAATATACAGGTTTAAACAAAAATATGTTTTTTACCATAAGTTTAAGACACTCTGTAGAGTGGCAAAAGCGTATATTGTTCTAAATTAAGTTTTATTTATCAAGTCACATCTATTCTTAACAGTTTTGTTTTTGGTTCACCTCGATATATTTATTTTTGTGGAAAATATGGATTTTAAAAAAAAAATTGCAATTTCCAATATTTTTCTGTATGAAGAACTAAGGTTGCTATGGTCCATCCATAGCCTATGGAGGATGACAGTGACAGTTTTGTTGAATCATCCCATACTTTGACATGTCATATACAGCTTTCAAAAGCTATCAAATTGTTTTTTGTAAATTAATTTGTTAATTTTGAGGTGTCTTCTTACTTTTAAAAATGTCTCCGACTGATGTTGCCCTTTGTACTTTACTTCTTGTGACGTTTAAAACACTTGCCACGTAATACTGTGACCGTCCATCCTGGATTAAATTAATGACTCTGCCAACATATCCATTTTTTAAAGTATGAAGACACCTCAAAATTTAAACATTAATTTGCAAAAAACAATTTGCTAGCTTTTGAAAGCCGTGTATGACATGTCAAGTATGGGATGATTCAACAAAACTGTCACTGTTATCCTCCATAGGCTATGGATGGACCATAGCAACCTTAGTTCTTTATACAGAAAAATATTGGAAGTTGCAATATTTTTTTAAAAAATCCATATTTTCCTCAAAAATATATCAAGGTGAACCAAAAACAAAACTGTTAAAAATAGTTGCGACTTGATAATTAAAACTTAATTTAGAACAATATACGGTTTTGCCACTCTACAGAGTGTCTGAAACTTATGGTAAAAAACATATTTTTGTTTAAACCTGTATATTATAAACGTACATCTTTTTTTAGTAATTTTTTAAAATGTGAGCGATTGTCCATTAATTTATCCACTATATTCTTTAATATTCGTTTAAATCCGACATAAAATAAAAAAGTTATTTGCGATTGAAATTCATCGAAAATTTGTGTGGATCGATTATTTTGCCTGTGAGTGTATTATTATTATATTACTTTTAATTGCCAAAATCCCAATTTAATTCATAAACGTTGGAGCCATTTTGTTTTTTTAAAAAACATACCTTACCACAAGTGACACATTTTGTCATTTTAATTTATTGATTTTTTCTGTTGGTAAATATGTTATTTTTTAGTTTTAATTTTGCGTACAGTGCCCATAAAACATTCTCTTCACTTTTATACTTTTACTTCACTTTTTTTTTAATAACAAATAATTTATTAGTATTTCTTTTATTGAGATGTCCCTTAAGTGAAAATGATTGTTTTTTATTTTTGGTTGTTTCACTGTTAGTCTAGAATAGTTTTTTTAATATTAGAGCTTCACGGAGGATAGGAAGTTATTGTATCTTTTGACACCTTAATATTTTTTTAAAATACAATTATTGTACATTAGACTGGGCCAAAAAAATCAACTATTTTTTTTTCAAAAAGTATATAGAAAATATGGTTTGGGGTGACAAAAAAAAATATTGTGAAAGTTTGAGTCCATAATATTATTATTAAGAGCAACTTTAATTTTTTTTTCCTCAGCAAGTTTTAGGCTCAGAATTCCCAAAACAAAATTGACTTAAAAATATTTTTAAAGAAAATTAAATGCTCTACAAAAAAGGTTTGATTGGAATTTCCCGTCAGATGAACCGTTTTCTTACAAATTGGTATAGTTTTACATTTTGATCTTTTAAATTGGAATTTTGTAATTCATGTAAAAATCAGTAGGTACCCATAAAAAACCGATAAATATTATTATGGGAAATCAAATGCTTAACAAAAAAAGCCTCTCAACATTTTTGGCTAAATTCACTCAATCAAAAGTTATTCAAGGTTAAAATTTCGTTTTGACTTCAAATTTAACCTTGAATAACTTTTGATGGGGTGAATTTCGCCAAAAATGATAAAAGACTTTTTTTGTAGAGCATTTGATTTCCCATAAGAATATTTATCGTTTTTTTTCAGGGTACTGATTTTTACTTGAATTACAAAATTCCAAAGTTAAGGAAACGGTTCATCTGACGAAAAATTTCATTTAACCTTTTTTGTAGAGCCTTTAATTTTCTTAAAAAATTATTTTTAAGTAAATTTTGTTAAACTCAATGGTTTGGGAGTTCTGAGACAAAAACTTGATGAGGGAAAAAAAATCTAAAATTGCGATGATAGACCTCTTAATATTAATATTATGGACTCTAAACTTTCACAATATTTTTTTTTTGTCGCCCCAAACCATATTTTCGATATACTTTTCAAAAAAAAAAAAATAGTTAATTTTTTTGGCCCAGTCTAATGTATACATAATAAATTGTGATATTCTATGCAAATTTCTTTATATTGCATAATTTATTGCTACTAGCAACAAATACTAATAAATTAATTATCACTTTTTCCTTAAAATCCCATATTGGTATTTTCATTAAATTATTTGCAAATTTTCGTGAATTAAATTCGCAAAAGTTTTACTGAAGTTATTTTAGACTGAAATGGTAAAAAACGTAAAAAATAGGCATAGAACTAAATTTGAAGCAAACAAAATGTAAAAAAACGTAACAAATGGACCTTTTCGGCAAATAATAATGAACTTTCTCAGGTTGCGTCGCCTGGGTTTCCCTGCTTGGAGGAGCTGTCATTGGCCGGAAATGACGACAAAACGACAACTTCCCGTTCCATGGACGACGACGGTATCGAGAGGCTGTTGAAAAATAGTACAAAATTGCGTCTTTTGGACGTTAGAGGGTGCACCAAACTGACCGATTCAGGGCTTGTCAGAGTGCCGGCTTGGGACCTGGAACATCTGTTTCTCAGCGGTAAGAACAACAGCCTAAATGTATACTTTTTATTACTTTGATGTATCTATTTTAGCTTTTTTAATTAATTTGTTAATTTAAAATTTTCCCAACTAAAAGTTTTAGGTTTACATTTATAAATTTAAAATTAACTCAACTATCATGTGAGGCCTGTCAGAGCAAAGTCAACAATCTCCCATCAGACTAAAACTGAGTAAATTGAGATAATTGATTTTAGTATTTTAAATTCTAGATTTGTATTTTTTTATATATTATATTGAAATATTGTTGTTGTTAGCCTAGTGGCCAACTACAAGGTCTCCAGGATGCATAGTATAGGTGAAATCTTTAATTATAAATTGGAGATTGTTGACTTTGATATGATTGCTGGAGATTGCTCATTTTGTTGTAAACGTTTAAGGAGATTTAGAAAAATAAACAAAAAAATAATTGTTTTTTTATTCCTTTAATGGGTATAAAATTTAACTATACAATCAATGTGGGAAAATTCTGAACTGGACCACATAAATCTGGAGTTTCTTCTAAATCTGGGACCAGGTTGCCTCGTGCAAAAAAGTTTTTATAGTACAACAACTCATCATTTTCCCACTTTGCCCCATAATGTTTTACTTGCAATGTTTTGACATTATCAGCCTTTTCTTGCTTTACTTTTACGTCTTATTATGGCATAATAGCACAAAATAAACAAGATAACTTTTTTTATAATTCTTAAAACAATAAAACGTATATATACCTATTTTAAATATATTTTTGTGCCATTTACTGCAATAGAACTTAACAGTAGTGCCAGTAAAAAAACACAAAATTAAATCTCTAAAATACGTTATAACATCAAATGTTAGGATATCAGGTGACACAAATTACTAATTTCTAATGGTGGAATTGGAGATTGTATACTTTGCTGCAAATCTATCTAAATAAACTTTATCATCTTATAGATAATTAGTTGAAGTACAGTCTCCGCCAAAAATCTTATTTTTGACCAAAAGTGGATATTGTCGGTTTTGCTATGACAAGCCTCATGTATTGAAAGACAAAAACAGTTCACTTTTGTATTAAACAATATTATTTACAATCAATTTTTGCAGAAATTTCTAACCATAATTTTTTAATAAAAATAATTTCTTAAGAATAATTTATATGGGCAGATTTTGTAAATACTAAATAAATTTTTTTATAAAATTATTTAGATTAAATTGGAAAAGTTAAATAATTTAGTATTTAAAAATAGTGTTGAGACATTTATAATAAAAACACATTTAAAACATTTTCCACCAAAATACACTCACGTGCAAAATAATTGATCCACACAAATTTTCGATGAATTTCAATCGCAAGTAACTTTTATTTGATGTCGGATTTAAACGAGTATTAAAGAATATTGTAGATAAATTAATGGACAATCGCTCGCATTTTAAAAAATTACTAAAAAATAGACGTACGTTTATAATATACAGGTTTAAACAAAAAGATGTTTTTTACCATAAGTTTAAGACACTCTGTAGAGTGGCAAAACCGTATATTGTTCTAAATTAAGCCTATGGAGAATGACAGTGACAGTTTTGTTGAATCATCCCATACTTGGACATGTCATATACAGCTTTCAAAAGCTATCAAACTGTTTTTTGTAAATTAATGTGTTAATTTTGAGGTGTCTTCTTACTTTTAAAAATGTCTCCAACTGATGTTGTCCTTTGTACTTTACTTCTTGTGACGTTTAAAACACTTGCCTCGTAATACTGTGACCGTCCATCCTGGATTAAATTAATGGCTCTGGCAACATCAGTCGGAGACATATCCATTTTTTAAAGTGAGAAGACACCTCAAAATTTAAACATTAATTTGCAAAAAACAATTTGATAGGTTTTGAAAGCCGTGTATAACATGTCCAAGTATGGGATGATTCAACAAAACTGTCACTGTCATTCTCCATAGCATATGGATGGACCATAGCAACCTTAGTTCTTCATACAGAAAAATATTGGAAATTGCATTTTTTTTTAAAAAATCCATATTTTCCACAAAAATAAATATATCGAGGTGAACCAAAAACAAAACTGTTAAGAATAGATGTGACTTAATAAATAAAACTTAATTTAGAACAATATACGGTTTTGCCACTCTACAGAGTGTCTTAAACTTATGGTAAAAAACATATTTTTGTTTAAACCTGTATATTATAAACGTACGTCTATTTTTTAGTAATTTTTTAAAAAGTGAGCGATTTTCCATTAATTTATCTACAATATTCTTTAATATTCGTTTAAATCCGACATCAAATAAAAAAGTTATTTGCGATTGAAATTCAAAAAACAGTTTTATTTTCAATTTAAAAAAAAATTGGACTATCAATTGTTTTGAGTTAAAAAAAAATTAACTGCTGTTGTTGAATTGTGAAATTAATTTTGTTTTTAGCATGTTATATAACAAGATTGCAAAATTCTGGTTTGGAATTGATCATCCAGAAATGGGGCCACAGTTTGTTGGAGGTCGACCTGGCCTGGTCCACGGCTACCAAATCGCTGGACGCAGCGGTTTTCGCACTTGCAGAAAAAGGTTCCGAATCTAAACTAAGGTAATTTTGCTTTTATATCGATTGTTTACATCTCACAGTGGGCCGCCAAAAATAAGCTTTAAAAAAAAAACGGAAAAATTGGGGAAAAACATTTTCGTATTTTCTTATTCTTTTTTTCTGGAAGAAATACACATTTTAATAAAAGTAGCTATCAACAACTTCACATTATTTTAATTTAAAAAATATCCTTTATTACAGAAAAAAACAAAACAATACATTAGAATCAATCCATATGAAAACGACGAAACTCGTTGCTCAACCATCTTGGATTTTGATCCAATTTTATAGAAATATTCATTTTAATATGTCATTTTAAAGCTAAAAAATAGTAGTTTTTATAAAAAAAATATAAATTCACTCAATATCACATATATAAAGTTTACATACCAAAGACAAAATAAAACTTACAATTGGCCCGTTTGGCATACGGTTTCCAAACAAAAAAATTGCTTGAAATTTTAAAATTCTAGAAAATCGCATTATTTAGGCCATTATAATATATATTATGAGGATGTTGACTTCCAAATAGAATTATGAAATGTACAGAATAATTAGCCCCTACCTTGATGTTCAAATGCCTGGTAGTTTGGTTTTGTTATTTTCATCTTTGAAGGTTATAGGTACAATAGCTTTAAATGGAGAAAAATATTGAAATATTAAAAAGTCGCATTATTTCATCCATTTTATAAGTAAGTTGACTTTAATATAGAAATATGACAATAACAGGATGTTTAGTCCTTACCTTGAAAATGAAATGCCTGTTTGACTTGTTTTGATATTTTCATCCATTTTATATACATGGGCTTTAAAAAAGGCATAAAAAATTAAAAAACGATTCATTTTATCATTAAATCATATAAATGTTAACTTCTAAATCGAAATATTATAAACTTATAGGAAATTTAGTCCTTATCACATTTTGCTTTTTTTTATTTTTTTTTGTAATTGTACAGATGCTTTAAAAGCAGCAAAAAATAATAAAATTTAAAAAAATCGTATAAGTTATATTTATATAAGTACTTACATAAATATGCATAGGCATGCATAAGCCAAACATCATAGTAAGGACAAAATATCCTGTAAGTTTCATGTTTCTATCTTGAAGTCAACTTATTCTTAGAATAGAAAATTAAACAATAATCGTTTTTTAAATTTTAATATGTTTGCTCCTTTTAAAGCCCATGTAAAAGCAAAATGGATTAAAATAACAAAACAAGTTAAATAGGCATTTAAACTTCAAGGTAAGGACTAAATATCCTGTTAATTTCATATTTCTATATTGAAGTCCACATACTTATAAAATGGATGAAATAATGCGACTTTTTAATATTTCAATATTTTTCTCCTTTTAAAGCTACTGTATAAGCTTCAAAGATGAAAATTATAAAACCAAACTACCAGGCATTTGAACATCAAGGTAGGGATTAATTATCCTGTAAATTTCATAATTCTATTTGGAAGTCAACATCCTCATACAACTGCCTAAATAATGCGATTTTCTAGAATTTCAAAATTTCAAGCAATTTTTTTGTTTGGAAATCGTATGCCAAACGGGCCAATTGTAAGTTTTATTTTGTCTTTGGTATGTAAACTTTATATGTGAAAAAAATTAGCTGTTAATACTAAACAGCCGAGGCATGGGACGCATTTAACAAACACGAAATAAAAACTACCATTTTTTGGCTTTAAAATGACATCTTAAAATTTAAAATATCTTTAATAGAAAAAAAATTACAGCTTAAATTAAGGAAGCGTAAAAATGATTAAATAAGGGTGGATAACGAGTTTCGGCGTTTTCATATGTATTTAATCCTTCAGAAAAATTTGCTTTTGCAAATTTTTCGTTATTTTCAGAAAAAAGAACTTGTTTTTTGGCAGCTTAATTTTGTCGGTGAAGTTTTAGAACCCTAGAAACGATTGCGCGATCTATTTCAGAACGATAAATTTGTGCGGATCTTCCGTATCGTTGGAGCCGGTGAAGGCGGTGCTGCTGAAGTGCCCCCGCTTGCATTCCATAAACCTGCAGTCGTGCAGGGGGTTACCGCGCGGCATAAAGCGCCTCTACACTGGCGCGGCGGTGGCCAAGCTCAGAGACAGCCTGCTCGACAAACCAAAGACTGACGCGTCGGCGTCGGCGGGCGCCGAGACGCCGCCGCGCGGCAACGGCGCCGACGCGACGCCTTCCTCTCAGAACGCCAGCGACTAACCGGACAAAACGTCAAACTTACGTGCGTTTTGTCGCGAGGGTTCTTCCGAGGTTTACACTCCACCGCATAAACGTTTTTAGTGGACTAAGTAACCAAAAGAGCCAAATTTAAGTTGTGCGTTCATTAGGGCGATTCAAAAATATCGAATTGTTTTTTACCACCGTTCTTAGGCACCTTAAAAAAATCCAATATTAATAGGAAGATTAAAACGACTATTTCTCCAAAATATTATTCAAAACATCGAAAAAAAATCCCTCAAAGTTTTAGAATTTCAATCGCAAATAACTTTTTTATTTGATGTCGGATTTAAACGAATATTAAAGAATATTGTAGATAAATTAATGGACAATCGCGCACATTTTAAAAAATTACTAAAAAATACACGTACGTTTATAATATACAGGTTTAAACAAAAAGATGTTTTTTACGATAAGTTTAAGACACTCTGTAGAGTGGCAAAACCGTATATTGTTCCAAATTAAGTTTTATTTATCAAGTCACATCTATTCTTAACAGTTTTGTTTTTGGTTCACCTCGATATATTTATTTTTGTGGAAAATATGGATTTTTTTAAAAAACATTGCAATTTCCAATGTTTTTCCTGTATGAAGAACTAATTTTGCTATGGTCCATCCATAGCCTATGGAGGATGACAGTGACAGTTTTGTTGAATCATCCCATACTTGGACATGTCATACACAGCTTTCAAAAGCTATCAAATTGTTTTTTGTAAATTGATGTGTTAATTTTGAGGTGTCTTCTTACTTTTAAAAATGTCTCCGACTGATGCTGCCCTTTGTACTTTACTTCTTGTGACGTTTAAAACACTTGCCACGTAATACTGTGACCGTCCATCCTGGATTAAATTAATGGCTCTAGGAACATCAGTCGGAGACATATGCATTTTTTTAAGTAAGAAGACACCTCAAAATTAACACATTAATTTACAAAAAGCAATTTGATAGCTTTTGAAAGCTGTACATGTCCAAGTATGGGATGATTCAACAAAACTGTCACTGTCATCCTCCATAGGCTAGGGATGGACCATAGCAAACTTAGTTCTTCATACAGGAAAAATATTGGAAATTGCAATGTTTAAAAAAAATCCATATTTTCCACAAAAATAAATAAATCAAGGTGAACCAAAAACAAAACTGTTAAAAATAGATGTGACTTGATAATTGAAACTTAATTTAGAACAATATACGGTTTTGCCACTCTACAGGGTGTCTTAAACTTATGGTAAAAAACATCTTTTTGTTTAAACCTGTATATTATAAACGTACGTATATTTTTTACTAATTTTTAAAATGTGAGCGATTCTCCATTAATGTATCTACAATATTCTTTAATATTTGTTTAAATCCGAAATCAAATAAAAAAGTTATTTGCGATTGAAATTCATCGAAAATTTGTGTGGATCGATTATTTTGCCTGTGAGTGTATTTTAAGGGAAACAGTTTTAGGAAATTTAATTCTCCACAAAAAAGTCCTTACCTGTATATCGCTAAAGTTTACAAGATATGAGCAGTTGAATATTTAAAAATTTGAAGGAGATAAATAAATTTGTCTTAAGTTTGATTCCATTACTATTAAATATATTGTAAACTGTTCACTTTAGCGATATAAACATATAAACTTTTTTGTAGAGAATTAAATTTTCCAAAACATTTTTCTTTTTTTTTATGGTAAGACAAGCCATTCTCTTAATATTTTAAAAAATATGTGAAAAAAGTAAAAAAGTGACTTTCAGAGCTGATTCAAGGTGCATAAAATTCTTATAGGCTCTTTAAAAGGCGTTTAATACTCTGTAAGTAACAATGAACCACAATAAACCCGGCAAATATATAGAAATTAAAAAAAAGTGATTGAAAATACATGTTTTAAATGGGAAAAATTCAAAATAAAAAAGGAAGTACTTAGAACCAAAATTAAGAGATCAAACTTTAAGGGAATTTTTTTCGATGTTTTGAACAATATTTTGGAAAAAAAAATTTTAAAATAAATTCTTCAAACCTTGATCCTACAAAAATATGTTAAAGATTTGATCAAACCATTGATTAATATTAAAGTATGGTCTCTGGAAAACTGTGATGATATTAATATTAAGAGCACTTTCTAGAGGTGCCTAAGAACAAATTTTTCAGATTTAGAAATAAAAAAATATTCGTAAAATGGTTTGCAATACGTAAATCGCAATTCGCATCTATATGAATCAGGCTTTAGTTTGTTTAAAAAAAGCAAAATCGTTTTTTTAGTGCAACAGAAAAATATATTACATTATCAATACAAAAATTCCGAATAAGTTCTATAAAGTTTAAATATTAAATATTTCTATTGAAATAACACACGTATGTGGCGTAAGAAATTAGTGGTTATGCTTAATTAAGAGAGATAGACATGGAAGGGTTTAAAGAGTATAAATCAATAAACTTTAACTTTACAAATTTTCAAAATCAATAAAATTATGCTAATATGTTTTTTAATAATAATATATCGGATCATTTTATTGTTTTTTCTTTAATAATTTTTTTCATTATTTCTTCTGCAATCTATCTGCTTTAATTCTCTAGAAAAAAATAATTCTATCCCCAATAAATCACAGTAAGGATACTTTTAATTTTTTTCTTTCTCTTGTATAATTTTGGTATCGGCTCAGTAGTTCGATACTGGCGATTTTATGAAGTTCCTTTCTTTTTGCAAAAATCGAGGTCGAAAATTTACATACCTTTCTGGGAAAGATAGAAATCGAAAAGATAAGCCCAGTTTGATTTATTTTACGTATAAATTATACTTAAAGGAAAAAAAATAAACTGCTGTTGATAAAAATCCATGGATAAATGAATTTTTCAGTGGAAGACCAAAGTTCAGTTTTTCGAGAATTTTTAAGCTTTTTATTCATTTTATTGAATTATAAAAAATTTAATATTGAACATTGATTTTTATTTTAAAAATTAAATATTAAAATTAAATTATATATTGAATATTGAACAATAAATATTGAACAAAGAAGAAATTGAAAGTTTTATTTTGTTGTAATAAGCATAGGTTTAAAAAAATTCTGGCTCCTTCTGTGTTTTTGTTGCACTTTAATTAGGTTTTCATTAAAGAATAAACATATTACAAAATAAAATACAAAATGTATTTTTATCAACATTAGCTTGTTTTTTTTTGTAAAAATGTCAGCTTGACGAAAAAAAATTCAAACTGGAGTTACCTGTTTGATTTAAACCTTTCCCAGGACGATATGTAAATTTTCGACCTCAATATTTGCCATAAAAACGATTTTTTTAAGTTATTAAAATCGCTGGCGTCAAAATACTTATCCGATATCAAAAGTATGTAAAAGAAAGTTTTAGAGGGCTCAAATACCTTCAATTTAAGGGCTTGTTTGACCAAATCGATAAATTAGATTTCAAGCTATACTCAAAAACGTCAAAACACACATTTTTTTTAAATTTTATTAGCGATAAAAAATTGATAATATTAAAAATTAAAATTATGTTGGGATTCTTACAAATAAAATTTCTTATCTAATTTTCATGTTACATTGAAAAAAAAAACGATATTTTGTTTTTTAAACTGTTAAATGGTGGTAAATTCTAAGGAAATATGACATTTTTGTTAAACTTAGACCCATCACCAATATTGGAAAAATGCTTTCTGGAATTTTCCTCCAAATTAACCATCATTTGATGAAAGCCATTTTGGTAGAAACAAACCTATTATGTGGTCAATTTAAAACGGTAAAATTGGCTTAGTTTACAAAAGCTTTATTACCTATAATAATTATTGTACAAATAAAAAGTTATTATTAAATAATAAATAGGTTTGCTGAGTCAAACCTTGGATGAACCCGAATATCGTGAGATATTGTTATTTTGTAAAAAGAAAGTTCAACATTTGATAAAAGCATGTCTAAAAATTATTACCATATTGCTATTATATTTTTTCTATGTTGTGATAAGATGATGAAATTAACACCAAAATAAACGTTTTATTCTAAACAATGTTGTTCCTTAAACGCAATGGGACAAGATAATTGTTAACTTAATTATGAACACCTGTTATTTGTGTTAAACAGTTTTAAAAAATTTTTTAATTCAATTAACACTATAATTTTTTTATATAACGACTTTTAAATTACTTAACAAAGAATTGTTTTACCATTATTATAGTTTTATATTATAACCTAATGTTTTGAACATTTTAGTTTATTTGATTGTCAATTAGTTTATTTGTGAACTATTTTTTTATGATGATACAATATAATTAAACAAAATGTTTTATAAATTAGTTTTTATTTTTGTAAATAATAGCTTGTACCTATTAATATGTAAAATGTTTTAAAAATTGTTTCCTAAAATGATATTTTTATCATATTTGTGGTTGTTTTAACGTATTTAAAATTTATATTGTTAAAGTTTTTAATTTACAAATGGTATTAATTTTGTTTTAAATTATTATGTAAATTTTATATTATTTTTTTATAGAAAAAACTTTCAGCAAAATTGTATTAATGCCTGTTATATTCGATCCAAGAAACAAGGTTGTTTTAGTTATAAAAAATTATTTTTTGATTATTATAATTTTCTTAATCAAAATTGGATTTTTATCTGAAAATCTAGCAAAAAATAATTTTTATGTGTTCCTATAAAAGTTATTATTTTGTTATTTTTATAGAATTAAGTAATTGTACAGTACCTGTCTAATATAAAATAATGGTTTATTATATAAATTAAATTTATTATTGCAATTTAAGTAAGGAATCTCTTGTATATTTTCAAAAAGTAATATTTTAGAAATGCAAATAATTCACTGTTTTTACATAAAATTTAAAAATTTTAAATAAATTATTTTGCACATTGTTTCTAATAATTTTAAGAAAATCAAACTGCCTATAAATAATAGCAAATATATTTTATATTTGTACAAAAACGTAGATGTATTTATGTACATTATTAAATAAAAATTAACAGAAGAAGCTTTTTCAAATCGAAAATAGTTTTGTTAATAATTTGCTAAATAATTAACCTAAATATTAAGCTTGACAATCTGACGCGCTTTTATAAAATATATTTTTAGGTTCGACCCATATAGATTAGTGTAAAATATTATGAGAAAAATCTTTTTTCATTGTTATTAAAATTTACATACAATATGTATTTTTGTCATATGGCAGTATGACTTTCATAATTTTATTAAATCATTACCTAGAAGTTTGAAGTGAATGTGTAAATGTGTAGAGACGTTTTGTTGTATAAGTCAAGTCCTAATATTTAACAGATTTCATTTAACAAAAATGTTATGCTATTTTATACATTTCTGCACTTTAATATTATATGTACTAAAATTATGTATATTATTTATAAAATATATAAATAGGTTGAAGTAAAGGAATTTAAGTTGTTTTTTTTTTTTCACCTTAACACGTTGTTTTCTACAAAAATGTTTACAAGTTTTTGCAAACATAATAAATTATATTTTACCGCTAAATTAAATTGTTTTTCTTTGCGAAAAAGGAGTCAAAAACTATGCTTAATGGCGTTATGAAAAGAAAGTTTGAAAAAACACAAAATTTGAAGAAGAAAAAAAAAACGAAAAAAACCGGCTGCTTCTTTTTACGTTACATCTCTAACCACTATCTAGTCTCCAAAATCCATCCAAATATATTAAGAGGTGATTCCACAGCACAAAATATGAAAAAAGTTTTCAAGAACATGGGGTTAAAAATAGAGCAAACTTTCACTATTTTTATTAACTTTCGTCCGTAAATAATAAAATATAACAACCCAAAATTAAAAGCTAAAGAATAAATGAAGTTAAATTTTTAAACAAAAATTAGCTTGTTATGTTAACAATGTAATCCACATAACACAAAGATATGTGTGATTCTATAAAAGTTGGGCAACTTTTGACCTCATTTTGTTTATATAGTTTTCGGAGAAAGTTAAACAGTATTTTGTTATGAGAACATAGATAATATAATAAATATACTGTTCCAGACAGGTTCAGTCACTTTTTCAAACAGTTTCTGAAATATCTGTGTTTTCTAAATTTGAATGCAAGGGAAGTGACGAGTATACCAGGGTACTAATTAAATACATAATTTATTGGAAAATATAAGATTTATTGCAACTTTAAGCATATTATACATTAAACATCTTAAAATCAAATAATACCACACATCAGTGGCGGCTGGTGGATTTTGGGTATACCGATATCTCAATTATTAGATATGGGACCCACACCAAATTTATATGAGTTTATAATGACATTAAATAAACCAGTTCTGCGCGAGCAGAATTTAAATTGAAGTTTGCGAAAAAAAGATAACCATAAACATCGAAAATGGAACTGAAGACACGGTACTGATGAATGGGATACAAATTTGAGATTATAATTCGGAATAAAGTATTTTACTGATATTTTTTATTAGTGGATGCTACTTATCAACAAATCACATATAGCCTTATATAAATTACAATGAAATATATATATACGTAAGAAAATAACTACTCACCACAGTACTGACATTTTGACTGGAATTATACGTGCATTCACCACAACTTCGCCGCTTGCATTGTTTTCAAGATGACTGTCGTGCAAAGGGCGGGCTCTGTAGGTAATTTTTTTACCAACACTTGAGTTTAAACGTGGACTTGACGTTTAAACTTCAATATTTCGCAGGAATTTTGAATTTTAACATTGGACACAGAACTGACGGGTAAAAGTGAGTACAAAGATTATAATTTTTTTTTAAATTGCTATTATTCGAATCTATGATTATTTAATGTTTTATAGTTTGTAGTGAAATTGAAAAATTTAAGATAAATTGAATATATTTTAAAATAAAGTCACTCAAATATTTGATTCAGGAGTTGTGACACGCCAAGGTACTGATGTTTTGAATATTTATTATGTTTTTCTACAAACGTGCTTTTGAAAAAATACATTAAAATTAAAAAACCTGGATTTTTTGTAATATACTGAAATTTTTACAAAAAATATTAAAATACCTACTCTATTGACTGATGACATCAAGTTGTCCAACTTTTGTAGAATCACCCATATATTTAAAATATTAAATGAATAAATATAACATTTAGATGTCCCACTTTTAATATTTATACAATATTTTTTCACATTTTTGTAAATGTTTTGAATACATTACCTTATATTTTATTTTATGTTTCCGGGCCTTTCCATCTTAAATCGACCAGGCAAACAGGGGAAGGTTGTTATTTTTAACACATTTTTTTTACACTTTCTTCACCGAAATCGATGAGACCCGTATTTTTTCTTTTTGCTTAAATTTGTTTCGTTCACTTGCAGAAAATTTTTGAAAAAATGACGAAAACATTTTTTCTTGAAAATGCGACAACTTGGCCAAAAATGTTGCGATCGTTACAATTTTTTTTTAAATTGTAGGTAAATGTATAATAAATACAAAAAAAATATAAAATGTATTTTCTTTTAAGTCAACAGTCAACAACTTTTTGCTAACAATTTAAATTATTATTTTACTGCTAAATTAAATTTGTTTTCTTTTTGAAAAAGGAGTCAAAAACTATGCTTAATTGGGATATTAAAAGAAAGTTTTTCATGACAAAATAAATTTTCTGGCATTGGGTAAATAAAATATAATTCATTTAAATAATTTATTATATGTTTACAATTATGACATAAATTTAATAACTAAAAATCCATGTAAAGCTAAATTGTTTAATACACATAAGCAATCAGCAAAGCATATAAGATAATTTAAATAATTTCAGAACAGCCTTTATTTTTTAAATTTAACAACATATTTTCAATATATGGAAATTACAGACCATTTAGAAGATCAGTTATGAAGGTATCAGGACTTTGAATTACATCCAATAAGCCTGCAAAAAAAGTGTTAAAAACAGTTTTAAAACACATAAATAAACATACCTGCAACATCACAGAATTCAGCGAAAGATGTACACGGCAAAAGTTCTTCTGTGTAGGTGGACAATAACTTCTCTGAAGACTTCATTAATGCTTCGTCGTTGTGTCTAATATAATCCGCTAAATTATTCGGCCACTGATCCTCAGCCCCACTAACATTCTAAAAGAAAATGTTGGGTATTTTAATGACGATAATTTGGCAAAAATAAAATGCTCTGCTCAATTATCTCAAAATGTAAGTTTTTTGTTAATATCTTGATTATTTATTAAATTATTTTGCCTTAAATCTATTTTGGATGCTCAGTATATTTTTGACGTTTTTTGTCAAAAATATACAGGGACTCCATACAAAGTCATTGGTAGATAAATGTCAAATATAAATTTTGTTTGTTCCATTGTAGCTTTATACTATAGTAGTCTTTTATATTTAATAAAGCACTTTTCTGCAGAAAAGTGCTTTATTAAATACCAAAACTAAAATTATAATGTTTTTTTGGTAAAAAGTATCATTTTTTGTAATTTTTTGTGTCGTTTTTTTAATTACTAATTAAATTGAAAAGGCAACAAAGTAAATGGGTTTCGGTATAAGCATTACTCTTTGACTATTATTTGATATGTTTTTATTCACATCATGCCTAAAGTACCAAAAAATTTAATCTCGAATCTTATTTATTAAGTCCTATCAAAATTTAATATCGAATTAAAGTATAAAGGCGCCTTTATCTACTTTATCGTTCAAGCGCATTAAAGTGCATCTATTAATTATTGACATTTAAATTTAAACTTTAATTTGTATTTTTACTTGAAAGTGATTTTAAGAACCAAAAATAAAAAAAGAGCAGGAAACGGAAGTGGTAATGGAAGTGGCAGAGAAAGAGAAAGGAGACGAACATTTATGTCGTCGTTGTAAATTTGTTTCGTTTTTGTTGCGGTACCTTTACGCCCAAGAAAAACCAACGCAATATTTCATTACGAAATTTTATGAGATATACCTGCTACTTTAATTTTGCAGGAATATTAAATGGACCTGATATACGACGTTTAATGAAAGATCAGGGATTCAAAAATGCTCTCAAAGTTGACGAGCTTGTCGCAGTCGCAGTGTTAAAGCTGTAATTGAAAATGTTCTTGGTTCATATCGGGCCTGAAATTGGCGCCAATTCATTGAAAAAATGCTTTCCGTTTTGCAAAGAATTAGCGTTAATATGTCATTTAAAATACATTTTCTTTTTTTTCATCCTGATAAATTTGCCGAACTGATGAACATGGAGAACGATTTCACCAAGTAACTGCAAATCTAGAGCATTGGTAGATATCTATGGGTATAGCGGAAAGAAGTTGGATTAATTGCTAGGAGACATTTGCTGGAATTTGCAGCAAAAGATATACGACGATGATGAGGATTAAGCACAATAATACTATAATCCAATTTGATATTTGATACGATTTAATAAATTTAAGGCAGAAAAAAGCAAAATTATGCAATGCATTACATTTTGAGGGCTTAATTTGAATAAAAAGTAGTGAAACTTGTTTACTTTGTTGCCCTTTCAATTTAATAATTAAAATAAATGACAAAAAATGTCAAACAATGGTTGTTTTTTACATAAAATGCATTAAAATTTTAAGATAATTTTAAGATAAATATGATCTATTTGCTGTATACCAATTACTTTAGTAAATTCAAGATAAATTTAAGCCAAAATAATTTAATAAATAATTACATTTTGAGGTGATTGAGCAGAGCATTTTATTAGGAAATAATATTAAATCCTAGACGTCCTAGAGAAAAACAAATGACATTTTTGAAATCAGCGGCCCAAAATTAGTTTAATTAAGCTGGAGTACTTAATGTTAGGAAAAAAAATTACTAAAACTATCATAGTGTTATGTTTTGATTTTATGACACCTCAAAGTAGAATGTTTTTAAAACAGTAAAATTGGCTAAAAATTACTATCTTTTAATCGAACAAAAAAATTATATATTTTTTTAAATAAGTTTAAAGTACACCTTAATCAACATATACAAAAATTCCTGTTTGAATAAAAAAATAAAAATAAAAAGTTATAACTTAAAAATTAAGAGAAAAAAAATTCATATAGCCATGCAGCGCGATAAATAAAAATTCATAACTTTTCCGTATGTGCGTATATGCAGCTAATTTTTTGTGTACTTATAAAGTAAAGTTTACCGAACAACCTCATGTAGATATCAACGTGGAAATCGAAGGCAATCGTTGGTAAATCCCTAAATACCGTACGGTACAAATGAACTACTCACCTTGAAGAAGTTCTCGTAGATGCCGTCTACGACGCCGAAAAACAGCAGGTAGGGCTTGTAGACCGCGTACGGTTTCTCCTGCTTGTCCGCTATCGTTTTGGCGGGCCCCGTAGGTTGCACATTACGCACGTGCGCGCATATTATCAACCTCTTCAGGTGCGCGAGCCGGTGTTTGTTCCACTGCTTCTGCGAGTGCAGCAGTATGGACATGGTGGTCCAGTAGAGCGGACCTTCCGCTTCGTAACAAGATTCCACCCATTTTTCCGCGCTTAGGCACTCCACGTACCACATTAGGCTGCTTTCTTCGCGTTTGTTTACCCTGGTACTGCAAGATAATTTTTGATGTACGTATGTTGGGGTTTCATCCAAAATATTGTTCAAAACATCAAAAATAATTCCCTTGAAGTTTTAGCCCTTAATTTTGATTCTAAGTACTTTATTTTTTATTTTGAATTTTTCCCATTTAAAAAGCATGTATTTTTAAACACTTTTTTTAAATTTATATATTTTTACCGGGTTTTAAGCTATTATATTGTGGTTCATTGTTACTTTCAGAGTATTTAACGCTTTTTAAAAGAGCCTTTCAGAATTTTTCTCTAACTTGGTGGTATCAGCTCTGAAAGTCTTTTCCTTTATATTGCTAAAGTGCACAGTTTGCAAGATATTAACAGTTTAATATTTAAAATTTTAAAAAATTTGTTAGCAATATAAAGGAAAAGACTTTTTGTAAAAAAATGACTTTCAGAGCGATATTAACATAACAACTTTTTTTAGTAGAAAATTAAATTTTGTACAACTTTTTCATTTAAATTTTAATATTTTCAAAAATATGTGACTTTCAGAGCTGAAGATAATCTAGTTAGAGAAAAATTCTTAAAGGCTCTTTTAACAGCGTTAAATACTCTGTAAGTAACAATGAACCACAATATGATAGCTTAAAACCCAGCAAAGATATAGAAATTTAAAAAAAGTGATTGAAACTACATGTTTTAAATGGGAAAAATTCAAAATAAAAAAGGAAGTACTTTGAATCAAAATTAAGGGCTTAAACTGAGGAAATTTTTTTTTCGATGTTTTGAACAATATTTTGGAGTTTCGGTAAAAAACAAAAAATAGTCGTTTTAAATGAAAAACCTTAATGTATGTTTGTATGTCAAATAAAGTCGTTTATTATTATTATAAAGGGTTGTTTAGAAAAAACTTCATTCATTAACATTGAAAACGTATATAACACTAGTTTACAAAATCGAAAAAAAATTCTGCCCACCATATCCCATTATAATTTTCCCATGTATTGATCCCATATTGAAGTGTGATTTTCGCGTTTAGTGAGCCAAACTGCACAAGAAAATCATAGTGAAACATGGTGGGCAAAATGGCTGTAAACTAGTGTAATGTGTTTGTCAAAAATCTACTTTTTTTCAAAATTCCCAGAATTAACCAAGTTATAACGATTTTTGGTTTTGACAGGTTTTAAGTTTTTTCAAATTATTAGATTTTTTTCACAATTTTTAAATGTCATTTTAATAAAATTTTAATTACGCAACTTTTGTCTGTAGCCCTTTAAATAAAAAAAAATACCATTACAAAGAAGGGTACTTGTTTTTTTAAGAAAAATTGCCGACGTTTCAAATATATGAGAAAGAAATAAATATTTTCGAAACGTCGGCAATTTTTCTAAAAAAAGGGAGTTGTTTTTATTTTACGTCCTAAACCCACGAAAATAACTTCAAATATTTTATTTTATTTTAAAAATGTATAAAACATTTTGAATGTTTTGTGTACTATGCTCCACACCTCAATCAATGTCAATGAAAGCAATAATATTTATAGTGTTACCGCTTATGTTTAAGCGTTAAAAGTTAATAAATCTTTATAGTATCACAATAACACTGGTTGGTTTAAGAATTTAGGAATACAAATACTGCATTTAATGAAATTCCAAAGTGTAAGGTGCAATATAAGTAATATTTTTGTGCATTGGGTCTACATTTCTCCATAAAATAGTTTTAACTAAACAACATTTATTAAAAAAAATCTAACTTCTCTATTATGGAACAAGAATATCTGTATTAAAGGTAGGTTAATATATTATAACAAAAAATATCATTTAATTTTGTATTTTAAGATTAGAAATATTTATTTTGACCAAAATAAATAAGTGGATTGTTTGGAAGAGTATGTTAATATGGTCATAAATAAATATAGGTATACTAAATAATTGTTGAATATGGTTCAAATTAAATTGAAGCTTTTATACTTCTAATGACAAAACTTGTGCATACCTCTCGGCATACCTACTTTAAGTTAGATTATAAGAAAACAAACAATTTTTAGAGAAACTTGCAATGTGAAAATATTTAATACTCCCATGACATGTGATTTATAATGATTTTTTGATGTAGATCAAATTCAGTCAGTTTTAACTATTTGTATTGAAAAAACTTTATGTAGGTACACTTTAAGCTGGATAAGAAAAACTACCACATTTTTAAATACCATATTATACAGTCTTTTAAATAATCCAAAATACTTATTTATTTTGTTCAAAATAAATTTTTCTAACCTTAAAATTACAAAATTAGGTGATATTTTTGTTAAAATATATAAATCTACCTTTAAAACAGATATTCTTATTCCATAATAGAGAAGCTAGATTTTTTTTTATAAATGCTGTTTAGTTAAAATTATTGTATGGAGAAAACCAGATATTTGGACGAAATGGACAAAAATATTACATATTTGGAATCATACACTTTAGAATTTCATTAAATGCAGTATTTATATTCTTAAATTCCTAAACCATCCATTGTTATTGCAATGTTATAAAGATTTATACATTTTCAACGCCTAAACATAATATTATTTTTTTCGTTGACTATACCCTAGACTATACTTTGACAGATACATAACCTGAAAAGCCTTAAATGCCAAATTTTCAAAAGACTGCGTTCCGTACGTGGTCACGTGGTGGGACTTTGAGGTGTGGAGCATAGTACAAGAAAATAACGAATAAGAGAACTCACGTGTTGATGACGTAGAGGGCGACGTGCACCAAGTAGGGCACGACGTGCAGGTTGCTCTGCGGCCCGCCGCCGCCCGTGTCCTCGTGGAAGCTCTTCTCGTGCGCGAACCTGAGCAGCAGCAGCTTCAGGTCGTGCACCGTGGAGTTCTGGCCGACGTCGCGGTGGTTCGTGCTCTCCTGCAGGTACGTGTTGTGCCGCGCCAGGCAGCTGGCGAAGGCCGACTCGGGCACCTGCGGGCCCCACAGCGGCAGCAGCCCGTTGCACTTGGTGTTGGCGTTCTGCAACGCGGCCGATTCCCACTCGTCCCTGGCGCGAGCTAATCGGACCGCGCTCATGTGGCAGTCGATGTGCACGACGTTGAAGTGGCTGACGGTGGTGTAGCCGACGGTTTTGCGAGGCTTGGCCTCGAAGTCTTCCACGTTGCACCTTAACCGTTCAATTGCAATTTAATCAATCTTTATTTTAAAAATAATGATAGTTAACTATTTTATGAGTCAAAAATTAATGTGGAAAATAGTATATTTAAATAAGTGCCTAGACAAGTTTACAAGTTGCCAGAGCTGGAAGTATCTTGAAAAAAAAAATACTTAAAGTATCTAAGATACTTTATCTTAGATACTTTTTATATTGGACAGAATAGTACATTCTGTAACAAGTTTGGAATACAGCATATTCCGCTCGAGGAAAAATTTGACGGTTTTACGAGAGTGGAATATGCTATTCCAAACGTGTTTCAGACATTATTTTCTCTACGACTACGTAAGAATAGTAACGCTTATATAATTTTAAACAGAGAAAAGAAACCAAGCAGTTTTTGACATTTAAGTTTTTTGTATTGTCAAACCATTTTGTGCCGTCACAATTTTATAATGTAAATTATAATAAATTTAAACAAATGGTATGCCTAAATCTTTATTATAATTAAAAATAGTTATTTACACTAACTAATAAAAAAATAACATTGTAACAAATACAAAACTAATTTTACAAGTAATCTATGTCAACATCTATTCTTTTTCTACATTTTAAAGGTCTTTTTTTAAACTTTTTGAATCTGTCAAAACTTCAAAGCCGGTATAGTAAGTAACTGGTTTATCATTTTAATATCAAATTTATTATAATTTTGATTTGTATATTTGAAAAACAATAAATATAACTAATTTTTTGTGCCTAAACTTAATTATACAACTGCTATTATTTTTTAATTAATAAATAATACAGTAATATTTAAATATTTTTACGTTTAGTAAACAGCCAGGAGATGTCGTTACTTGTGACCATTCTTAAACAAGAGTAGGAATATTCTCGCACAGTATTGCAGAAAAACATCCAAAAATTACACTAGAATGTTACTATTCTTAAGTAGTCCTAGAGAAAGTATCTTTAACTTAGTTACTTTGGAAAATAATCTTGTAACTTGTATCTAAAAAAGTATCCAAGTTACTCGGTAAACTAACTAAAATACATTCAAGTAACTTAGATATTTTAAAGTATCTAAGATACTTTTTAAAGTAACTTGATACTTTTCAGTGTAACTTTCTTAGTGAAAATTGGGGGAATATTTCAAAGTAATTACCTAACCGAAAACTTGTTGAATTTTCATAATTTTATACTTTTTATTCATACTTAAAAGTAACTTGGTTATTTAGAATTATCTTAGTTACTTAAAAGTATCTTAGTTACTCAAAAGTATCCTAGATACTCTCATAGTATCTTAGATACTTTCGGATAGTATCTTGGATACTTTCTAAAGTATCTTGTAACTAAAGATACTTTCAACTCAAATTATCTAGTTACCCGAGGTAACCAAGTTATATTGTTTAAAGTATCTTAGAAAGTTAACTAGATACTTTTCAGAAGTAACTTTCCCAGATCTGCTATACTTTTTCTACGACAAATACTTAAAATTATTTAAAAAATCATTTAAATTAAATATTTGTATAAAGCGAGATACCATTAACATTTCTTGTTATTAAGAGAAATCAAGAACTTTGTAAGAAATTAAAATAAATTTGGAAACAAAAACAATATAAAGAAGTCTTCCACGTTGCACCTTAACCGTTCAATTGCAATTTAATCGGTCATCGTTTCCAAAATAGTATATTATGTATCATATGAGTCAATCCAAATGAAAACACCAAAAATAAATTTAAAAGTGCGCTGCATGATTTTTTATTTTAGTGAAAAAATTTGAGGATGATCTTTTAGGTATCATATATGAAAATCCGTTGCCGTTTTAATTTTTAGTTGCTTTATTTTTAATTAGCACCTTTTAGAAACCTGAAATCGTGTCATTTTCTTACTCTTTTATAAGAAGCTAATACTTTTTTTCTGTGGCAATTATTGAAATCATTGTAATTTTATTTTACAGCCTAGTAAGTATGTTTTCAATATTAATTATTATTATCTAATTAGTTCATCTCATAAAAGAATGGTAAACCACTAAAGATTTGTAATAATTTGCCATTTTTTGTGATTTTTGTCTGGCTCCTGTGCCTATTCTGCTAAATCTAGAAAGTTGCTTTTTTCAGGTATCAAGTACTTATATAATAGAAAACGTAAATATTATTTTAAGTTTCTAGACTAACATTTTCTTTATTAAAAAAATTATTGAAACTTGATAATTTTCAAAATTAGCCAATTTTGCCTTCAGAAATCATTATGTTGAGGAAAAAAATAAAATTCTGAAACTTTCAGGAAATCTAGTCCTCACCTTCATCTTTTCAGTCTAGTTAGTCTTGTTTTGTTATTTTTATCCATCTAAAAGATATAATAATTTTTTTAATGCCCGTTTAGTAGCGATATTGTTAGTTTTATTTATAATTTAAAATTTAGATGGCTTTGACAATTCATGTTTGGTAGAGAAATGTCAGAACTGTGTCAAAAATATTTCATAAATATTATTTGTGCGTATTTAAATTGTTATTTCAAAAAGTTTGCAAGTTTGCAAGTGTAATAAATGACAGAGTGTTCCAGATTCATGAATTTAATTGCAATTAAAAATGCAAGAACATATCATAATTTTGTACCTCTTTCTCATAGAAAATATTCAAGTTCTGAGAAGTTTTAAATTGTTAAAAATAAACAAAAACCAAAAAATATTCTAAATAAACCCCTTTATTATAACATGTTTTATTTTAACCAGTTACCTAAAAACTAAAATTTAAAAAAGTATTTACAGATTGTGTAATTTTTTTTCCAACACTAACATTTAAAATACATTTATATAACTTTTAACTATTCAGTGCCATACTAAAGGGATCAAAATAATAGAACAAGACTAACTTGGTTTAAATTGTGAAAGAAACCGACAAAAAACTGCATTTTTTATACGTTTAAAGTAACCCTTTATTAATTTCACTTATTATACAAAATTTACCAAAGAAATACGCACAAATAATATTTATGAAATATTTTTGACAGTTCTGACACTTCTCCACCAAAGCCATCTAAATTTTAAATTATAAATAAAACTAACAATATCGCTACTAAACGGGCATTAAAAAAATTAATATATCTTTTAAAGGAATAAAAATAACAAAACAAGACTAACTGGACTAAAAAGATGAAGGTGGGGATAGTGATGTAGATAGGGTAAATACCCAGTGGGTAGGTAAATAAAATTTGGGTAAATACCTGGGTAAATACCCAAATTTTATTTACCTACCCAAAACTGGGTATTTTTGATAAATGCGTTATTATTTATACTTTAAATAATATTAAACTTCCCTATTAAACCATATAAACATAAACGTACTAGAATTGTCTCTGAACGCACTTAATCGTGGAAAACCGCTTAATTGTTGAAATGCACACATAGACCAGGGTCGATAATTTTTAAAACCAAAAAAAATAACAGTAGGATGAAACCCATTGGAAAAGGAGAAGAATATAATAAAAATGAAAGAAAAAATAAATTACGGGCGATCTGACTTCGGGAAGTGGGAGGGGGGGGTTTAAGGGTAAAAAATGGTTTATCTCGATTTCCAGCAAAACTACAAGTCCTATGGAAAAAATTTGATAAATATTAAAAAAAAAACATTGGCATTATAGATAAAACTAAGTTTTAAATAATATTATCTAAGATCTAAGGTAGGTACTACTACAGTAAACTTCACTATATTGAATAAAACTATTTATTGATTTCAAGCTATTTTTATGCAATACCCTTATAAATACCCTATTTGGGTAAATACCCGGGTAAATACCTGGGTATTTTACATCACTAGGTGGGGACTACATTTCCTGAAAGTTTAAGATTTTTATTTTTTCCTCAACATAATGATTTCTGAGGGCAAAATTGGCTAATTTTGAAAATTATCAAGTTTCAATAATTTTTTTTAATAATCAAAATGATAGTCTAGAAACTTAAAATAATATTTACGTTTTCTATTATATAAGTACTTGATACCTGAAAAAACGCAACTTTCTAGATTAGCAGAACAGGCACAGGAGCCAGACAAAAATCACAAAAATTGGCAAATTATTACGAATCTTTATGAGATGAACTAATTAGATAATAATAATTAATATTAAAAAACATACTTACTAGGCAGTAAAATAAAATTACAATCATTTCAATAATTGCCACAGAAAAAGAGTTTTAGCCTCTTATGAGAAAGAAAATGACACGATTTCAGGTTTCTAAAGGGTGCTGATTAAAAGTAAAGAATCCAAAAATTAAAACGGCAACGGTTTTTCATATATGATACCTAAATTTCCTCATCATCCTCAAATTTTTTCATTAAAATAAAAAATCATGCAGCGCATTCATTTTTGGTGTTTTAATTTGGATTTACTCAAAAACTAAAATTAAATTTTTCTCAGCACGTTTTTCATTTATTTTATTTGGTATTTAGTAAATATTATTCACTTTAAAACAATATATTTTATTTGATTGAAAAATCATAAAAAAAAGTTTTTTCATTAATAATATTTTCTTGAAATGTTAATTGTGACTGATCGTTTTTTTTTTCGTTTGATCTTCAAATTATTCGACAATTTAATCTAAAAATCGAATAATTCTATAGAAATTTGTATGAATTTCATAAAAGAATATTAGTCCTAATGAAGAACATACCTTGTTTAATAAAAAACACAAATGAACAATAATTTAATCATCATTAATAACTCACCTTTTGGTGAAGGTGTAGACGCCGAGCACCTTGGTGGCTTGATACTTGTACCCCTCCCTGCATATGCAGCACACCAGCCCCGACTCGTCGCCGAGCTCCTCGATCTGCTGCAGTATCGTCGACTTGGCGGTGACTTGGCCCTTGTCGTTGGTGCGCATGCCCAGCTGCCCGAGCTGCTTCTCGCGCATCGCCATCGCCAGGCGCTTCTTCTCGCTGCGCGTGAACTCGCGCGCCTCCTCGATCTGCTCGGCCACCTTCGGATTCGTGCGCAACGCTTCGAGCAGGTTTTCCGCCAGCGAGCCGACGTGCTCGTCCGACGATACCTGCTCCAAGCGGTGGATGATGGATATCGTGTTGGCCGACGATATGGCGAGCTGAACAAATGGTTTACGTTGTCATATCGATGACATGTGGTTCGGTTATGGTTTTAAAATCCCCGACAGAAAAAAACCGTTTTTTGCGGAGAAAAAACGGAAAAATTGGAAATTTTTTAAAAAAGGGTATCGGGCATTTCCATAATTACCAACGGGACACACAGAAAGATGAATATTTTTGAAGATATGTTGTTTCTATTACAATAATTTTATAATAGTTATTGTAACTTAATTTTATTGCTGAGAACTATCATAAAATTATTATTATAGGAACAACGCATCTTCAAAAATTTTCATAAAACATTTTGTTTTCTTTCTGCTGGTCCCGTTAGTAATCATGGAGTCGCACAGTGTTTCAATTCTGGAAAATATCGGCAAAACCTCCAAAAACCAGGTAAATTTTGATTTAGATGGGTAGTTAATACCTGTCTCCATTCTGTATTGAAAAAAATTTATATAAAATACGTATATTTTGTCTAGTACATCAGTTTAAACTTGACGCTTTCAGTTGAAGGTACTTTACACGCGATCGCTGCGAAAAATTGTTTATTGTTTAAAAGTGAATAACTTGTGTTTGGTGTGTGCGATTGTTATGCGGTTTGATGAAGGGTGATCTACAAGGTATCTAAAATTCAGATATGCAGTTGTTTTTCGTAGATTTTGCTTGTACAACGGGATATTGTAACCGACAAGATCGGTCTGTTAAAATCGCAAACTTTGAATCGAGCTTTTAGAACAATGGAGCTACAAAAATTGTAATGAATGCATCAGTTCAAAATCCGTTGAAAAGCTTAGAGTTTTGTCTATCAAGCCATCAATAAATTAGCTGCCCCAACTTGCCCCCGGCTCTTTAAAACTACATGTTCTTGGGCGCTCAGGCACGGTTGTGGTAAAAAACCTCGCGATTTTAAGCCTATGTCGAGCGCGTATATGTGTTTTTGCTTTACAAAATATAAGATTTTTTTTAATTTCTGGGTTGCGTTCATGAAGTTTACTCGATTCACTCGGATTTAACTAAAAACGTTTATTACAACAGCGGTGTCTAGACTTTCACTTGCGTAAATCGTTCGTGACTACTAAGATATGTAACACCGATTTTACATATTTAACCCAACTCTTGTAGGTGCGTTAAAATAACTCCCCCTAATGTCAAATTTGAATTGTGGTTATTTGTGTTGAAAATTTTTTTAGCGAATTAAATCGTTGCTAAAATATTAAATAAAAGAAATAATACAAAATTAAAATACTTGGTATAACATATTTAAATTTCTCGGGAGAAAACGATAGAAGATGTTTTCCATTGGCTTATGGCATCTTCCGATCCGTATATTTCTAGCTTTAGAAAATTTGCTCCGAAAAATAGCAAATCTTTGTCCCGCGAAGCAATAAAACTGTTACTATCTTCTGATGGTTTCCCATGCTCTGCTAATGATACAACGAGCGAATCCAATGACGGAGATTGTTTAATATACAGTGTGTCCGTAAAGTCCCGGAACATGAGATTATTTTAAAAACATTAAATTTTTTTAAAAAACGCCGAAACACGTCAACTTTGTTATTTTTCTAGCAATATTTTGGCATATGTAGTTGTTCCAAATTCTGCCGCGTGGCGGCGCCACAATCAAAGTCAGTTTTTTTTTAAATTGCAACCCTTTATTTTTGTTGCATTTTTGGATAGCTACCGTTGTCCTGATTACATTGATGTGCCACATCTGGAGGGTTACATAAGAAAATTTTTGAGAAAAGCAGGTTTTTGCCGCCGAATGAGATTTTGGTATTTTGTCAAAACTAAACACAATCTATGCGTTACTTAATGTTTTTTGGAAAGCCAATCAGAGCAGTTGCTCAAAGTGTCCACCGTAAACTATTTGGCAGTGGGCCAGCCTGTCCACAAACGAGCGTTGTATGTTTGCCAGTACCGCTGGAGTGATCATTTGGATATCGGCTTCAATGCGGTGTCTTAGGTCATCCAAATTTTAAGGCCTGTTTACATAGACGCGGTTTTTAAGATGTCCCCATAAAAAGAAGTCTAAAGGGTTCAAATCGGGCGATCGCGCTGGCAACTCAATTTGACCACTTCGACCTATCTAGCGATTGGGAAAGACCTGATTTAAATAATCTCTTACTAGCAATGCATAGTGTGGTGGTGCCCCGTAACAGCGAATAAGTTCGTCAAAACCAAAATCTCAATCAGCGGCAAAAACCCTCATTTTCTCAAAAATTTTCTTATGTAACCCTCCACATGTAGCATATCAATGTACTCAGGACAACGGTAGCTATCCAAAAATGCAACAAAAATAAAGGGTTGTAATTTAAAAAAAACCTTACTTCGATTGGAGCGCCGCCACGCGGCAGATTTTGGAAAAACTACATAGGCTAAAATATTGCTAGAAAAATAACAAAGTTGACGTGTTTCAGCGTTTTTCTTCTTAAATTACCGTTTTCAAAATAATCACATGTTCCGGGACTTTACGGACACACTGTATAAGTAGGTATTAAATAATATCATATAAATGTAATTATAATAAACTAAATTAAGCTATTTTATAAAAAGATGTTTTATTACATTTTAAAAAGAACCTCTTACGGGTTTTTAATTAATTTCGAAAATATTTCATAAAAATGTACGCCATTTGAAATCCACCATTTTGAATTTTGGAATTCTGATTTTGGATTCATTATTAGCGACCACAAAAACCCCTGTATGGTGATTTTCAATTAATTCCGTCAATTTTTTTACAAATATGTCCGCCATTTTGGATCTACCATTTGGAATTTTGGAATTCTGATTCCAGATTCGTTATCAGCGACCCTCTATATATAGATGTTTAGGAGAATCCGACTACTTCTTGATATTTTGCCGAAAATTTCGAGAATTGAAACACTGCGAGTCGCCCTAATTCGAAAAAAATGCAAACGGAAATTTACAATTTTTTACACTAATATAAAAAAGTGATTTTTCGCCGCTTATACGTATTACTATTCCTTTTATTTTAATTCATTAAAAATATTCTACGGGGCCGCAAAAAAAACAGTGCTGTATTAACTAACATAACTTTCGTTTTATTTGACACTTCGATTTATAAAATTATAATTTTGTAATTTAATTCATTATTTTCTTAAATCAATGTAATTCATTTAAGTTTTTTTTCTGTGAGCCATTCCACGCGTGACGGATGGGATATTTGCCGTGTTTTTATTTACAAAATAATGTTGTTCTATTGTATTGCCAATGCCAAATTTTTATAAATGGTTCTAAACTGGAGCTGTTTAACAAGGTTTTTATTTGGCAAAATTGGGTATCGTGATTGACTGTCCAATTCCTTAAAAACTAATAATTTAAAGCGTAACGGTCGGGACTTTGCAATAGTCCCGCCCGTTACGCTTTAAATTATTAATTTTTAAGGAATTGGACAGTCAATCACGATACCTAATGTTGCCAAATAAAAACCTTGTTAAACAGCTTTTGTTTACAGCTATTTATAAAAATTTGACATTGGTAATATGGTGGAACAATATTATTTTGTAAATAAAAACACGGCGGCTGTCCTATCCGTTAAGCGTGGAATGGCCCCTGTAATAAAGAATATTTTTAATTAAATTAACATAATGTTAAGACATTGATTGCTACTTTTTTTAAATCAATTTCTCCCCCAATTTTTCCGACACTTTAAAACCAAAAAATTCTATGTAATTTGTAATTTAACTTTAATTCATTATTTTCTTAAATCAATTTAATTCAATTAAGTTTTATTTTTGTTCTGTAATAAAGAATATTTTTGATTAAATTAAAATAATGTTAAGACATTGATTGCTACTTTTTTAAAATCAATTTTTTCCAAAAAAGACAATTCCAAAGCTTAAAAAAAAACAGTTTTTCCCCAATTTTTATTATGATCTATTATCATAATTCTCAATAAAACTGACAATATTGAAAGCGTTATTTTTTATCGCTCTTGGGTACTAAAAATCCACTTTTTAGTCGAGGTCGAGTAAAAAAAATTAGAAAACAAAAAATGCAAACCAGTGTTACCTGCGTGTTTTGGTGACTATGCGCCATCCCGGTGAGGAATCTCAGGATGAACTTGAGCGCAGGCTTGGAAATGAAATCTTTCAGTTCGTCGCTATCGGTGCGAACCAGAGTCGGTTTTACGCAGGGCGCATGGAATGTAATGTATTCCAAAGCGTGAGTTACTATGTCCAAGGATATTATGTAGTCCTTCAATGTGTTGCCTATTGCGTTCTTTTCGATCCCTAAAATAAAAAGTGTAACGAGTGAAAGTTGCTTGCTAATGGGGTAGTTAAATTTTTTCTGACCTATACTTTTTATGGTTTTATTCAAGGCGTTTTGTAATTTTAAACATTTCTGTGAAATCGGAATTTCAATTGAGTTTACCGTTTTCGAGTTATTTACAAAAAAAATCTCCTAATTACGTCACTAGGCTATTGACAACGTTGACAGCTTTTTCTATGGTTGCCAGTGTGTTTGGTTTAAGATTCTTACGATAGATGGCGCCACGTTATAATATTTTAGTTTTAAAACCACTTGATCTATAATTTTAGTTGAGAAGAAGAAGAAGAATTGATTTGACGTTTCTTTTTTTCGGATTATGTTTTTTTAAATTATTGAAAATCAATGTTATTGTTATGTTATTTGTAATTGATATTAGATAAGTGATTTATTAATAACGGACTCCAAAGCAGAGGAATCTTGTGGAATGGTTGGTTACATTGAAAATTGGAGCTTTTAAACAAATAAAGTAAGTATGTACCTACCCATAATTATAATCATATTTTGTCGTAAATGCATTTAATTAGTATAATGCCTAGTTCTTTATATTCTTTTAGATATATCTTGGACTCTAAAATATCAAACAGTAATATGATACCTCGTAATAAGAAAGATAGGTACTTGATGAATTTGGTGACCATCTTTCACTCAACTGACAGTGACAGTATTTGTACATAACCTCTTCGGGTATTTTCTGACATAACCGAATGAAATCATTAACAAGACAACTTGACAACAGGGTAATTTTCAACCAATAGAAATCTTAGAATGTTGGTCACATATTCGGTCTTCAACGCAAGGTAATACGGATCATCGCCTCTCTTGGTTACAGGGACGACTGTAGGGCTATGTTTAGTAATCTTGGAATTCTAACACTACCCTCCTTATATATTTTTCAAAATTTACTTTATGTTAAAAATAATTTGAATTTGTACCATAGCCACGATAGTTTTCATGACTACAATACAAGGAATAAAAATCAGCTTATGAGTAAATTTTCCAGGCTCAATAAATGCCAAAGTGGACCAGATTTTAACGGAATAAAATTTTACAACAAACTTCCAATCAACATAAAAAATATGGCTTTTAAGGAATTTAAGTTATATCTAAAATCTTTATTTGTAAAAAACGGGTTTTATTCTGTAAATGAGTATTTTGAGTATCAATTTTAATGTTTTAATTATATATTTACCTATATTATGTAAGTTTGTACTTTTTAATGTACACTCACGTGCAAAATAATCGGCCCACACAAATTTTCGATGAATTTCAATCGCAAATAACTTTTTTATTTGATGTCGGATTTAAACGAATATTAAAGAATATTGTAGATAAATTAATGGACAATCGCTCACATTTTAAAAAAATACTAAAAAATAGACGTACGTTTATAATATACAGGTTTAAACAAAAAGATGTTTTTTTACCATAAGTTTAAGACACTCTGTAGAGTGGCAAAACCGTATATTGTTCTAAATTAAGTTTTATTTATCAAGTCACATCTATTCTTAACAGTTTTGTTTTTGGTTCACCTCGATATATTTATTTTTGTGGAAAATATAGATTTTTTTAAAAAACATTGCAATTTCATATATTTTTCTGTATGAAGAACTAAGGTTGCTATGGTCCATCCATAGGCTATGGAGAATGACAGTGACAGTTTTGTTGAATCATCCCATACTTGGACAAGTCATACACGGCTTTTAAAAGCTATCAAATTGTTTTTTGCAAATTAATGTTTAAATTTTGAGGTGTCTTCTTACTTTATAAAATGGATATATCTCCGACTGATGTTGCCAGAGCTATTAATTTAATCCAGGATGGACGGTCACAGTATTCCGTGGCAAGTGTTTTAAACGTCATAAGAAGTAAAGTACAAAGGGCAATATCAATCGGAGTCATTTTTAAAAGTAAGAAGACACCTCAAAATTAACACATTAATTTACAAAAAACAATTTGATAGCTTTTGAAAGCTGTATATGACATGTCCAAGTATGGGATGATTCAACAAAACTGTCACTGTCATTCTCCATAGGCTATGGATGGACCATAGCAACCTTAGTTCTTCATACAGGAAAAATATTGGAAATTGCAATGTTTTTTAAAAAAATCCATATTTTCCACAAAAATAAATATATCGAGGTGAACCAAAAACAAAACTGTTAAGAATAGATGTGACTTGATAAATAAAACTTAATTTAGAACAATATACGGTTTTGCCACTCTACAGAGTGTCTTAAACTTATGGTAAAAAAACATCTTTTTGTTTAAACCTGTATATTATAAACGTACGTCTATTTTTTAGTATTTTTTTAAAATGTGAGCGATTGTCCATTAATTTATCTACAATATTCTTTAATATTCGTTTAAATCCGACATCAAATAAAAAAGTTATTTGCGATTGAAATTCATCGAAAATTTGTGTGGGCCGATTATTTTGCACGTGAGTGTATTTGTGATTAGTCTTTTCTTTCTACTTTTTCTTTTTTTGACGTTGTAAACAATCTGTATTGTATTAGCACTAATAAAGATTATTATTATTACATGGCGAGGTTTGTGACGTCATAAAAATTTATATTTATGTAAATATCTCAAAAACGGTAAACTCAATTGAAATTCCGATTTCACAGAAATGTTTAAAATTACAAAACGCCTCGAATAAAACCATAAAAAGTATAGGTCAGAAAAAATTTAACTACCCCATTTAAAATGAATAAATTTTATAAACTCACCGTTGGTTAGCACGCAGAACATCTCGAGCTTCTGCTGATCCACCTGGCTGTGCTCGACGTCGTACTTGTCGAAGTCGAGCACCGGCTTGAAGTTGTCGAGCAGTATTTCCATCTTCTCCTCGTTGCCGTAAACGAGAGCCGCCAGGACGCGCGTCAGATGAACGAGCACGGATTGGTTGCTGCGCACGCTCGAGTGCGTGGTGCACGTCAGCAGCGATCGCACGTACTCGGGCCCGCCGAACGTGCGCGAGAACTTCTCGAAGTTCTCGAACGACTCGCCGGTGGCCTTGGATAACACCGTCTCCATTATCTAAACGAACGCGCAAGTTTAAATCGACTTTTGGTACTTGCAAATGCAGTTGCACACTTACGTCCAAAAGTTGTTCCGTAACGGCGGCCTGGCTGGAGTTTTCGCCTTCCAGACACATCTGCAAGGTGCGAAGGAAGACCCCCATAGCACCAAGTTCGGGTTGAATCAATACATCCTGGCATTTGGTTACTTTTACGCTCAACCTACACAACGAAAAGTATCGCTTAAAATTTTAACTTAAGACAAGGAAATATGTCTATGGTTAAAATCTAGTTTGGTGGCTATATAATTTTATATTTCACTGTCACTGTCAGTGTTTTGGTTTTTTAGGTTCAGGAGCAATGTTCATTTATTTGTGTGGGACAAATAGACCTACCTTTTCTTTTTGTTATTTTTTTTAACTTCTTATATGATCTTTGAAGAAAGTAACAGAAACTCAAGTATGAAAAAAAAAATTAATCAAAATTAAATCATTCTTTTTGCATTGTGCAGGAAATGTGCCAAGACAAGGAATCTAGTGATCTTCAAGGACAGTCCATAACAGAAACTCAAACTGCCGCATGCTGCTGATAATGAAATGGCCCGGGATTGAAACATCCCAAAAGCATTAGAAAACCATACCATAATATAATATTTTTCTCAAGTTAAGTTTGTTTTATTCAATGCTGGCTCCATGGTGACCAATTTAGGGTTTTTATTTGGCAACTAAACCTAAATTGCAATTATTTGTAAATACAATTTTGTAATACATAAATTTAGAAAAAATATGTTGTTTACATTTTTCTTGCAATGTTTTTTCATTTAATTCTTTGTATTTGATTTAGAACAGGATATTTTATTTAATTGAACAATTTTAATTTTGAATTATTTTATTTGGTATTTAGTAAATATTATTTCCTTTAAAACAATATATTTTATTTGATTGAAAAACCAAATAAAATAATTTTTTTCATTAATAATATTTTCTTGAAATGTTAATATTGTGACTTGAATCGATTTTTATTCGACAATTTAATAAGAGAATAATATTAAATTCAAAGGTGGGAATGAATTAAGCAGTGAACCAAAATTCGTCCTAATGAAGAACATACGTTGTTTTCTTGTATGATCGTTTTAAACGTCGTGTTTCCTACAGAGGCTTTAAAGTGCTAAGAACAACTATGGTACTCCTCTTTTGGCAAAAAATAAACCCTATTCTAGCAAGGCTGTCATCAAATTGATTTTTGATGACGGCCCTGATAGAAAAAGGTTTATTTTTCACAAAAGACTTCCTCTGTAAGAAACAACGTTTATTAACCTGTATAAAGAGAATTGTAAGCTGAAACATTTCGTTATTTCTCACCTGAACAGCTTCAGAAGCACCTGCAGCAGCGGCCTGGCCCTCCACACGTTCTGTATGGCCCCCAAGCGCTGCACCATGACCTTCAACCCGTCGCACTTGGCCAGAACGTTAGCCATCTGGTAGACCTTCTCGTTGTCCACCTCGTTCTGCGTTTTGTTGCTCAAAGTTTCTATAAACTCCTCGGTGGCGTCTCCCAGCAGTCCGCGCATCCTGTAAACCACCCGCATCGCGTCGTGGTCTCCCCCCTCCGCCAACCACACCTTCTTGTACACCTCTTTCACCGGCAGATCGAGACTCATGATCTTGTTGTTGACTAACAGCTCCATTCCGTTGTCGTCTTCAAGTAGGGCTACCAGTTCGCAGTCCTGGCAGATTTTGTTCTTCACGTCGCGCATTAATGGCCCTAAACCCGCCTCCAAGCTGGAGTAGGGGTTGCCCAGCATTCTCCCCTGCAAAAAGTCTTCTTGCTGCGGATCCTTCTCGAGAGTGAGATAAAACTCCCCCACGTCGTTCTCTTCGGGGTAAATTATCGAGCAAAGCCGCTCGAAGATGAAAACCGGCGTCAAGATATCCTGTAAACTGTAATTTTGCACCGTCTTGATGCACACAGCCATAAACGAAATCGTTTCTTTCTGCGTTCCACTCGTCATCTCCTCTAACAACTCCAGCAGTTTTTCCTGCGTATCGTCTATCAATCTCGTTCGCTGCACCACCAATCTCCTCAGCGACAGATACCCGTTCAAAACCGCCCCCACCAGTCTTCCTTTGTACTGCCTTCTAATGGCCACGTCATCCAGAAAGGAGGCCAGCAGTTCGGTTAGTTGGTACAAGGCGTAACCCTGCGCCAAATCAGACGTCAAAGTGGTCTCCTCCAGGCGGTGCAACTGCTCTATTTCCACTGTAATAAAATGCGCTAAAACCAACAAAACCCCTTGCATCGTTAAGTATTGCTTCCACGGCGCCTCCTGTATCAAATTTTGATACAGCGATAGAAACTCCGCCGCGCTTTCCCCGGCTGCGCTCAACCCGTCCAAAAAGCACGTCAGGAGAATGAGGATGGCTTTCTTCCTCTCAGGCGTGTTGCACATTTGCTCCACTATATTACTGGCCACTTGCCTCGCCAGTCGGGAACTAGTATTAAACAAAACCGCCTGAAGCCACGCCGAATGATTCAACTCTAACGGTTCGCAAATCGACTTCTTCAGATTTTTGCGCCACCTTCCCGAATATTTCTGCATGAGGTAGAACTTCCTGACCTAACGGACAAACGGATGTTTAGCAATGAACAAACGCGATTTAAAACGGAAATGCTTACTTCTTCTTTCGCAGTCGGTAGCGGGGTGCCGTTTTCAGTTTTGTGGAAAATTCTGCTTCGCCAGCCGGCGAACGTGTGGTTGGGTTCTTTGTTTAGCCACTTGTAAACGTCGACCGTGATTCCGGTCAAGCTTGGCTTCGCCAGGGCGGTACCCGATGTACTTTGCTTTTCCTAAAATTTGTGAGATGATAAAATACGAAATCTACCTTCAGACCCCCATGAATCCCAGAAAATTGTTGAAAATTACAGACCAGTCTTCAAAATCAGTTTAGTAAAATAATAGACACTTTGTATTACAATCGTTTATAGAACTTTTTAGAATCTAACAAACAATTTTTTAAATTTTAAAATGGGTTTACAAGAAATGAGTCCACTAACACAGCAATAGAGAGTGCATTAAATTTTATTTTTAAAAGTTTAAGTCGTGCATTTGATACTATTAACCATAGATTATTATTACATAAACTTGAAAATATAGGAGTTAAATATGTTGCAAATAAATGGGTAGAATCATATTTATTAGACAGAACTCAAGTAGTACCTATAAATGGCAAAAAATCGAATATATCCAGAGTAACATTAGGAGTACCTCAAGGATCGATATTGGGGCCACTTCTATTTTTAATATTTGTAAATGATTTGAATTTAAATACAAATATAAATGAGCAACTTATTCTGTATGCAGATGATACAAACCTTATAATTCAAAATAGTAATATGCCCTGAAGCATCTTTAAAATATAATTTATTCAATAGATGGTCTAACCACTAACAAAAACAAAACATTTTTTATGCGATTTTTACCAAAAAATGTTTTACCATATTATGATATATTTGTTCCAATTATAGGTAAATCAATTGAGTTTGCAGAAACCATAAAGCTTTTGGGTATTTACTTGGATAGTAGAAAGTTAACTTGGAAAACAAATAAATAATTTAAATAAAGAAATTTGTTGTTTGCTATTTAATAAGGTCATTAAGAGGGTCAGTAACCTTTTCAATACTGCGACTTAAGTATGTACTTCGGGGTAGTCCACGCACATCTTGCCTTTTGGAGTAGCTTTAGTTATTTTAACAAAGTTCTTATAATTCAGTACATCTTGCCTATGGCATTATATTTTGGATAACAAAAGTCAAACCTATTCTTGTAAACCATTGTTTAGGAAATACAGAATTGTAACTCTTCCCTGTTTATAAATATTAAATTTGATTTTAAATATTTAAAAAAAAAAGACATTTTGACTAACTAAACTTCATTTTTTTTATCTGGAATGCGGCAACGTTGCAAATTTAGGGTTTTGGTTGGTAAATGCAGTTGTCAAGTTGAGTAGTTAAAAATGCAATTAATTTGGCTTTGGTGGTGCTTGGATGAGTAAAATCCTTAGAAGGTAAAATCATATAAATTCTTTAGCAGAAGTACCATTTTTAAATACTAAAAATACTAAGTCAAACTGGCATAAGCCACCAACCTAACAAAAAAACAGTCCAGATAAAAAAAATGAACTGTAGTAGTAGTAGTTAGTAGTTATTCAACAAGAAGTCAAAATGAGTTTATATAGGAATTACATGTTATAATAAAGTTATGTCTATTGCGTCTTATTGTAAGTATTGTTAAAAAACAAGCTGCACACTCTGTTTATGGGAAAGAATACTATTTGTGGAACTTTCTAAATGATATCTTTTAAGTTATTTTTCTTTTTCGTGTTCCTAGTGTTTTTATATATTATTTTGTAAACTGTGTGATCAATAAATATAATTAATATTAAGAGACTCATTAAGCGAAACTTTACTGCTGAGAGTAACATTTCAATTACAATTAAAATTTAGTTTCCCTAAATCTATTATATATTACAATGGGTATGAAAATGTGAAATATTTATTTTTTAGAGGTATATGGGGCTAAAAAGTGTAATGACCCATAAATGTCAACAAAAATAAATAATATTTTTTTACTTAACCGTAATTCTGACTACTTCAGGCGTGACTTTTTTGTTTATTTATTAGGGTGTATCACCTAAACTTCAAAATATTGTTCAAAACATCGAGAAAAAAAATTCTTCAAAGTTTGAGCCCTTAATTTTGATTTTTTCTTTTATATGTATTTTCAATCACTTTTTTACATATTTTTGAAAATTAAGAGAAGGCTTGTCTTTTAAAGGAAAAAGTTGTAGAAAATTTAATTCTCTCCAAAAAAAGTTTTTATATTTATATCGCTAAAGTTACACAGTTTACAAGATATAGTCATGGAATCGAACTTACGAGAAATTAATCCCGAGAAAACAATAGAGAATTATATTTTCTACAACTTTTTCCTTCGAAATTTTTCGGTAAGACAAGCCATTCTCTTAATATTTTCAAAAACGAAATGAAATGACTTCAGAGGTAATACCATCAAGGTGAATCAAGAGAGAAAAAATCTTAAAGGCTCTTTTAAAAATCGATGTTTTGAACAACATTTTGGAGTTTCGCTGAAAAATGAAACACCCTATTATTTATCTGTAATATTAAGGACTTTGGAAAAGTCAGGGAATTCGAAACGACAAAAAAAATCAAAACTACTCACTTTGGTCTTCTTGGAGGAAGCGGCGGGCCCCTTCATCAGTCCCTGCAGGATCTTGAGGCACGGCAGGATCACCGACTCCATCACCAGCGGGCTCTTCGAGTCGTTGCAGGCCATCAGAAACAGCTCCATCATGCAGCGCAACTTCGACTCCCAGCACTCGTCCTCTTTCTGAACCATCGCGGCCAGCAGGGAAATCTCGTGGCGGACCCCCGCCCCCAGATCCGAACCGCCGACGTGGCCGCACAGGCTCAGCGCTATGCGCTCGTTGAGAAGACTGCAAAGCTCTTCTGTGGCGGTGGGGTTGTCTCTCGTCAGAACGCACAATAACTGCCTGACTTCCTCTTGTATTTGAACGCTGCCTTTGCGCAAATTATTCCACACCAACTCCTGTATCAAACCTTTATTGCACAAAACTTGTCTGGTGTCCGGGTTTGTCGCCAAAGCTCTCAATAGAGTGAGACAATGTTCCGTGGCAGCCGTAGAGCACCCGTAACACCTGTTGTTGCACATCAACGGGGCGGTCTCGTTTAACAGCGGCGCGGATTTGGGCTGCATGTCCACGTCGCGGTGCTTTCTATCGTACGCGACGAGTTCTTTACGCGACACCAACACCTTTTGTATAATCTTGCTGAGTTCTTCAAAAGAAGTTTTGCATTCGGTGCAATACTGCTGCGCGAGCATTTGTATGGTTTTATTTACTTTCACTTGCACTGTGGGAATGGGGGCAACCGCGGCGGCGACCGTTTGAACCGCCGGTTGATCATCTCCGCGCCTATCCGAGCGGTGTTCCGTGATTTTGATCACCAGTGATTCCAACGTGGGTTTGTTCGCGATTAACTGCTTGTAAACACGGTCGGCTTTCTCTAGGAGAGCATTAACGCTCGAGACGGTTTTTTTACGGTCCTCATCGTTCTCAATCGGCTCTACAGCGCAGCAGGGTCTCGCTGATAGAGCGAAGTCGAACTTAGCGTACTTGCAAAAACCGCAAGCGTGGCATAAAAAGGGATCCTTCTCGTCATAGTTAATAGCGCGGCATTTATGACATTGAAACACGTTTTCACCGCAATTTCCGCACACGCCAGGATTCGCAGGGACGGAAGCACTACACCTCGGGCACTGCAGAGTCTCGCTGGACGCCTGAATATTCTCGTAAAAATCCGCGTACTCGATCATCAAGTTGCACGCGATTATCGGCAAAGGAAACTCGATTTTTACTTCCGCCTGCCCCGACTGCAACTGAACTTTCTTGGCTTTGTGCCACAGCGCCGGTTTGTTCTTCAATTCTACCACGGCTTGAACCGATCGGTTGTTGTAGTAGATGTTGATGGTCCTCACCATCTTGGTGCGCTTTAGATCGCCGATTCGCACCGTTATTTTGCCGATGGTGTGGCTGTTTAAAAGCTTCACTATCGTCGTGGTAGTGGTGTACTTAGAGTCGACTTTTATCGAACTTAACTTGATGTTCGAGAATGGGACTTCGGGGTTGTTGCACACCAAGCAAGGCTCCGATTCTAAATAGTAACCGTCCAAATCGACAAATTGACTCATATGCGCGTATAGATTCGCGTTTGGATGGTGTGCTAGTAACTCGTTCTGCGTTCTGAGCACCGTTACGGCTTTGTCGACATATTCGGCGACTTCCGGCGCGCCGCTGTTAACCTGCGTGAATTTAAGCGAGAAGTAGCCCAGAAGATCGACAAACTGAGAGGCTTTCTTGCCGTACGCCGGAAGCAACGGCCATAATTGCCACAGAAGCTCCAAGAGGGATTCTTGCTCGGGGTTTTTCGAGTTTTTGTACACCGCCAAGATTAAAGCGTGCGCTTGCCAGCGCACGCTCGACGTGTTGGTTTCCAGCATGTACGTCTTAACAAATCGCGCTAAAACCTCGCGGGACACTTGCTTGTTGATCTGCTCGACCAACGTGACGCAACTGGATTCTTCGAACGCAGCTTCGGCAGTGGAATCGTCTGATTTCTCTCTGTCTTTTCTCGATGATGACGACTGTTTTACCTCGACTTTTCTAGTGTTATTGTGCACTATGGCGCACTGCAGCAAACCCAAAATGGTCGGCGCAACCCCTTCATCCAAAAGACAGTTAACTTTGAGCAAAAACGGTATCACCTCGTCGTGGTGCACACAGAATCTCTGCCAGTTGCCGGTTCTAGTCACCGCTATCTCCAAACACGCTTTAAGATGTTCAACGAGTTCCACCAAAGAATCGTACGGCAACGACAATCCGTGTTGCAACTCAACACCCGCTTGGTATCCACCTTTAGCGCAACACACATTCACGCCGCGCATATGCGTGTTGAGTGCGTGCAAATCCCTCAGCTGGCGGTATTTTTCTTTGTTGCCGCAGATGAAGAGGAGCAGTTTGCGCACCTGCCTGCGCAGGAAGGGCGTTTGCGTGGTCATCATGTACTCGCACAGATACGTGTACCAGGAGCTGTCGAAAGCCACGTTCACCGCTTCGGAGACTTCCGAGTTTTTGTGGGTCTGATAGGGCAGTCTGGAAGGATTCGCTCGGTTAAAAGGAGCGAGAAAACGTAAGTCACCGACAACAGTCAATATACAATTACTCTTGAAAAAATATAGAAACCCGTGGGGACAAAAATATACAACAAAAAAACCTTTCAAACATCCCTAACATTTTTAACAGAAAAATTGTGAAATTTGCAAAAAAATTTACTTTTGCATTTTTTAAGTATTGTTCATAGTATAGGTAGCACAGATAATACGAGAATAAAATTTATTTATTCAATTTATCTAAAAATTCGAAAAAATGCAAAAGTCAATTCTTTTTTTTATCGTCGGCTCAATTTTTTCCGAAAATGTTGCAAAGAAAATAAGTTCATGAATATAAATGAAAAGGAAAAATATTGACTATAAAAACGAAAAAATAACAAAAAAAAACCGCAAGACTTCAATATACAGAAGTATACAAACAACTTGACAAAATTTGGCTAAAACTTTCTACCCAACCCTAAACAGTATTTTTTTCTTACTTTTTCCATATAGGTACATTGAACTTTTTTCGAATTTGCAATAAATGTGAAAGTTTCTAATAAAAAAAAATTAAGAAATTTTTGTTCGAAAAATAAACAAAAATATTTTATATTTCTGAAAAGTGCATTTAAAAACAAAAACTTTAAAAAGTCAATTTTTTTTCTGGTATTCTAAAAATTTTAGAGAATTTGCAATAAATGTCAAAGTTTCTAATAAAAAAATAAATAAAAATGAAGAAATTTTTATTTTTTCCCAAAAAATATTTTTAAATTTCTGAAAAGTGCATTTAAAAACAAAAAAATGAAGAAAAAAAATGTCCCGATAAGTAAATTTAAAAAAAAATTTTTTTTGGTTTGGTTAAAAAAATTGAAATTTTTTTTTTAGATAATTTGCAATAAATGTAAATGTTTCTAAAATAATTAATAAAAATGAAGAAATAAAGAAATTTTTATTTTTTCAAAAAAAAAACAAAAAATGTAAAAAGAAAAAACGTTCTGATAAGTCAATTTTTAAAAAAGTTACAGATATTTGAAAAATAGCCATTTTTTTAAAGATATATACATATATCTTTTTTCCCGGTTTGGTAAAAAAAAATTAAAAACTTGATAAAAAAAGAAAAAATTTGATATGGTAGAAAAAGATCCCGAGTGGTATTCTAAAATTTTTAGAGAATTTGCAATAAATGTCAAGTTTCTAATAAAAAAATAAATAAAAATGAAGAAATGAAGATTTTTATTTCCCAAAAATAAACAAAAATATTTTTATATTACTGAGAAGTGCATTTAAAACAAAAAAACGTCCTGATAAGTCAATTTTAGAAAAAGTTATAGTTATTTGAAAAATGGCAATTTTTTTCAATATTTATATAAAAAAAATCGGTTAGTTTAAAAAAATTGAAAAATATTTTTGATAGGGTAGAAAAAGATCTCCAGAGAATTTGCAATAAACGTCAAAGTTTCTAATAAAAAAAAATAAATAAAAATGAAGAAATGAAGGAATTTTTATTTTTTCACAAAAAGAAAAACAAAAATATTTTTATATTTCTGAAAAGAGCATTTAAAAACAAAAACGTAAGTCAGTTTTTAAAAAAGTTAAATATTTGAAAAATAGACATTTTTTGAAATATTTATAACTATTTTTTCGGTTTGGTAAAAAAATTGAAAAACTCTGAAAAATGTTTTTGATAGGGTAGAAAAAGATCCCCAGAGTGGTATTCTAAAAATTTTAGAGAATTTGCAGTAAATGTCAAAGTTTCAAATAAAAAAAAAATAAAATTAAAGAAATAGACATTTTTATTTTTTCAAAAAAAAAAAAACAAAAATATTTTTATATTTCTGAAAAGTGTATTTACAAAAACTTTGAAAAAAATCGTCCCGATAAGTCAATTTTAGAAAAAGTTATAGATATTTGAAAAATAGCCATTAATAAAAAATATTTAAAAAAATTTTTTTCGATTAGGTAAAAAAAATTGAAAAACTCTAAAAAAATGTTTATGATAGGGTAGAAAAAAATCCTCAGAGTGGTATTAACAAAAACTTTAAAAAGTCAATTTTTTTTCGGTTTGGTAAAAAAATTAAAAAACTCTGAAAAATGTTTTTGATAGGGTAGAAAAAGATCCACAGAATGGTATGCTAAAAATTTTAGAGAATTTGCAATAAATGTCAAAGTTTCTAATAAAAAAAATAAAGAAAAATGAATAAATAAAGAAATTTTTATTTATTACAAAAATAAACAAAACTATATTTATAATTTCTGAGAAGTGCATTTAAAAACAAAAAAAATAAGAAAGAAAACGTCCCGATAAGTAAATTTTTAAAAAAGTTATTGATATTTGAAAAATAGCCATTTTTTTTTTAAATTATAATTTTTTTTGGTTTGGTAAAAAAAATTGAAAAACTTATTTTTTTTTAGATAATTTGCAATAAATGTCAAAATTTCTAAAATAATTAATAAAAATGAAGAGATTTTTATTTTTTCCAAAAAAAAAAACAAAACATTGAAAAAGAAAAAACGTTCTGATAAGTCAATTTTTAAAAAAGTTGAAAAATAGCCATTTTTTTAGATATATCTTTTTTCCCGGTTTGGTAAAAAAATTTAAAAACTGAAAAAAAATTGATATGGTAGAAAAAGATCCCCAGAGAGGTATTCTAAAATTTTTAGAGAATTTGCAATAAAAAAAAAATGAAGAAATTTTTATTTTCTCCCAAAAATAAAAACAAAATATTTTTATATTTCTGAAATGCATTTACTAAAATTTCCGATAAGTCAATTTTAGAAAAATTTGAAAAATAGCCGATTTTGAAATATTTATAACTTTTTTTTCGGTTTAGTAAAAAAATTAAAAAACTTTTAAAAATGTCTTTGGTAGGGTAGAAAAAGATCCCCAGAGTGGTATTATAAAAGTTTCTAAAAAAATAAATAAAAATAAAAAAATGAAGAAACTTTTGTTTAATCCCTAAAAAAACAAAAAAATTTTAAAATTTTGGAGAAGTGCATTTAAAAACAAAAAATTTAAGAAAAAAAACGTCCCGATAACTCAATTTTTGAAAAAATAGCCATTCTTTTCAATATTTTGGTTTGTTAAAAATATTGAAAAACTCTAAAGAATGTCTTTGAATAGGGTAGAAAAAGATTTCCAAAGTGGTATTCTAAAAATACATTTTCGTTTTCCCATTTGATAGGATAGAAAAAGATCAAAAAGTACCGAAAAAGCTTCAACATAAAATTGTTAAATTTATTTAGGCCCCAATATCAGTACGGTTACACTGCTTTGAAGTCAGACATAAAAGACATTAAAATAATAAAAAAAAACTCACCGCAAAGCCATTTCGGTCAACAATTGCGGGTACGTGTAGAACACGTCGGTGGCGTGCTCTTTAACGAACTGCCTGAGGAAGAAAGGCGTCATATCCGGGGGCGCGTGCGGCAGATGCTCCTTGAGCAGATTACCGCCCACGTTGTGGGCATTCTCTTCGTTGGCGGCGCTCTTCCAATACTCCAGCAACGATTGCAGCAGCTTGTTGCAGTAGCTTATGATGTCGGCGCGATGCAGGAACGAGGCGGTCGTTCGGCAGACGAAGGTGCAGTTGTCCGATGCAGCTTTGCTCGCGGACGAGGCGGAAGAGGTCTTGCATCTGGACATGAACACGCTTAAGAGTCGCATCAGAACCAGCTGCACTTCTCTGCGTTGCGTCCTCGTGCAGATGTCGTCGCTGCTCGCTTTGTTCAGGTTTAATTCAACCACTACGACATTTGTATTAGTGGTTGGTATCCAAATTTACCAATTATATATTCCCCGACACCGAAACGAAACGCAAAGTGCCTGATATAACTCTTTTTTTCGGTTTGGTAAGAAAAATTGAAAAATGTTTTTGATAGGGTAGAAAAAGATCCCCAGAGTGGTATTCTAACAATTTTACAGAATATGCAATAAAAGTCAAAGTTTCTAGAAAAAATAAATAAATGAAGAAATGAAAAAAATGAAAAACTCTGAAAAACGTTTTTGATAGGGTAGGAAAAGTTTCTAATAAAAAAAAAATGAGAGAAAGAAATTTTTTTTATTACAAAAATAAACAAAAATATATTTATATTTCTGAAAAGTGCATTTAAAAACAAAAACTTTGAAATAAAACGTCCCGTTAAGTCAATTTTTTTAAAAGTTATAGATATTTGAAAAATAGATATTTTTTGAAATATTTATAAAAAAAAATTCGGTTTGGTAAAAATAATGAAAAACTCTGAAAAATGTTTTTGATAGGGTAGAAAAAGATCCCCAGAGTGGTATTTCAAAAATTTTAGAAAATTTGCAATAAATGTCAAAGTTTCTAATAAAAAATAAATAAAAATGAAATGAAGAAATTTTTATTTATTACAAAAATAAACAAAAATATATTTATTAGGCTGGTTCAAAAAAATCAACTATTATTTTTTCTTAAAATTTCGCACTGAAATTTTTTCACGGTACCAAAAAAAGACACCTGCGAAAACCGGAGCTCTTAATTTTAATATTTAGAGGTCGCGCATCGAGAATTTCTATTTCCCATTTAAATAACATGGCAAATTTTGTTTTGTTTCTTTATAATTTTCCAGCTCACAAACTAATTAACAGATTTTTATGCGCGATATATATTCTTGTGGGAAATTGAATGCTCTACAAAAAATGTCTCCTTTCATTTTTCGATAAACCAACGAGTTCAAAAGTTATTCAAGTTATTGTAGCGAGTACCGCTCTGGATATCGGAGTGATGACTCATCGCCGGTGACTCAGCGCTCGAATAATCGAGAGTGTGGAGCTCGCTGGAATGTTCCAGAAGACTTGGGCGCTAAATATATAAGAAACGGAGCAGCACAGGGCAGTCAGTTGAGATTTGGTACGCGCGAAGAAATAAATAAATATAAGTGCAAATAAATAAACTAGTAGTGATATAAATAATTAGTAGTTAAGTGTTTAGTTTTATAGTTTTATAGTGTTTTAAGTGTAGTTAAGTTATTAAATAAATAGTTTAGTTCGTTAATTAACCAGTGCGTGTTTTAATTCACACTACGAACAGTAAAAACGTTACATTATTATTATTATTCAAGTTAAATTTGTCATAATTGCATTTTTTACTTCAATTTTAGGCAAATTCATTAGTTAGTTTTTATCACATAAAAAAAAATCATTCAAAAAATCAAAATAACTATGTTCAATAAGCCTTTTAAATTAATTCCACTGAAACACTTACTAGTTTTGGAAATAATTCATTAAAAAGGATATTAATTAATCAAAAAGAATTTTAATCAATTCTTTCCAAAATAGTAGGTGTTTCAGTGGAATTAATTTAAAAGGCTTATTGAACATGATAATTTTGATTTTTTTTATATTTGATAAAAACTAACTAATGAATTTGCCTAAAATTGAAGTAAAACATGCAATTATGCTTAAAATTTTTTTTAATTAGTTTGTGAGCTAGAAAATTATAAAGAAATAAAACAAAATTTCTCATGTTATTTAAATGGGAAATAGAAATTCTCGATGCGCGACCTATAAATATTTTTTTGGTATCGTGAACATATTTCAGTGCGAAATTTCAGAAAAAAAATATTGATTATTTTGAACCAGCCTAATATTTATATTTCTAAAAAGTGCATTTAAAAACAAAAGCTCTGAAAAAAAACGTCCCGATAAGTAAATTTTTGAAAAAATTATAGATATTTGAAAAATAGCCATTTTTTGAAATATTTATAAATTTTTTTTCGTTTGGCAAAAAAAATTGAAAAACTCTGAAAAATGTTTTTGATAGGGTAGAAAAAGATTCCCATAGTGGTATTCTAAAAATTTTAGAGAACTTGCAATAAATGTAAAAGTTTCTAAAAAATAAATAAAAATTAAGGAATGAAGAAATTTTTATTTTTCCCCCAAAAATAATTTTTTTTTATATTTCTGAAAAGTGCACTAAAAAACAAAAAATTTGAAAATAAAACGTCCCGGTAAGTCAATTTTTGAAAAAGTTATATATATTTGAAAAATAGGCATTTTTTTGAAATGTTTATAATTTTTTTTCGGTTTGGTAAAAAAATTGAAATGAAGAAATAAAGATATTTTCCAAAAATAAAGAAACATATTTTTAAATTTCTGAAAAGTGCACTTAAAAACAAAAAATTGAAGATAAGGCAATTTTAAAAAAGTGATACCTAGATATTTGAAAAATAGCCATTTTTGAAATATTTATAACTTTTTTTCGGTTCGGTTAAAAAATTTAAAAACTCTGAAAAATGTTTTTGATAGGGTAGAAAAAGATCCCCAGAGTGGTATTAATAATAATATTCATTTATTTAGCAAAATGCTACATGGTTTACAAAAAAAAAATAAAATTGATATAAAAGTTATAAATAAACAATAAACAATTTATAAATAAACAACAAATAAATAACAAATTTAAAATTGGGACATTACATATTTTCTGAGCAATTTCTTAAAAGTGGTTAGTTTTGTACAAGTTTTTAAATGATTTGGCAATTGATTAAATTCGTGTAGACCTTTATAACATAGTGTTCCGTGATTGATTTGTTGAACATCTATTGGTCAATATAAAGTCATTTTGATTTCTTGTGCTGTAAATATGAACATAACAATTTTTAGAGAATTTGCAATAAATGTCAAAGTTTCTAATAAAATAATAAATAAAAATGAAGAAATGAAGAAATTTTAATTTTTTTACACAAAAATTAAAAAAACATTTTTATATTTCTGAAAAGTGCATTTAAAAACAAAAACTTAAAAAAGAAACGTTCTAATAAGTCAATTTTTGAAAAAGTTATAGATATTTGAAAAATGTTTTTGATAGGGTAGAAAAAGATCCCCAGCGTGGTATTCTAAAAGTTTTAGAGAATTTGCAATAAATGTAAGTTTCTAAAAAAATAAATAAAAATGAAGGAATAAAGAAATTTTTATTTTTTCCCCCAAAAATATAAAAAATAATTTTGTATTTCTGGAAAGTGCATTTGAAAACAAAAACTTTGAAAATAAAACGTGCCATTAAGTCAATTTTTGAAAAATAGACATTTTTTGAAATGTTTCGGTTTGGTTAAAAAATTGGTTAAAAAATTGAAAAAAAAAAACTCAGTTATACTTCTAAAGATGCCAACTTTGCGTTTTGTTTCGGTGTCTGAGAATATATCTAACGTTCGTTTAACACATCAGCAAAGCTGTAATTTTTCGAGCCTCACCTATAGACGCCAACAGCGAGTTGAGGCACATCCAATCCCTCTCGGAGTGCCCGTCCAAGTCGGAGGTGAGCTGCAAGACGACCTGCAGAAACGGAATCACCCTGATCCCGCCCACCTTCCGCAGATTCGGCAGGTACTCGACCAGCCGCTCGAGCAGCTGCAAGCGCAGCACGTGCAGCCGCCCGCCGTTCTCCGCTTCCATCTCCGCGTCGTCGTGCTGCTGCGCCTCCGTGTCGGCCGCGCCGCCGGCGTTGGCCAGCGAGCCGGCGTCCGACCGCGACGCCATCGCTATCGCCTCGTGGATGTTGTCGCCGTAGGCGGAGCTGCGACCGGACGCGTTCTGCTCGCCGGTCATGCTCTCCACGCCGCTGCCGCCGCTTTCCGAACCGGCCGCAGAACCGCCCTGCGCAACAATAATAATAATAATAATCTTTATTTAGCAGATTCGCTATAAAAAACATTACATAAAGAAAAAGATATAAATAAAAAAGTAAAACATAAAAATATAACACGGAAAATAAAATAACAAGATAGAAGAATGCAAAAACTATATAACAAATACAATATATTAATGGGGATCACAATTAGTGTTTTAAGATAATAGATTTAGTTAACAATTTTCTAAACGTATTAAAATTATCACAATACTTTATTTCACTTGGTAAATTATTAAATTGTATTAAACCATTTGTTAAAACAAAATTTCTTAGTTGCGCAGTTCGGCAAAGTTTCACATTAAAGTCATTTCTGTTTCTTGTGTTGTATACATGGTGATCCGAAATCAGTTCTAAATTTTCGTGTAAATATTTCGGCAACATTTTGGTTTTAATTTTATAAATAAATATTAATACATTAAATAAGATTCTATCTTTGACGGACATTAAATTTAGAACATTTAACATTGTTTAACAACGTTGCAACGTCAAGTGGGACCAGAAAATTTCACGAAATCACCGATTTTAAAAATAATGTTTTTATATTTCTGAAAAGTGCATTTAAAAACAAAAACTTTGAAAAAACATCCCAATAAGTCAATTTTTATTTGAAAAAGACATTTTTTGAAATATTTATAAAAAAAAATCGGTTTGGTAAAAAAATTGAAAAACTCTGAAAAATGTTTTTGATAGGTTAGAAAAAGATCCCCAGAATGGTATTTTAAAAATTTTAGAGAATTTGCAATAAATGTCAAAGTTTCTAAAAAAATAAATAAAAACGATGAAATGAAGAAAAATGTTTTTGATAGGTTAGAAAAAGATGTTATTCTAAAAATTTTAGAGAATTTGGAATAAATGTAAAAGTTTCTAATAAAAAAAGAAATAAATATGAATGAAGAAATTTTTATTTTTTCCCCAAAAATAAAAAAAATATTTTTATATTTCTGAAAAGTGAATTTAAAAACAAAAAAAGTCCCAATAAGTCAATTTTTGAAAAAGTTATAGATATTTGAAAAATAGATATTTTTTGAAATATTTATAAAATTTTTTTCGGTTTGGTAAAAATATTGAAAAACTCTGAAAAATGTTTTTGATAGGGTAGAAAAAGATCCCCAGAGTGGTATTCTAAAAATCTTTTGCAATAAATGTAAAAGTTTAAAAAAATACATAAAAATGAAGAAATTTTTATTTCTTCCCCCAAAAATAAAAAAAAATATTTTTATATTTCTGAAAAGTGCATTTAAAAACAAAAACTTTGAAAATAAAACGTCCCAATAAGTCAATTTTTGAAAAATAGACATTTTTTTAAATGTTTATTAACTTTTTTTGGTTTGGTTAAAAAAATTGAATACTGAAAAATGTCTTTGATAGGGTAGAAGAAGTCAAAGTTTCTAATAAAAAATTAAATAAAAATGAAGAAATTTTTGTTTTACCCAAAAATAAACAAAATTATATTTATATTTCTGAAAAGTACATTTAAAAACAAAAACTTTGAAAAAAAACTCAGTTATACTTAGTACTACAATAGTGTGTAAAATTTAATTCAATTATACAGAGTGGTCCAAGAGATTCTATTTTTTTAAATTTTACCATGCTCTTAAGTTTGACAAAATTATGAACTTAAATAAGCTTAACAAAAAACTGAATATCAAAACAATTTTTTTAGTGTGACATATGGGTCATGCCTACTACAAAATTATGTGATTATTTTCAAAATCGGTGATTTCGTAAAAATTTCTGGTTCCACTTGACTCAATATGAAATTATAGAGTGAACATTCCCAGAAACTTTCCCTGTTTTTTTTATGTAAATGTCAATTTTTTAACAGCTGATTTGCGAAGTTAGGGCCAAGAAACTGAATAAAAAGAAGTTAATTTAAATTGTGTTAATTCAAAGAAGTTAGTTGAAGATCTTAACATCACAATTCATAAACCGTTTAAAAAATCCTTTAAAGCCATTTAAAGGGTTAACAAAATAAAAAATAAATCAGCAGTAGACCCTTCACCGGCGTTGAGTGATAGTCGAAGTTTGCTCTGGATTATTAATACGAATTACGCATTATTACTTTTAAAAATGATTCAGATACTTATTAAAATGTAACGGAATCACCTTTAACAGTAAATCATTATTTGTTTTGCATTTAACTAAAAGTTTTTTCTTAATAAAAAATTCTCTTTAAAAACTTACATTCGAAAATAAAATAATAAATAAATCAATTATCTTAAAACAAACCTTCTTAAAATAAATGAATAAATAAATAAATTAATTAAATATAACCAGAGTTGAAAAAAATAATGGAATCGTCATTTTTTTTAAATAAATAATTATAATTAATAAATAACGTTTATTTAGCAGAAGCTATAAAAATGGTAATGTAGTTTTAATACATTATTCACCAAAAAAAATTCTGACAGTTTGAAAAATTTTGATTTTCGATATTTATTTTTCGATATTTTTTTGATTATTCGTTCAAAAAATATCGCGTTTTTTGTTTTTTTTGCTGCTAATTTCTTTAATAATGGTCCGAATTTCTTAAAATTTTCGTGTATAAAAATTATCCAAAGCATATTTGCATGCGAATTTTGAGATTTAAAATTTTAATTTTCAAACTGTTTGTATTCTTTGATTTCCTTGCAAATTTTTTACGTTAAACTTCAAGAAATTTTAAGCCGGGGTTGATAGCGAGATTATGATAATTAGGTGAGAAGGCGACCTAAACTCAAAAAAGTATCGAATCCGCGATGGTATGAACGAATAATTAATTTTAAACGTCTGTTACTGGTAAAATAACAATTCAAAACAAAAATTGAAAAATGTATCATGCAATATAAATATTTTTCTGCCCACTACTTCGATAATCATTCATTTCTCATTAAAAATAAAAAAAATAGTAATGTAAAGTGAGTACATTACTCATTAACATAAAAAAATGTAACTGAAAATTTCAAAATACTCATTACAAATTAAAAATGAGTTTTTATTAAAAAAGAAGTAATGGCTCCTAACGATTTTTTCCTAATGGAGGATATGTAAAATCTACCTTGTACTATGCTCCACACCTCAAAGTCCCACCACGTGACCACGTACGGAACACAGTCTTTTGAAAATTTGGCATTTAAGGCTTTTCAGGTTATGTATCTGTCAAAGTATAGTCAACGAAAGAAATATTGTGTTACCGCTTATGTTTAAGCGTTAAAAGTTAATAAATCTTTATAGTATCAGGTTGCTTTAAGAATTTAGGAATATAAATACTGCATTTAATGAAATTCCAAAGTGTAAGGTGCAATATAAGTGATATTTTTGTGCATTGGGTCTACATTTCTCCATAAAATAGCTTTAACTAAACAGCATTTATTAAAAAAAATCTAACTTCTCTATTATGAAATAAGAATATCTGTATCAAAGGTAGGTTAATGTATAAGAACAAAAAATATCATCTAATTTTGTATTTTAAGGTTAGAAAAATCTATTTTGACCAAAATAAATAAGTGGATTATTTGGAAGAGTGTGTTAATATTGTCATAAATAAATATAGGTATACTTAATAATTGTTGAATATAGTTAAAATTAAATTGAAGCTTTTATACTTCTAACGACAAAACTTGTGCATACCTCTCGGCATACCTACTTTAAGTTAGATTATAAGAAAACAAACAATTTTTAGAGAAACTTGCAATGTGAAAATATTTAATACTCCCATGATATGTGATTTATTAAATTTTTTAAAGTTATAATGATTTTTTGATGTAGATCAAATTCAGTTGAAGCTTTATGTATTGACAAAACTTTATGTAGGTAGGTACACTTTAAGCTGGATTAGAAAAACTACCACATTTTTAAATACTATATTATACAGTCTTTCAAATAATCCAAAATTAGATGATATTTTTGTTATAATATATTAACCTACCTTTAATACAGATATATTTATTCCATAATAGAGAAGCTAGATTTTTTTTAATAAACGTGTTTAGTTAAAATTATTTTATGGAGAAAACTAGAAATTTGGACCAAATGCACAAAAATACTACTGATTTGGCACCATACACTTGAGAATTTCATTAAATGCAGTAGGTATTTATATTCCTAATTTCTTAAACTAACCAATAATAATTGTAATGTTATAAAGATTTATACATTTTTAACGCCTAAACATAATATTATTTCTTTCGTTGACTATACTTTGACAGATACATAACCTGAAAAGCCTTAAATGCCAAATTTTCAAAAGACTGCGTTCCGTACGTTGTCACGTGGTGGGACTTTGAGGTGTGGAGCATAGTACCGTCATGAAAAAATGAATAATTTGGGTGAATTAGAGGCAAGAATGCTTACAGCGTTTGGGATAATTACTCCATAATGTTCGCACCGAATTTTATGGCATACTGAGTTTTGTTTGATACAATTTTGGGGAACGTTTGAATAAGCTTTGAATAAATTATTCAAAGCTTGTGTTCAAATAATAATTTATTATTTTTATTATTTAATTAATTAATTCATTTATTTTAAAAAGTTTTGTTTTTAGAGAATTGATTTATTTATTTTAATTTGTTTTCCAAAGAATTTTTTATGTCATTTTTACAAGAAAACACTTTTAGTTTAATGTTAAACAAATAATGATTTTCCACCTTTAATTATTAAGTACTTGAATCATTTTTAAAAGCAATTTACTTAATAATGCGAAATTCGTTTTAATAATCCAGAGCAAACTTCTGGCGTTTCTGGCGTCTCCCACGCTTCCACGCGTAAAACGAAAGTGCCGTATAACAATCTAACAAACGCTGCACATACCTGTTCCGCAGGAGACGTCCTCAAGGTGGAGCCGTCGGTGGCGGCGGTCGAACCCTCGTCGTCCGAGCCGGCCGCCGAGGCGGTGGTGTCGCTGTAGTGTCCCGCCTCCTGCGCCTGCGCGGCCGCCTGCTGCCCCAACGCCTGCAGCGGCGCCTGCTCCATGCGCTCCATGTCGTGCTCCTGCAGGCTGAGCGCGATCGCGAGCTCCACCATCGCCTCGTCGTCGGCGTCGGGCGGCATGTCGAGGATCGGCGGGAAGCCGCCGCCCCCGCCGCCGCCTCCGAGCAAGGCTTCCAGCGGGTTCATGTTGTGGTGGTGCGGGTTTTCAGCGACGTCCGGTTGCTGCTGCTGCTGCTGCAGCATCGCCAGGTGCTCGACCGCGTGCACTTCGTATTGCTGCTGCTGCTGCTGCGGCGGCGGTTGCCTGCCGATAGGCGGGTCTTCCTCTTGACTAGAATTCGAGTTGGTGGGCGGTTGTTTTCCTTCAAATCACACTTGTTAATTACACTATGACAGTTTTATAAACTTTACTTTTTGAGTTCCCCGGTCTGGTTTAACTAATTTTGGGCCGCTGATTTCAAAAATGCCACTCGATTAATTCTAGGACGTCTATGATTTAAAATAATTGCGTAATAATATTGTAGGTTTATAATATACAGGTTTAAACAAAAAGATTTTTTTACCATAAGTTTAAGACACTCTGTAGAGTGGCAAAACCGTATATTGTTCTAAATTAGGTTTTATTTATCAAGTCACATCTATTCTTAACAGTTTTGTTTTTCTTTCACCTCGATATATTTATTTTTGTGGAAAATATCAATTTTTTTTAAAAAACATTGCAATTTCCAATATTTTCCTGTATGAAGAACTAAGGTTGCTATGGTCCATACATAGCCTATGAAGGATGACAGTGACAGTTTTGTTGAATCATCCCATACTTGGACATGTCCTATACATCTTTCAAAAGCTATCAAATTGTTTTTTGTAAATTAATTTGTTAATTTTGAGGTGTCTTCTTACTTTTAAAAATGTCTCCGACCGATGTTGCCCTTTGTGCTTTACTTCTTGTGACGTTTAAAACACTTGCCACGTAATACTGTGACCGTCCATCCTGGATTAAATTAATTGCTCTGGCAACATCAGTCGGGGACATATCCATTTTTTAAAGTAAGAAGACACCTTAAAATTTAAACATTAATTTGCAAAAAACAATTTGATAGCTTTTGAAAGCCGTGTATGACATGTCCAAGTATGGGATGATTCAATAAAACCGTCACTGTCATCCTCCATAGCATATGGATGGATCATAGCAACCTTAGTTCTTCATACAGAAAAATATTGGAAATTGCAATGTATTTTTAAAAAATCCATATTTTTCACAAAAATAAATATATCGAGGTGAACCAAAAACAAAACTGTTAAAAATAGATGTGACTTGATAATTAAAACTTAATTTAGAACAATATAAGGTTTTGCCACTCTACAGAGTGTCTTAAACTTATGGTAAAAAACATCTTTTTGTTTAAACCTGTATATTATAAACGTACGTGTATTTTTTAGTAATTTTTAAAATGTGAGCAATTCTCCATTAATGTATCTACAATATTCTTTAATATTTGTTTAAATCCGAAATCAAACAAAAAAATTATTTGCGATTGAAAATCATCAAAAATTTGTGTGGATCGATTATTTTGCCTGTGAGTGTATAAATATTTTCCATTTGACATATACCTACTGATGACTTTGTATGAAGTCAAAAATATACAGGGACTCGAAAATATAATTAAGGCAAAATAATTTAATAAGTAATCATAATTTACATTTTAAGATAATTGAACAGAGCATTTTATTACGCAATTCGAATCCTAAACGTCCTGAAGCAAAACGAGTGGCATTTTTAAAATTAGCATCCCAAAATTAGGCAATGTAGGTGGGTGTACTCAATGTTACATATTTTTTTTTGCTGGTCTTTAAAACTTTTTTGGGTCAGCTATCCGTAAAGTTAAACTTATAATATAATAGCGAAAATAGGCTTCATTACTAGATTTTAGGTAAAATATGCAATTACCAGTAATAATGGGCGTTATATATACATATGTATATGCAATATGTAAACGCATATAATCCGGGAGCTAATTATAATAATAATAATAATCTTACCTATGGGTGGTGATGGACAATGAGGTGGACTCGGAATAAACACCTTCTTACGCCTGACTTTAGGTTTAAGTACTTTACATAGCGCCTGTTTGGCACTGAATGCTATTACAGAATCACTGCAGAGCAATAGTTGCAAGTATACTCCTATAGTAATATTGCTGTATGTATCGCAACTATTAAACGCGTGGACTATCTCCACCAATGCGTAAATAACTGAAAGAAAATTAACAAAATTATTTTGCGTTACTTTATTATACTGAAATTTGGTTAAGGTCATGGTTAAAACATGTGCCTAAAAATAGTATATTAACGCCATTTTAGTTACGAGTTTTATAAGGCACAAGCGAAGCTTGCGAGCGAATGATTAATAAAAACGAGTGTCTAGAGAAATTGACATCTGCCAACTTTTAACGGATTTAACCTCACTTTTCCCTAATTTATAATAAAGCTAACTTCAGCCCGTGATTAAAATGCCCAAAAGCAACTATTGCTAACTTCGGGCCGTGACTAAAACGTCATAAAGTCACATCTCGTCAATGTAGGAGTAGATAGGTAATAGTATATTATGTATCAAGTTTGATAAACGCCATTTTATACACGAATTTAATTTAGGCACGAGCGAGCTTGCGAGCGAGTTCTTAAATTAATGAGTTTATAAACGAGGTGCATACTATACTTTTTCTACGACAAATACTTATTATTATCTTAAAATGATTTAAATCAAATATTTGTATAGAGCGTCATCTATGAAACAATAGGGGAATCTGTGTGTCACCGTCAACTGTCACATTTTTAAATTTTATAAACACAGATTATAAAGGTTAGGGGAGTAGAAAAAATAAAATATTCATTAAATTAATAAATTGTTTCAACTAAATTTTAAAGTTATGTACTAATCTAATAATTATGCATTAAATTAACAATTGAGTTATGAAATAATTTGTCCACTAAATTATTAATTGTTGTATAACATTTAAATGTAATGTGAGAATGTTTTATTAAAAATTTATCGACTGTCATTTAAATGTCTTTACAAATTTAAACCAATAATTTTGTTGAATAAAATTATAAAATTATATTATTTATAATAAATTATAAGAAATTATTTTTATTAAAAAATTATAGTTTGCAAAACTTCATTGGAAATAAAATTGGTGACTTAAAAATGATATTTACCAAAATCCTAGCTGCTCCTCTTTTCGAAATTTTTTTAAAATTCTTATTTTTTTTTGTTTATCTTTTCGAAATTTTTTTAAAATTCTTATTTTTTTTTTGTTTATCTTACCTTTGACAGAGTAAACATTTGTACACATATTTTTATAATATTGGAGTATATTGTTAAGGAGACTTGGAAAATACTGTTTTCATACTGAGCAATTAGATTTATACAGGGCTAGCCAAAAATCACTTTTTTATATAGTAAAAAGCATAATGCACAAAAAAGATTTATCTCCAAAAATTGTTATTTTATTTAATTTTATTCCAAATTAATTTTTCTTATAAAGTCTTAATAAGAATACCATTTTGTAGCCTGATAAACATAAAAATATCTAAAAAAAACATGGGTAGGGATATATCTTTTTTGCGTGTTATGCCAAAAAACATGAAGTTACGCTTTTGCTTTATTATAAGAAGCGATTTTTGGGTAACCCTGTATATATTAAATTATGTGCACAGTATAAACAAGTATTCTCAAAATCTCCTTAACAATATACTCCAATATTATAAAAATCGGTATACAAATGTGTACTCTGTCAAAGGTAGACTTTAAGAAAAATTTAAAAAAAAATTATGAATTTTCAAAACATTTCGAAAAAAGGAGCAGCTAGGATTTTGATAAATATCATTTTTAAGTCACCGAAGGGTCCCGAACAAGAATTTGCAATCAGTTTTTGGCGGCATTTTTATGCGACTTAAACTTCGTTCAGGCACACCGTGTTGTTTATATAAAAAGTACTTTAATTATAATTAAGCTTAATTTTTTAATGCCAAGAATAAGCGGCATACATTTTATCTAAATCCATAAAGGGGTTTTTAAAACATAGAAGCCACGTCTGCCTATAAATATTAATATCTTTAAAACTATTTATCGGATCGATTCGAAATTTTCACAGAAATATTGTACTATAAAGTCTTTACCTTGTTCGGTGTGTTTTAAGCCTGGCACCACGACGGGAGCCAGCGTGGGATTCTCGGGATTCAAGGAGTGCAAAAGCCAGAGAACGTCCATGAGCAGCAAAAGCAGGTGGTTGCTTTTGTGCTCCCTCGGGGCGTTCCTGGGTTCGAGAGGATCATCAACGACGACGTCCTGGATGGACGTGTACGCGTCAGCGAATTTGACCAGGTTCTGCGGCCTCGCGATGGCTATCCCTCTGACGATGAGCACGAGCCGATAGAAGCTCTCGGCGTCCACGTCGGCCTTCTCCGCGTCTGCCGTTATGGCCGTCAAACTGGCCAACACGTGCTGCAACAGCGCCTGGTCCTTGTAAGCGTGGTACTGCTGCTTGGACGAGTGCAAGGTGGACAGTAGCGCTTTGGCTTGCACCTGCACCGAGGGCGGGGTCGGTATGGTTAGCAGTTGCGTGGCGATCTTCAACGTTTGCGGTTTGTAGGCCGAGTGCTTTTCCTCGGAGGTGGACAGGGAGAAGGAGCCGTCGAGGGACTCCAAAATGCCCACGGTGAGGCGTTCTAGTTTCGTTAGGGGTGCGACTCCGTTCGGGCGCTGGTCGCATTCGTTGGATGTCGAGATAACCTTGATAAAAAGTACGATAATAACGCAATTTCCATAACAGAAATTAGACTATATTGATGCATCAGGTTTTTAAGGAATTCATTACCCAAAGCACAACTATGTATTTGTAGGATAAGTGATTTTAAGAAAAACATGAAAAACCGCTCATAAGATCATTTTTGAAAAAAAAAATGTTAAAATTGTATAGACGTGCTTTTGCATCCTTTTAGTTAAAAAAGTAAAAAAAAAAATCCTTTAAAATGAGGTATTTTAGTAAATAATTGTAATCAAAATATTTAAAAACATAGTTTTGCATCTTCCTCGTTCAAAAACCAAGTTTTGCAAGTGAAAAGTGCAAATACCAAAAAATAACAATTAATCAGGTGATTGTTATGTCGTCCCGTAATGCGTATACTAGGGACGTGATTGGTCAACAGCAAATACCGTGTTTTGCATCCGACAGGAATAAACAAATACCCAGTTTTGCACCTGAGTTACTTAGGTATGCTCCACACCTCAAAGTCCCACCACGTGACCACGTACGGAACGCAGTCTTTTGAAAATTTGGCATTTAAGGCTTTTCAGGTTATGTATCTGTCAAAGTATAATCAACGAAAGAAATAATATTTATAGTGTTACCGCTTATGTTTAAGCGTTAAAAGTTAATAAATATTTATAATATCACAATAACAATGGCTGGTTTAAGAATTTAAAAATATAAATACTGCATTTAATGAAATTCTAAAGTGTATGGTGCCAAATAAGTAATATTTTTGTGGATTTGGTCCAAATATCTGGTTTTCTCCATAAAATAATTTTAACTAAACAGCATTTATTTAAAAAAATCTAGCTTCCCTATTATGGAATAAGAATATCTGTATTAAAGGTAGGTTACTATATTATAACAAAAATATCATCTAATTTTGTAATTTTAAGGTTAAAAAAATTTATTTTGACCAAAATGGTATTTAAAAATGTGGAAGTTTTTCTTATCCAGCTTAAAGTGTACCTACATTAAGTTTTGTCAATACAAATAGTTAAAAACCTTCAAATGAATTTGATCAAAAAATCATTATAACTTCAAAAATTTTAATAAATCACATATCATGGGAGTATTAAATATGGAGATGGGAAAATTCCCATTTGACGAAAATTCCCTGAAACTTTCCATCGAAAATTCCCGAAATTTTCCGAAAGTTTCAAAAAAAAAACTTTTATTGCGAAAATATTTTTTTTATGCCAGGGATTTGCAAAAATATATAACACATTAACTTTTTGTCAAATTTTATTAAGAAAAAAAATAAAAAAAAATGTTTATAAGAATGTAACTGCAATACTATTTTTAGTATCTTTTACTTTGGAATATTCCTATTGTGTACTGAAACCTACAAAATAAAAATAAAATGTTTACTATTATAATAATTTCTATAGAAATTCACTGCTAGTAAATCCTAGATATTACGTAAAAAAAATTAAAAGGGACAAAGTAACTAATATATAGGAATATTAAAAAGTAAAGTAAAAAATAATTCCAAACACTAGATTTTTTTCTTGGCATTGTGCTATGCCTATAAATAAACAACAAAAATGTAAGAATGATTTTAACTTTGTTTATTGTTTTTATTTTGTTTACCTTTTTTTTAAGTTTTTTGTGATGATGCTGAATAATCCAGCTTCATTGAGGTTATGTAACATAACTTACATTATTTATACTTCTTCTTCTGCTTTAAATTAACACACATTAAATTCTTATTCAAAGTTTCTTGGCCTTGTATCATGGCCTTAACGAAAATCAGCGGTTAAACAATTGACATTTAAATGAAAAAAACAAGGAAAGTTTCCAAGGAATGTTTCCAAGGAATGTTTCAGGTAGCTTAAAAGAAGCTTTCAAAATGAAAATAAATTCCCAATTGGAAACTTTCCAAAACGAAAAGTTTCCTTAAAATGGAAACTTTCCGATTCCCATCTCTAATTAAATATTTTCACATTGCAAGTTTCTCTAAAAATTGTTTGTTTTCTTATAATCTAACTTAAAGTAGGTATGCCGAGAGGTATGCACAAGTTTTGTAGTTAGAAGTATAAAATTTAATTTGAACCATATTCAACAATTATTTAGTATACCTATATTTATTTATGACCATATTAACACACTCTTTAAAATAATCCACTTATTTATTTTGGTCAAAATAGATAACCTTAAAATACAAAATTAGATGATATTTTTTGTTCTAATACATTAACCTACCTTTGATATAGATATTCTTATTTCATAATAGATAAGTTAAATTTTTTTAATAAATCCTGTGTAGTTAAAACTATTTTATGAAGAAATGTAGACCCAATGCACAAAAATATCACTTACTTATATAATATAAGTTATATTGCATATGCAGTATTTATATTCATAAATTCTTAAACCAACCATTGTTATTGTGATTCTATAAAGATTTATTAACTTTTAACGCTTAAACATAAGCGTTAACACTATAAATATTATTTCTTTCATTGACTATACTTTGACAGATAAATAACCTGAAAAGCCCACGTGGTGGGACTTTGAGGTGTGGAGCATAGTACTCAAATATAAAGAACTGTTTTCCATTTTTAGGTCGGAATTTCTCGAAAACCTGATGTCTGAGGTCGAATTCGGATTCAGCACTAAACCTTCGGATTCTGTTTAAAATTGTTGTAACCGGTGCAATCTTTAATCTTTTTAGTTTTGTACATAACTTAATAAATACAAAACTAAAACATAAACATTTAAAGCGGTACATACCTGAGTGTTAGCCGAGTTGGCTGTGGCCACAGCCTCCTCGTTTTCCTCGGGCCACCCGAAGGAATCCTTAGTCCGCCCGTAAATCTTGACACTATCGATCATGGTGACGGTCTCGGGGTCCTGAGACGGCCCGAATAAAATCGTAAACTTCTTGTCGGCCTGCAGGCTCTCTTCCCTCGAAAAAGGTATGTCGAACCACCTGCTCCGCGTGCAAGTGACCGAAACGATCCTGCCGAAGATCTCCACGAACGACGGCGCCCTCTGCGCGTCCTGACTCCCTATCAATATTCTCACGCCGACCATCACAGTGTTTGCGTCGTTGTTTGTGACCTCCACTGTAAATCCCAACGGTCTATTGCAAGCCACGTACAGACCCGTGGTGTTGAGGCGGTGTTTTAGCTGCGCCACGTTGTAAACTTGCAAAAGATCGTTCCCGCCAATCTCGACTTCGTTCATGGGGGAGCAGTGCTCGAAGAAATCAACCGGGAACACCACGGAACTCGACGAGGGTTTTCCGGCTTTCACCGCCTTTTTCTTCTTCGGTTTTGCCACCGATGTAATACCGATGGACGGTTGTATCCCGGGCGACATCCAGAAACCAGTCTGGTCCATGTTTGCCATGAACATCTTCAAACTTCCATCTTCGCAGAGCAAAATCAATGTGGTTCTTAAATCGTTACCCGAACTGTGCCTGATGGGGACCATGTCCATTATCTTGGATTTCGAGGGTACCACGCGGATCTCTTGTATCATTATGGCGTCGGGTTTCAACATCAAAATGACCGGGTTGTTGCTCGACTGCATGGCGCAGCAAATTAGACCCGGGTGGTTCGGAATTTCGGTCCACTGACACAACGGTTGCGTAGTGGAATTTCTAGACCCATTACTTTTGGATGTAGAATTACTCGTAACCGGTATTGTAATGGGGAAAACAACGGATAAAGTGTTGCTCTTTGGTGTTATAGGCGAGATAAAACTTTTCCCTTGCGAGTAGCTATAAAACAGTAAACCCAAAGTGTGCGAGTAGTAAATACTCACTCCACCACCCGCTACGTGGCCGTTAACATCCACCAAATCCATGTTGACTTCCAACGTGTTCGTAACGTAGAAAGTACCGTGTTTTGCCGAACTCTCCTCGTTCAATAATTCAGTATATATATGACCCGGCGAAGACATCAACAGAATGTGATAGGTAGCACTGTCATACATAAACGTACAATCTCTAATTTTCCCGCTTGGTACTAAGAAGTAGTACTGCGGGCTCAGTGCATCAGTGGATAAATCGTAGATTTTAACGAAATCTGCCGTTACGAGCGCTAATTTAGTTTGCGAGCCCGGAAGCCAGATGGCTTTTATGATGAAATTGCCGGTTTCTAGTTGAGGATGCAGCACTAAATGATCGGAAACCGATCCTGCCGAGGTGAAGGTTAGAACGTGGCAATCTTTTAGGCCGCACACGGCTAGGAAATCTTCGTTGCAAAGGTTGCTCGAAAGAGATACAACCTGGAAAATTAATTAAGGAAAAAATAAAAATAAAAACCAAGTTGTAAATGGACGAGATTTTTTTTTTAAGTACTGCATTTAGATGTAGAAATAAGGTTTCAATCGATTTCTTGAACCCGTAATTAACATGAAACTCCATATTTTAGCCAATCACAGGCGTGCTCTAGCAGAATGATTAGAGGTGGGACAACACAAACTTTTGTAGAAATTCCATGGCGATGAACGTATCATATTGTGAAATGACCTTAATTGTATTTTTCACTGTTTCATTGTCAGTGTTAGTGTTTTAAAGTGTCGGAAGAAAACTGGAAAAATTGGGAAAAAACCTGTTTTTTTCCCAGGCCTTGGAAAAATTGATTTTTTTGGAAATATACACATTTGAAAAAAAGTAGCAATTAACAACTTTACATTATTTTAATTTAAAAAAATTAACTTAACATTGAATTAAATTAAATTAATTTGTGAAAATAAATTTAAACGTTAATTACTATTGGTTGGGTCTTTTTTGCAAAAAGAACTGCATTAAAAATATCCAACTACAAAATAATGAATGATTTATAAAGTTAAATTACAAAATTATAATTTTATAAATCAAAGTGTAAAATAAAAGTTATTTTAATACAGCATCGAATATGTTTTTTGCGGCCCGGTAGAATATTCTTACTGAATTAAAATAAAAGGAATACTTTTTATAATCATAATATGTAATACATATTATGATTATAATCAGCGTCGGAAATTAATTTTTTCTATCCTTAAAAATTTGAAAATTTTTAGAAAAATTGACTTGCATTTTTTCGTTTTAACCTTTGAATAAAATTTAAAAATGTCAATTTTTCTGAAAATTTCCCAATTTTTCCGTAAAAAACGGTTTTTTTCGCCGGCTCAATTTTTCCGGAAATTTTTAAACCCTAGTCAGTGTTTTGGTTGTTTAGGTTCTGGAGTAATGTTCATTTTTTTGCGTGGCACAAATAGACCTACATTTTCTTTTGATATTTTTTTTAACAACTTAATAAATATTTTTATACAAAGTTTATGGTGATATACTTTACTTTACCTTTTTTAAATAAGTTAAAATAATTATTTTATTAATATTAATAACAATTAATTTAAACATTATTATTTAATTAGAAATATTTGAATGAAAATGTAATAATCACAATCCACCCAACAAACCCTGTTTTAAGCCTGAATTATAGATTGCCTTCCTTCCCCCCTCCCGTAGTCTTGCCCGTACGATTTGTACGTCTTGTAAAAAGTCAATTTATAGATTTCCGTGTAAAATTCCGTAACCATGCGCGATGACACCTAAAATGATTGACATTTGTTTTTGTTTATATTCTGCTTTTAACCCATTGTGTGTAAATATGAAAGATACACATTTATATATTAGTGTAGTGATCACAATTTTAATTGCCCAGGCAGCTTGTTGTATTATGAAAAAAAAAACATCGAACAAGACGTTGGAGGACTCGTCCACTTTACCAAGACCGGAAAACTACGGGGTTTTACAAAGCAACGTTTCTAAAAATGAAAGACATTGATCATAAACAATATCTAAATATCCTATTTAGAGACACAAATTATTTAATAAACTGAACACCTATCTTAAATAATACTACACAATCATGTATTCTAAATATTTTGTGCCTACGCGCTGTCACCCTACAGCGAATGTCCATAATAAGCAGACATTTACGGTGAAAGATAAAACTTAAAAATTTCTACGGGAGGAAGGAATGCCATCCTTACGGTACGGGAATCTATAAATGGCACTACGATTTAAATAAACATTTTTGACGTAATTGTCACCATTTACATTGCCCGTTATTAATTTTAATTAAACTTAACAATTATTGATACTTTCAAATATTAAAATAACTTCAAAATATGATTTTGTTAAGAAAATATTTTATCCTTTGATTTTTTTTATTACTATAATTGCAAAATATCAAAAAGTATTAAAAATTCTTACACGGGAAATGTTAATGGTGACAATTACAGTTGTATTCATTAAAAAAGCGTACAAGAATTAGAATGAGAGAAAACTGTCAACATTATTGCGTAAAACCGGCTTTCCACTGACTTAAGTCACTATAACTGACAGTAGAAAATAAAAATGCCTCGTCAGTTAAAAAGGCTCAAATAGTATCAAGAATCGAAGAAGAATGGTCAATTCGTACCGTGGTATAATAGAAAAAAAAATCTATATTAAAAATTAATAATTTTTGTAATATTATTTAATTAACCTACGACGTCAATGCTCTTTATAACCTATAGTAATTATTTTAATGACTTATGTCAGTGATAAGCCGGTTTTAAGCAATAATATTATTTTGACAGTTTTCTCTCATTCTAATTCTTGTACGCTTTTTTATTGAATACAACTGTACGTCAAAAATGTTTTAAAAATTTCGTATTGTTCATCTTCTACGGGAGGAAGGAAGGCAATCTATAATTCAGGCTTTATCTTGTTTCGCGCATACTAAAAATCATAGATAACCGCAACACTGCACGGAATCTAACGGCGACCATTTTTATGTTTATGCAGATTAAAAGTCGTTTTAAACGTTGCGTTTCTTACAGAGGCACTTGTAAGCCTCAAATGAGGCCTTTAAGTGCCAAGAACAACCATTTTAAACCTTGTTCTATCAGGGCTGTCATCAAACTATCAAATTTAAATTTGTGGGTTATGGTAAATTAACCTTAAAATTGAAATTTTACAGTTTAATGACAGCCCTGATAGAATACGGTTTATTTTTATCAAAAGAGGAGTAAAACGGTTGTTAGCTTACAAGCGCCTCTGTAAGAAACATAACGTTTAAAACGATTATCAATCTGTATTAGGGCCACAAATTTTCCCTAAAAAAGAATATCTCAAGTCAAAACTAACCTAAAAACTAAAACACTGACAGTGACAATGTCAAGCATATCATTAAGGTCATTTTACACTAAATTTTATATGGAATTTCTAATATTAAGCTGCACATTATAGTTCTCCCACCTCTAATCATTCTGCTAAAACACGCCTGTGATTGGCTCCTCTATTTTATTAATAACTAATAAATGGTGCGTCTAAAATTGTTCAAAAATTAAATTCTTACCGTGAATGGTATCGGTGCTGACGCCAGTCTCGTTAAAGTCAGCTTTCTGGTGCTGGAATCGGCTTGCTTTAACAAAGCTGCAAGCTGCAACACGGTAATTTTCCCTTTTTCGTGCGACACCGCCAAATGTTGTCTGCGCCCTTGCGTGGAAGTCATGCAACACATAGCAACTCTTCTGACGATGTGAGCCGACAAAAGTTGCCTTATGGTTTGGCCCTGTTCCCCTACAAATTGATTTAATTTGCTTACCACGTAAAGTTCATTTTTTTATCTGGACTGCGGCAACGTTGTAAATTTAGGGGTTTGGTTGGTAAATACAGTTGTCAAGTTGTTCGCATTGATTAAAACAAACTAAGCTAGTTATAAATCTAATTGTGGTTATGTATAAATTATTGTAGGTGACATTGTGCAGTTGTCAAGTTGAGTTGTCGAAATTCCTAGTTAAAAATGCAATTAATTTTGCTTTGGTGGTGCTTGGATGAGTAAAATCATACAAAAAAGTAGTTAAATATAGGTTGCTTTACGGCCCAGAAGAGAAAGTATTCCTAGCGGATAAAAATCTTCGCTTTGAAAAGAATTTATATAAAAGAAATTAAAATTTTTTGTAAACGTAAATGATAAATAATGTGAAATTAATGCGTGATGTAATGTATTTATAAAACCAAATTCGTTACTTTTTTACTCCAAAAATGTCCATAAGGCGATTTACTTTTTCTTCCATTGTGGCATTTGGCATAATTTCATCAAAATGAAGTTTTGCCCTCAAATTTACACATTAGCGACTTCTCCGAAAAACGGATTGGGGGTTGCCAAAATGCAAAAAATACGTGTGGAGGGATGTAAAAGTGCATAAGCAATCGGCGCAGGGTAAAAAAGTTGTATAATTATCACGTAATTAATAAAAGGGGCTGATAATTGAAGTGACTTACAGTGATTTTCTGTGAAAAAGAGCATGTAGCGAGACAAAAACACGTATCTAATAGACGTAGAATTTGAAAGTGAAGTGAAAAAGCTTAAATTATTAAAAACAACGTCATAAATTGCGGAAAATGCAATTTTTAAAATCAGGTAATTTGAGGTTATGCAGGTTCACAGTCCAGCCTGCCCATAGATATATTATACCTCTATTGCTCAATGGGGCGGGGGGGGCCAATGGGGCGGGGTCGGTTGGGTTGGGTTGTTAAGTTTGGGTTGGTTTGGGTTGGTTTCGCTCACCTTTGCCCATTTTAGTGTACCTGCATAACCAAGATGACAGCTAATCTTCATAACCTCAAATTTCCTGATTTTAAAAATTGCATTTTCCTCAATTCATGACGTTGTTTTTCATAATTCACGCTTTTTCACTTCCACTTTCAAATTCTACGTCTATTAGATACTTGTTTTTGGCTCGCTGCATGTTCTTTTTCACAGAAAATCACGGTAAGTCACTTCAATTATCAGCCCCTTTTTTTATTAAATACGCGATAATTATACAACTTTTTCACCCTGCGCCGATTGTTTATGCACTTTTACATCCCTCCACACCTATTTTTGGCATTTTGGCAACTTTCCTGCCGTTTTTCGGAAAAGTCGCTAAAGTGAAAATTTACCCTAAAAATATTACCAACCTAACAAAAAACACGAGTCCAGATAAAAAAAATGAACTGTATGTCAAATAGACTAATGGTAAGTCATTTTCACAGACCACCAAAACAAATGGACGGCGCATTGCCAATCAATAACAATGAGTTGTTTGCGGTCAACAAACAAAAAAATAATAAGTAGGTAGGTACTTACAAACGATATTTCCATGTATTATTATTTTTAGTAAAAAATAATGTATTTAAACTCCATAATTAACTTAAACACGATAGAAATACACAAACGAAAACACAAAACAACAAGCTGTCAAACTTTTTCTATGCTGTCAAATATGACGAATTTACCAACGTTGTTAATATTTAATTTTAATAATCATTAAATTATTTACTTTCTTTAAATAGAGAAAAATAGAGAGACAATGATGAACAAATCCTTTTTATAATTTTTTTATTATTCAAACGAGTTACTGGTAATTATTAATGTTCATTATGTTATGATGAACGTCCAAAAAGGCGTGTAATATATACTTCTGACAACGTTGGAAGCCATGTTTCTTTCGACGGTGTTTAGAATGTGAAACTATGCTTTACTCGCTTTTTAAACGTAAACAAATCCGTCCATTTGTTTTGGTGGTCTGTGTTTTACATAGGTACCGAAACTAAAATTATGACGTATTTTTTTGTAAAAATTTTTTGAATTTTTTTTTCGTTTTTTTAATTACTAAATTAAAAAGGCAACAAAGTATAAACATTACTCTATTATTAGACTATTATTTGATATTTTTTATTCGCTAAGTACCTAAAAATTCAATCTCCAATCTTAAATTTATTAAATCTTATCAAAATTGGCGCCTATTAATTGAAAAAATGCTCTCCGCTTTTCAAAGAATTGACGTTAATATGTCAATAAAAATGCATTTTTTTCATTTTCATCCATGAAAATTTGCCGAACGATTTTACCAAGTAACTGTAAATCTAGAGCATTGGTATAGCGGATTCATTGCTAGGAGACATTTGCTGAAATTTGCAGCAAAAGACGTATGACTATGGAACGCCGTTTTACTATTTATTATACATTTATACCAATGTTTCATTTAAATGATAGATGAAAAAGAAAGAAATTCGATAATAGAAATGAAATGCATTTCGTTGACCCAAGTGTCTTTTAAATGAAACTTAAGAATTAGTAGACGGATTTCGACGAAAGTTAAATTTATCATACCTACTCTTATGAAGTCTCCAATGTAAATTTAAGTCATAAAAATGACCTACATCTGATTAATATGAGCTGGAAACCATTTAAATGATACATAGAAACAAACAGATGAATTTAACTTATAGTTTTAAAGTTATGGTTGTATTTATATGATAGTTGGATTATTCTCTCCAGTGCATTTATAACGACAAATAAAGTTAAACATGATTTTAATGAAAAATAAACTTATGCAGTTGTATTTCAAACATAGTTTATTCTAAATGAATATTGGCCCCTATATAACATTTAAATGAATGTTGGGTCAGTCAAAATTACATTAAATTTTTAAAATAGTAAGAAACGTTCACATTTCAACAACAAATTATTTTTTTTTGTATTTAGATTTAAATTATACTCGAATTTTCGAGACATGTAGAGATCTAACGAATCATTTAAAACATAGTTGAATTTTTCTTACACATGAGTTTAAATGACATCTGAATTTATCTGGTAGATAAGCAGCTTGTGTATCATTCGAATGAAACTTGCATTTTACTTTCATTTAAATTTAAATGGCACTTTAATTTTTACAATAGTTGGATTTACTTAACAGATATAAAATATATATTTTTTTTCATTTTCATTTCAATGGAATCTGCATTTAACTAAATGTTGAATTTAAATGACATTTGAATTCAAACGACACTTGAATTAAATTGACACTTGAATTAAAACGTTACTTGAATTTAAACGACACTTGCATTTAAATGGTACTTGAATTTAAATGAAAGTTGAATTTAAACGACCCAGATGTCTATTTCTTTGACCTAAGCAGCTGCCATCTATCGACAGGTAGTTGAAACATTTTCAAATTGCAGTTTCACACCAAAAAATAATCACACATGATCTTAATCCATGATACATGATCTTAATCTAAGTCTTTAATCCTTATATAGTAACCACACAAAACTCTTTATCCTTAAGTAATAAATAAAATTTAAATCCAGGGGAAAAACTGTGGGGGATTCGTGCACTATACCATTGTTTTTAAAAACAATGACTATACTCTATGGTAAACCATGTAGATATATACAAGCAGGCGCATAGACCGACATTTTGTTTGAATGCATTGTTGTAACCATAGATGGCGCTGTAAAATCAATTATTTCAACTACCTGTCGATAGATGGCAGCTGTGAAGGTCAAAGAAATAGACATTTGGGTCATTTAAATTCAACTTTCATTTAAATTCAAGTACCATTTAAATGCAAGTGTCGTTTAAATTCAAGTTTCGTTTAAATTCAAGTGTAAATTTAATTCAAGTTTCGTTTGAATTCAAATGTTATTTAAATTCAACTTTTAGTTAAATGCAGATTCCATTTAAATAAAAATGAAAAAATATATATTTTTTTATCTGTTATTTCCAACTATTATAAAAATTAAAGTGCTATTTAAATTCAAATGAAAGTAAAATGCAAGTACCATTTAAATGATACCCAGCTGCTTATGTACTTGATAAATTCACATGTTATTTAAATTCATGTGTAAGAAAAATTCAACTTTGATTTAAATGATTCCTTAGATATCTTACATGTCTTAAAATTTTGAGTGTCTTTTAAATTCAAATACAAGTTTATTACAATTGTCATTGAAATTGTTTCACCGCATGCATATATAAGAAAAATAGGAAAGAAATTTCAAGTTAGCATTAAAATGATACTTGGGTCAACAAAATGCATTTCATTTCTATTATCGAATTTCTTTCTTTTTCATCTATCATTTAAATGAAACATTGGTATAAATGTATAATAAATAGTAAAACGGCGTTCCATATATGACTATGATAAGGATTAATACTATAGGGTAAAGTAGACAGTTATCAGACACTTTATAGTTATTGGACAATCAAGATTAATACTGTAAAAACTAGAGTTCTATAAATAGTTACCTTAAAGTCAAATCATTAGATGACGCTGTATACAATTATAACTATCTCAGTCAGTAATAATATAGAACTACTTTATTTTGGGTCCAATATAGGACAAAAAAGTTCGCACGTTACATTGGTGGTAAGATTTTTGTTTTTTGTTAAGAGAAGGGATGTGTTTAAATTATAATAAAAAATATTTCTAAAAAGTGTACGGATCAGTGTGTGGTATAAATGTTTTCCTCATGGTTTAAACATTGTCACTTTAATGCGTTTTAATTTTAATTCTGAAAACAAACAGTAAAATGGCCAGTGTCCAATTACTGGTTGGTAAAAAATGTAAATTTCTATTATTGGACAAATGTCCAATATCATATACTATTTGTATCCCGGACATTTACCAGACAATTCTTATGTAAAATTGTCCCCTGAATCCGAAAAGACCGTCAAAAACTATAAAAGTTTTACTGTTGTACTTTTATAACTTTTGACGACATTTTCGGATTCAACGAATAATATTTCATAGGAATTGACTGCTAAATGTCCTGGATACAAATTGCTGTTGACGAGAATTATTACCCTAATTTAATTCGATATTTCATAAGATTTAATAAATTTAAGATTGAAAATCAGGAAAAAAATAACTGCATGGATTACCTGCGTAGCTCATGCGGACGTTCTCGAACGCCCCCTCCTGAGAACCCAACGTGGGCGTCATCAGCTGATCGGTGTGCAGGAACTTTTTGTTGCCCGAGTGCAGCTGCTGCAGCGCCTCGATCGCCCTCTGGTGGCAGCCGACGGGCGAATTGCGGCTGCAAGTCGTCTCCACCGCGGACAAGAGCGTCTCCATGAAGTCCACCAGCGCACCCGTCACCCCGCTCGAAGATAGATAGTCGGTGATAAACTCCCGCGCCCCGTCCATCTGCTTTACGACGTTTAACGGTTTCTTGTTGAGCACCATTTGGTCTGTAGGCACCGGAGACGAGGCTCTTCTGCGTAAGGAAGAGGTGAGCAAGTGCTCGCTGGGGAAACCACCGGGTGTTAACTCGCTAGTGAGAGCTTCTGTGTTGGTTAGCGGGCTTCTTTTCACCAGCGCTTGACAACTACCGTCCTCTTTGGCCCCGCAGTCGCAGAAGAAGTTGCCGAATTTGGCGTAGCTCAAGTCGTGGCCTTTGTGGCACACCCTGGCGCATATAGAGCACACACCAACACCATCCAACATTCTGCAGGTGTGACAGTGGTACCAATGCTGATTCATGAACTCTTTTTGAGTAAAAGTGAAAGTGCACAGCTTATTGCACAGAGAATCCTCGTCGGAATCCTCTCCACTGTCTTCCTCTTCGTTAACATCATCCTGCCATTCGACGTCCAAATCCAAAGGCGTCTCGCTCTCCCACGGGGGACTTAAAGCCCTCACCCCCGCTTGATTTGCACTCTGCGTTATACCCCCCACTACATCGCTAACGTACTCCAAAACGCAACACGCCGCTTCCAGCATGACATTTTTATTAACGCTCTCGCAATCTGTACCGACTTTTTCCAAAACCTGTTTGGTGGAAGCGTGATTGTTGCAAATCTCAATCCACTCCGCTGTAGCCGGAAACAGCAACGTATGCCCTCTCCCCGTGCCGGCATCGGCAAGCATCGTCATCACCACCATCAACTCCGTAAACCCCGCGCCCTCCAAAGCGGGGGAGAGAATCTGCTCCCCCAAAGGTATCAAGGCTTTCAGAATGGTGATGGCCACGTCTTCGGAAACGTTGCTGTTTTGCTTCACGATAAACGACGTCAGTGCTTGCAGTAGCTGACTGTTTTCCTGCACCAGGGATTTTTTGGAATCCCGCAGAGATGGTTTTTTGTTCTCGTCGCTGACCACCTGCGTGATGGTCCACTTACCGCCCTCCGCAGTTACGCCACCCTTGTTTAAAGTTACGGTGGTATCGACGCTGGAATTTGTAGTCGTGGAGGAGGTTGTTCCGGTGGTTGTGGTCGAAGGTGCGGGCTAAAATTCGCACGTTTAGTTCCTTCTTTCCTTCCTCACGTAAAAGGCAAAATAATCGATCCACACAAATTTCAATCGCAAATAACTTTTTTATTTGATGTCGGATTTAAACGAATATTAAAGAATATTGTAGATAAATTAATAGACAATCGCTCACATTTTAAAAAAATACTACAAAATAGACGTACGTTTATAATATACAGGTTTAAACAAAAAGATGTTTTTTACCATAAGTTTAAGACACTCTGTAGAGTGGCAAAACCGTATATTGTTCTAAATTAAGTTTTATTTATCAAGTCACATCTATTCTTAACAGTTTTGTTTTTGGTTCACCTCGATATATTTATTTTTGTGTAAAATATGGATTTTTTAAAAAAACATTGCAATTTCCAATATTTTTCTGTATGAATAACTAAGGTTGCTATGGTCCATCCATAGCCTATGGAGGATGACAGTGACAGATTTGCTGAATCATCCCATACTTGGACATGTCATATACTTTCAAAAGCTATCAAATTGTTTTTTATAAATTAATGTGTTAATTTTGAGGTGTCTTCTTACTTTTAAAAATGTCTCCGACTGATGTTGCCCTTTGTACTTTACTTCTTATGACGTTTAAAACACTTGCCACGTAATACTGTGACAGTCCATCCTGGATTAAATTAATAGCTCTGGCAACATCAGTCGGAGACATATCCATTTTATAACGTAAGAAGACACCTCAAAATTTAAACATTAATTTGCAAAAAACAATTTGATAGCTTTTGAAAGCTGTATATGACATGTATGGGATGATTCAACAAAACTGTCATTGTCATCCTCCATAGGCTATGGATGGACCATAGCAACCTTAGTTCTTCATACAGGAAAAATATTGAAAATTGCAATGTTTTTTTTTTAAAAAATCCATATTTTCCACAAAAATAAATATATCAAGTTCAACCAAAAACAAAACTGTTAATAGATGTGACTTGATAAATAAAACTTAATTTAGAACAATATACGGTTTTGCCACTCTACAGAGTGTCTTAAACTTATGGTAAAAAACATATTTTTGTTTAAACCTGTATATTATAAACCATTAATTTATCTACAATATTCTTTAATTTTCGTTTAAATCCGACATCAAATAAAAAAGTTATTTGCGATTGAAATTCATCGAAAATTTGTGTGGATCGATTATTTTGCACGTGAGTGTATAAATGGCACTAAGATTTTCGTATTGTTCATCTTTTACGGGAGGAAGAAAGGAAGGAAGGAAGGCAATCTAAATCAGGCTTTAGAAGTTTATGGAGAACGAAAAAAGATATCGATTAAAAATTTGTATAGCAATTATAACTTATAATTTATAAGGCAAGGTAAACTATTTTTAAAAATTCGGTTAAACCGGAAATGATATCAACTTTGGTTTTTCAAATGGAACCATATTATTATTATTGCATTTTTAAATTCTACGTAAAATTATAGAAATAATAAAATTTAATTTTTTTGTTTAATTTTACGTTTTTGAGATATTTAATTTTTTTTTAATTTGCATACTAACAAAGATGATGTCTCTCCGGTCAAACCGGAAGTGACATTTTGTTTTGTATTTTAGGAAAACAGGCTTGATTGGATTATAAACGCTTTAAAAGTTTCATATCGATATCTTTTGCCTGATATATTACACTAGTTTAAAAAATCGAAAAAAAATTCTGCCCACCATATCCCATTATAATTTTCCACGAAAATCACACTCAATTTTTTTTTATGGAAGCGTTTTTGAAATATGAATTTTCAAATGTTTTTTTTTCAATTTTTGGAGGTGTTTTGACGTTTTTGAGTATAGCTTGAAATCTAATTGATCGATTTGGTCAAACAAGCCCTTAAATTGAAGGTAATTGAGCCCTCTAAAACTTTATTTTACATACTTTTGATATCGGATAAGTATTTTGACGCTAGCGATTTTAATAACTTAAAAAAGTCGATTTTATGGCAAAAATTGAGGTCGAAAATTTACATATCGTCCTGGGAAAGGTTTCAATCAAACAGATTACTCCAATTTGATTTTTTTTCGTGAAGCTAACCTTTTTACAAAAAAAAACAAGCTAATGTTGATAACAATACATGAAAAAATGGCGAAGTTATGAATTTTTTTATTGAAAGACCAAAGTTCAGCTTTTTGACGATTTTTATTTTGTCTTTGTTCTTTTATTTTGTAATATGTTTATTTTTTACTGAAAAATTCATAACTTCGCATTTATCCATGGATTATTATCAACAGTAGTTAATTTTTTTCCTTTAAGTATAATCTATACGTAAAATAAATCAAACTGGACTTATCTTTTCGAATTCTATCTTTCCCAGAAAGATATGTAAATTTTCGACCTCGATTTTTATAAAAAAAGGACTTTTATCTCCACGCGGTCTATAATTTAAACTTTATTGTTGTCAACATTCGATAAAGAAATACCTTGTTATGGCCTAGGCCGATAAAAAATTTTGTGAGGCAAGTAATTAGTTCGATTTTTTCTCGCTAGGGGTATTGTTTTGACAAATTAATCCTTTTCTAAGAAATTAACGTACTAAACTGGTTTAATTTATTTATAATAAGCACTAACTTGTTTGTTTTACTGTTAATGTTTAATATTTTTCATTAAATTATTGTAAAATTAAATTTGAATAATAAAACAAAAAGTGAGGTTAGGCAACCAAGAAAACGCACGATTCTTTTTCTACGATTTAAATTATCTTTAAGTTTTAATTTGCTTTAAGTTTTCAGTGAAATTAAATATTTCAAACTACCTATTTTTAAAATAAAAATCCAAACAAATTGAAATTAGATAGGTACCTACATACCTATTTATTAAACAATTAATTGAATTCAATGTAATAGCAAAAATCCATTTCTACTTAAATCATGTTGCTAGGTATTGTCAAACTATTACTGCTTCTAAAAGCAATAATAATTATTGTACATTTAATGTAATCTTTAGGTAATAAATAAATGAGATTCTAAAAAAGTGAGGTTAGGCCGCTTTGATGTTGAATTAAATTGACCTATATAAAGTGCTTTGAAGATAAAATGTTGTATGCCATTCGGCCAAGAAGTGCCTTTTTGTGCTTCGCTGAATTGAACCTTGAGCTTAGCACAAAAAGCCTTACTTCTTAACCTAATGCCATAAATAACTATTTCAGCTTCATAATATCGCCATAATCGAACTACTGAGCCGATACCAAAACTATACAAGAGAAAGTTGTAGAGGGCTCAATTACCTTTTATTTAAGCGCTTGTTTGGACAAATCCATCAATTAAAACTCGAGTATACTCTAAAACGCCAAAACACCTCAGAAAATTATATCTCGAAATCGCTTCCTTGAAAAAAATGTGTGATTTTCGCGTTTAGTGAGCCAAACTACACGAGAAAATCATGGCTGTAAACTAGTGTTATGTAGACCAGTGCAGAAGACTTTAAAAATGGTAAAGAGAGAAAAAAATAACAGTAGGATAAAACCCATTGGAAAAGGAGGGGAATATAATAAAAATTAAAGGAAAAATAAATTACGGGCGATCTGAGTTCGGGAAGTGGGAGGGGGTGGGGTTTAAGGGTAAAAAATGGTTTATCTCGATTTCCGGTCCTATGGAAAAAAGTTAAATGTCAAAGTTGTAGGTAATAAAAAGATCTACAACTTTTGTATTTACAATTTTTTCACATAACCTCAAAATTTATGTGAAAAATTCAAAAAACCAAGTTTTTGGATTTTTATTTTTATCTTTTTCAAAAAAAAAAATTTTTCCACGAAATTTGGTGAAAAGTTACCTTTTTATGTCCCAAATACACTGTAATTTATTTGATTTGAAATATTTATTATTTCGCCTTATTTTGACTTAATATCAAAAAAGCACCCTAATTTTCAATCGAAAATTCTCGGGTCAAAATATCAGCTTTTTTCAAAAAGTCGGTGTGCTTTTTGTTCTATGAACTCTCTACTTTCTGATGGTGTAAAAAAAAAATATCCATTACTATGGTAAATGTTCTCAGAAAATACAAAAAATATTATAATAAATAACGTAATCAGAATGAAGTATCTAAATTCAATAGTATGATTTACATGTATTTTTATATTTTATGAGATTTTCTGATATAAATGTTATTAGAATTTAATAAATAAACTTTTTAACTAAAAAAAATTGCAACAATCACATTTTTTTGATGAAATTGCACATAATGATTAAAATAAATTTTCGAATTTGAGTTTTTTTCGTTATTCATTATAATATCATTGAGTAAAGTGTGTGAAGAGACGCAAGGTGGTAGGAAGATCTGTGCCAGGCGTATTATTATTAATTTACAAGAAAATGTGTCCGTAAGGTGTCGCCATCTACCCACCAATGTTCCAAGCTTGAAAATATGATAAAATAAGGGGTATTTGTTTGAAATTCCGATCTCCCACGCTAGCTTCTTACCCCTCCTTTCACTAAACTCGTCGCTTAGCAACGAGACGACAACAATTTTTTATTTGCAGTCATAATATTATTTGTCCTAGGATTATTTGTGTCTGAATTTAGTGGTTTATTATTTCATCATTGAGTAAAGTAAGTAACCAAAAGAATTTATTTATTTATTTACAATTCCTAGTGCTGTTCTGAGAGGTAATTTCTATTCTATTTCATTATATAATTATTATTACTAATAATAATTATTAATTAACTATAGTTAGATATATCTACCCACTTTATCTAATAATTATTTATAATAATTAATAATAATAATTATTAATTAATTATCTACCCAATTATTATTTAATTATCATTTAAAAGTAAAATTCTATTTAAAAAAAATATGCCTCTGAAACGTGTGAAATTTATTTATTTTTAATTAAAAATGTACATATGTATGTATACATAGAATGTATACATAGAGGCATATTTTTTTAAAATAGAATTTTACTTTTAAATGATAATTAAATAATAATTGGGTAGATAATTAATTAATAATAATTATTATTAATTATTATAA